TTCTTTTTTCTCTTTCTTTTTAAACTTTCTATTTTCCCCTCCCCCCCCCCCCCCCCCATATGCGGGCGCCCATGGTGAGATGTTATTTTCTGAGAAAAAATGCATTTACTCCTTTTGAAATAAAATCAAAATTGGAGCTGTTCGCTCCAAAAAGAATTTTAAAAAGCTTTTAGAATATTTACATGCATTGTTAGCAGTTATTTGCATCCATGAACTATTCAAAGCAAAAATGTAACAGTAACATTTTAATCGTAGCCAAACATGTAGTTTTATTGCACCTTGACTGAAGTGGTTACAGGCAAATTTTTTACACCTGAAACCAAGTCTATTACATTAAATTACAATGAAGAAACCTTGGTAAATTAAAAGAAAAAAAAAACATTGCAATACTGAACCATACAATTCTTTGTTTCCTCCATTGGAAAGAAATTATTCATAACCTACTGTCTCATAATTCCCTTACTAACAACTGTCAAATATCAAAATGAAAAAATGACCATAAATAACCACTGTTCACTTACAGAAAACTTTTCCAAACTTTTTAGATTATTTAGGGGGCCATCATATAACTATCACAGCTTTCTAGTGTAAGTCAGGTGAAGTTTAACATAATAGTAAAAGACTTAAAAGGCCTCAGAAATAATATATTTACACCAACTAACATCATGGACTGTCTTTACAAGGAGCATATAATACTAGAAATATAAATTAAAAGTATTAATAACATAATCCATTTTATGTTTCAAACAATAAATATTATTACAGTTTACAGGTACGGTATTCATAATTTTAAAAAAAAATTAAATTAAAAAAACACATATTTTTTGTATATTCAACACCAGGCCTTAAAATTGTCAAATAGTTCTTATAATTCAAATGTACCCATTTTAAGAACAGACATGAAACACAAATTTATTAAAGTCCATGATTTAACAAGTTAGTTACATGTGAACAAGATTAGTACTTTAGCACAGCTCAATGTACTTGATATTTCATAGCTGGTGAGTTCTATCATAAACATCTTTTTTTATAATGCATTTGCATGTTTAATGATGAGACTGAGTGCACAACAAGAAATATGATGCAGGTCATTATGATACTGATAAACACTTCAGACTTGGGGATTAATGATGAACAATTCTGAGACTGAGAGAGGCGATACATCATGCAGTGCATGGACACACAAACATTGTGTGGTACAGATTTCTCATCTCCAAAATCATAAACATAATATTTCAGGGGTCACAGATCCAGCTGTAAAATCCATTTACAATATTTGATTTAACTGTGATAGCAACAGCCACTAATGAATCAAGTCAAGGGTGGTGCTGACAAAAAATGTGACTGGAAGTTTATGAACCACAGAGTCAAGCAGATCATTAATTATGAGTTCCTTGCAATGTTTTATACAGCATGTCTCCCCATTACAGCCGCTTCAAAATTGTAATGCATGCAATAACAAATGAAATGCTTAGAGGGCTTTTTTCTGAAGATTTGAGCTGTGTTAAAAGGAGCTTGAACCATCCCAGGATTGGTTAGCTCTACCTAAATGCCTTGTCAGTGTTACATCTCACTTTGGTTGAATGTCAAGGCTGTGAGTTTCTATAAAATCCCGCAGCTCTGAAGGAGAAACACCTTGCTTGCTCATCAGTGATTCAATCTGTTTAAGTTCCATTTCCTTAGCCTGAATGATTGAAAGATCAATTGAGGTAAAGCTGTAAAGCTTTGTGATGCTTTAAAATAAATGATGTGACATTCTATATACTGGCAATCAAATTTATGTCTCTTAATACCAACAGGTGCAAAAAGGAGGTCATTATTAGTTACAGCTGTTACTACTGATCATTTATTAATATTTAGGTCTACTATTTTGCTACAATTTAATATTAGATTGATATAAAAATATATATATTTTAAAGGTTTGTTTTTTTATTTATGAATGGGACCAACAAGTATTTCAGTTCACACAAATACATTTCATCAATAAGATTTGTAAAATTTCTGAAGAAAAAAAAAAAGGGGGGGGGGTATGTGTGTTATTAAATCACAACTTTGATAACTGACACCTGAGAGAAGTTACTTTGTGGCTTGTTGACTTGTTTTATTTAAGTACATTTTATTTTCCACCCATTTGTATCTCATGAAACTGACATTTTAACCAGCATCTGACCTTAAGAGTCCTCTGTAAGGAATGTAATTTCCTCATACGTTCCAGTTCAGCAGGATCAGCCACTTCATGCAAGTTAATCAAAGGTGTGATCTGACTCTGTCTCTGCTTGATCTTGTTCTTACCATCAATGGTCAGGTCCTGGTTCTCTATGGACCTCAGCATGGCATGAAGCTCTTCGGTGCTTGCCCCTACAGATTCTGGAGAATATTTGTGGATCAGTGAAGTTTTTTCCATATCAATCAATAGAATTATCCAAGTAGGTCTGGTGTAATGGTGAGTTCAATTGGGTGCAAAATGAAATTACAGATAACTGTGCTAAATGAGATTCTTAAAAATAGCCCAGACGCGTTTGGTGCATCAAATATTTTCTTTTGTTGTAGGAAATAGTCTCAATTTAAATATGGTATAATAAAACTACAAAGGGGTGTGACATTAGAATATTAACATATTTCAAGGGTTTGAAAAAAATTATCTTTAAAATACCGGGAGGGGGTAAGGGGTAGCACTAATTGGGATGTACAGAAAGTGTGTTACTTGTATGCATGTTTTTTCTAGTAACTAATTATAGGAAGTCCATGCATTGAGGGCGCCATTGGTTGACAGGCTATAACTAGTGTTTATATATTTTTCTAATTAAGTCTTCAACTACAAAAAATTAGATTTATAAATAGAGAATCCTACTTCGGGGATATTCACATGTCACGGTAGAGTCTGGAACTCGGTAACCCCGGCAATAAATGAGGGACGACCGTGTATAAATTACTGTATTCGAAAACTAAAAGTGGTTTTAGCAAGGCAACTAACTTTGAACTTGTTCCAGGTTGAACCTTTTCAAAACTGGTGATGACATTGGTGAGCTGTTGATACTGTTGATGGATGCAGTGCTTCCTTCCCATTTCCTGCTGAGATCATCCTCATCACCTTCACTTTCACTATAGTAGACATCTATCAAGAAGAGTTGTGTCATTTGTCTTTTGAACCAAAAATGGATGAAAGCGTTTCTTACTGACATTCACATTGTGAAAGCTACTTAAAAGCTCAGTTAAGAAAGATTTTGCAATATAACTGATTTTTAAATAAGCTATTCTATATATTATAGATAATTATAGATAATTTTATTTGCTGGCATTTATTAAATAGTGAAGATATTTAATTGTTTGCTTTGCATTCTTGTACATGACATGAAATAGAGGAAAAGCCATTTCCTTTACTAAAGATATTTCATGGAAATGAAGGAAATTATAGAGTTTTTCTTGTGAGAAGTCTGTGATACAACAAACACTCAGAAACATGATTAATTTATCTAGCTTTAAGAGCTATGGGGAAAAAATGAACATGAAATCCTTTATGTTCATTAAATACCAGAGCCTAATTTTTACAAATTTTATTGTTACTTTGGCAGCAACTTTTAATATTCACATATAGATATATCTTTTAAAAAGCTTTTTAAAGCGCCATTTAAAAAAAAAATTGTTTACATGTTATCTAGGTATTCAGTGCAATATTTCTTTACGTCACATAATTTTGGCAGCTTCTCAAACAAAAGTAAATATTTAATTTACTAGCTATCACTAATGTATTAAGTCTTAAAGAAAGTTCAAGGACCAGTATTTTAGCTCTATCATGACTCCTGTGAGTGAAATAGTTTTAAAGGCATCGACTTGCGTTTGTTTTCTGTTGCTAATGCTGATGCTTTCTCTGGCTTTATGGTCACACCAGTTGATGTTGTGCCTTCTTGCTTGACTTCAGTTTTGTAATTTATTGCAGCAAGGCCCATTTTGTTCATCCACCTATGAGATTCATCCAAAAAAAAATTTGGACACTCTCCTTATTTAAAATAAAAATTAGCCTTAAATGGGAGTATTGTATTATCATCAGTGTTAGTCAAATAATGTAGAATTCAGTATATAAACTTTGAAAGTGAGTTATAAATACTTTTGATTTAGGTTACCCTGCAAAATACATGCTTTTAAAACTTACTTTCCCATATCATCCTGCCTCTCAGAGGCAAAGTAAAAGGCTGTCCCTCCATTGTGAATTTTGAAAGCACTGTAGTGGTAAAAAAAAAAAAATTCTGAAATCCTTGTTAAAATAAATTAAATCATTAAAAAAGACTAACTAGAGGGTAAGATTTGAAAATCTAGAATAGAGGTCTCAAGGCACTCAAGCCTGTTGTCTAGCATCTCAAGGCACTCAAGCCTGTTGTCTAACATCTCAAGGCACTCAAGCCTGTTGTCTAGCATCTCAAAGCACTCAAGCCTGTAGTCTAGCATCTCAAGGCACTCAAGCCTGTTGTCTAGCATCTCAAGACACTCAAGCCTGTTGTCTAACATCTCAAGGCACTCAAGCCTGTTGTCTAACATCTCAAGGCACTCAAGCCTGTGATTTTCTGGCACACTATCCCTTGCCGTGTAGCTCCAAAGATGATTTTATGAAATTGAAAAAACTGAACAAGAAGTTTATTGTATTTACTAAATTAAATTTTTTATCTAGTTGAGCCAACCAAAATAGTCCAAATATAAATTAGTATTCCTGCCAACACTTAAATCTCGATCTGAATGTAAGATACATGATTAAAGTTAAAGTACTGATACATTCAGAATCTTTGACATTAAGGAAATCAAAAAATTATGATTAAATCAGTATAGTGGAGACAGTTGTGATTTGGACACATTTCATCTTTAGCACTCGTGAAATTAGACATTGAAATTAAAATTTGATGTATTTAAGATACAAAAGACAATTGACTTGGTAAGAAAAATAATAACAGCAAAAGCAACTACAATGACAATTAAAAAAATAAAAAGTAGAAAATCACTGTCAACAAATGGGCTGTAAATGAAAATAACAAAATTACATTAATGATTGAGATTTAGTGCTTGTAATATTGGTTTCAAGGCTTTTCTATTTTTTAAAATCTAAATAAGTTCTTACCAAAGTATAACAAGTTAAAATACCAGTATAGGCCAAAACATATAGAAACAAACATTTAATAGAACATTATTCAACCAAATATGTCAAGATGCATGTTATTGCTGAAACAACAAAAATACATTACATGAGAAAAAATAGTCCTTAAACCACTAAGCAAGATTTGAATTAAAGCATACTTCCCAAACTTGAGGAAATAGAAATTGTTTTATGGTAATAAGCTTCAAGGTAATCCAATAGAAATTCAATAATCCAGACTAATTTGGAAAAGGGGTGGATTCGGATAACCGAAACATCTCACAGAAAGGTTGGACTAGAGAATTTAGTACATAGAATACAATATATTATTACTTCATACATGTATGGTGATTTAGTATTCTGTGATATATATTAATTTACAAATTTGCAGATCACATTATCGCATTTAAAAATAACAAATCAAGATTTTTCATGGATTGTGGGTCTGAATCATTTTCTGTTTGTACACCTATGCGCCATGCAATGTGCATTGGGTATGACAATAATATTAAAAATAGATAAGGGCAGTACCGGTGACCCGCATTTGGAAAATTGATGCTCTACTTTATATGTCATTTATCTCCCTCCCCCCCTCCCCCATACATAAAAATTATACCAAAAATCTTTAAAACTAATGGAGCCACTGAGCAAAAGTAAAGATTTCCACCTTACCGTAATTGGTGTGACACAAAAAAAAAATACAAAAGTATATACAAAATACTGATACAATTTTCCACTGCCCAAAATCTTTTCTTCATAATGTCAAAAAAAATAATGAAGCTGACAAAATAACAACTAATGATTGTCACCTGTAATTATTTAGAAATAAAATGCAACAAAAAATTCAGAGCAGTTAAGCAAAAAAAACATGTAGGGCACTGTACATGAGCAAACAAGGTGCAGAGAAACTGAAGAAAATAGCCAAGTGTTGATTGCCTGCTGATTAAAAGAATACAACAAACAACTAATTCCATTTATTCTAGAAGTGTAATTATAATTGGGCATCTAGATGTGTATCCCCCTCATCAAAGTTTTTTTTTTTTTATATAATAATTCAATTATAACATACTTGAACATTTTAATGAAAACTTAAATATTTTGATATCATGCAATGGTTCCACTTTGTCTGTTATTTCCTTCCCACTGTCTGTCATTTTTAAGATCTTTTACTAGAAGTGGATAAGGAATAGCCATTCTGGCCTAAAACATTGGTTTAATTTAAAATTATTGATGTTATATATTAGTTTATCTCAATTGAGTTGAAATATTTATTTATCTCACTGTAAGATATGTAGCGTACGTTTCTGAAACATGTTAAGAATTTATCCTTGAGTCTCCAAAAGCCACATAAAGTAAAAAAGCATAACAAATGGCAACGTTTTTTTCTTTGTTTAAAGCTTACCTATAAACTCTTGGATATAGCAAAAGAAATGAGGTTACCATTTTAATAGGATACACATTTTTTAATAATAATATCTTATTTGAACAAGGCAAAAACATACATGCATATTTTGAATTTAAAACAATTATTTTCATTCAATTAGAAAAAGATGTCACAGAAACATGAATGATATACATATATATATAAATATATAAGAAACAATTATAAGCTTAACAAATTTTTTCAGAAATGTTAAAAGAATGTCCATAAACCTTTTCAATTAAAAGTTAAGCATTTTCAGACAATTTAAGCTTTGCCACATAATTTGATTTGCCAATTCAATGTAATTTTTTAAAATTAATTGTATTTAAATATTAGAGGTAATTTCTCCTAACGTAAAATATTTCTACAAAAAGTTTAAGTTCTGTGAATGCTTTGAAACTGACATTTTTGGGGGTAATATTGGTTGAAATAAATATATTTGACATAGTAACTAAATTAGATCACTTACAATTTCTTTGTTTTTAAATTTGGGGCTGGAGACACAAAAAATGCTGGCAATACAATCACACCTTCTGCTTTCTGATCCTTGATTTTTTTGAAGGAAGTAAAAAAAACAAAAAATGCTATTCAAACTCTGACTCTTAGTGGTCATCAAACTTTGGGCTAAAATAATAGAATAACTTACATTCATCACCAAAATTGGCCTAAATTCTTCACCAAACTATATCTACATTTATCGCCTAACTTAATTCCCCCATGAAACAATAAAAAAAATTAAGTTCCGTAAATATTAATCCTTTTTTTTTTTTTGTTTGGGTGTGTACTGTCACTAACTTGTGAGACCATTTTAAGAGGCGCCTGTTTCTTTGAAATGTGGATGCTCATTTTTGTAATAACTAATGTGTTCAGAACATAATAAATGCCCATAAAAATTAACTATTAAAATTATCTCCTAGTGAATAAATAGATTGATGAAGTAAAATAAAATCTATTTGTTTGGTTTCCATCCCAAGTTTGAGACCTTTGAGTCCCTAAGACATTCTAGTATCCATCCCAAGTTTGAGACCATGCAATCATCAACACATTGTTGTAGCCATCTCAAGCTTCAGCCCTACAGTCACTCACTAACACATTCTAGTATCCATCCCAATTTGAACCTTGCAGTCACATAACACATTTTAGCATCCATCCCAAGATTGAACCTTGCAATCACATAACACATTCTAGCATCCATCCCAAGATTGAACCTTGCAATCACATAACACATTCTAGCATCCATCCAAGTTTGAACCTTGCACTCACATAACACATTCTAGCATCCATCTCAAGATTGAGACCATGCAGTCATCAACACATTGTTGTAGCCATCCCAAGCTTCAGCCCTACAGTCACTCACTAACACATTCTAGTATCCATCTCAAGTTTGAACCTTGCAGTCACATAACACATTCTAGCATCCATCCCAAGTTTGAACCTTGCACTCACATAACACATTCTAGCATCCATCCCAAGTTTGAACCTTGCACTCACATAACACATTCTAGCATCCATCCCAAGTTTGAACCTTGCACTCACATAACACATTCTAGCATCCATCCCAAGTTTGAACCTTGCACTCACTCACTAACACTTACATCTTTATGCTTGTAATAGAAGAGGTGGCCATCTTTTAGCACGCACCAGCGTTTATCCCAATGTTTAGACAAAGTCCCAGATTTTTGTTTTTTCTTATACAACCAGCCTTCACATTCTCCTTTTCCCAAATCTTTACAGGAAATTCGTCGATCTGCACATACACAACATTAAAAATACATGGTCAGGACTTCACATAAATGTTTTCCTTAAAAGAAAAGAAAAAATCAGATAAAAAAAGTATCCAAAAGATTAATCTGTCATGGTCAAACACTTAACTTTTACTTAATATACTAATTATAAGAGTGTTGGACTGTGATAAAGGTTTAAAGTAGATTAATTAGAGACAAACAATTGGTGTAGATAAAACAAAATATGTTTAGTTTACAAATACAAATATAAAGATTGGCAGATCTTTGCCCAGAAAGGCATAGATATACTAAATACAGACATTTTACTACTGGAATTAAAATTTGTGTCCAGATGACCTACCTAGTTTGGTTTTGGTGGTAGATTTACCTCTGAGTTTCACTGGAGGTGACTGTCAACATAATAGAGATAAAAACAATGAAATTTACTGGAATAGCCAAATAGACACATTTGCAGAGAGAGAGAGAGAGAGAGAGAGAGAGAGAGAGAGAGAGAGAGATACTTCAAGCTCCAGCTTTTTTCTTTCAATTGTAACATTTAAACTTGAAGTGTATTTTTTTAATTATCTCATGCCACCATCAAAGATCATAACTAGGTTTGAGATGTTCAAATATCTAAATCAATAGTAACCATGACTACACACGGGACAAATGCAGAGTAATTAAACTATCTCTAAGACATTTGGTAAGAGCATTAAATAACTTGGGGAGAGAGAGCTTCTTTTTTTTGAAGAAACAAAATTGTGTCCACAACTGGTATAGTAAAAGCGCTGAGTTATTTAAACATTACAGTAGGCAAAAAAATCCTTTTTAACCATCATAATAACTTTTGGAATTAATTTTTTTTTTTGAACAGAAAAACCTTTGGGTTGATTACAGATCACATCCACTAGTGGCAAAAAAATGTAATTTGACATCCATTAGACATGGATATCCTAGTTTCTTTTTGCTATTCTGTATAAGTTTAGACTATTTAAAAAAAGCAAAGCAACTCAAAAATGTATTTAAAATCTTAGGAATAATGATTCTATATGTCAATCTACTGGACTATACATGAGTGTAACATTACTGTGTTTGCTGGTATTTTTTGCAGCACGCCACCAATGACAACATTGTGGAATCTGGGGAGATTCAAAAGTAATCATGTACAAGCTGGAGGAGGACTTCAAATAGCTTAAAATATTAGAAAATGGACAAATACTTACATTATTTCTTTTTAAAAATCTGGGAGAGAACAACAATGAATGGAAAGTAATTAAACTGTTGACTTTTGTTTGTTTTTTTGTCAGAATTTATAAAACGATAAGCTATCAAAATAAACAGTAAAGAATATTGTGTTTCTCAATGTATGAAAATTTTTAATTAAATCTATATATCATTGTTTAGATCAAAGTGTGGTTTAAATTTTATCAAAATAACTTTAAATAAAGAAGTAATCCCCTAAAGATAAGGTTATGGGAAACCAAAATATAAAGATTTCAGCATATGGTTGTTGGGGGATGGGGGGGGGGGGGTTGGATTTGCTCAACAATGTGGCAGGTGATACACATTGCAGAACTAAAACCATGTATGACCGTATCAACATATTAAAATCAGAATGATTTTCCCTCGCGGACACCCTGCATTGGTAATTTTTAATATCTGGTCTTTAACATATATTACAGCATTTTGATTTGCAATAAATTGTGTTGCCAAATGGCCCAGTTGGCCTATGGACTTAAAGAAGTAATCCCCTAAAGATAAGGTTATGGGAAACCAAAATATAAAGATTTCAGCATATGGTTGTTGGGGGATGGGGGGGGGGGGTTGGATTTGCTCAACAATGTGGCAGGTGATACACATTGCAGAACTAAAACCATGTATGACCGTATCAACATATTAAAATCAGAATGATTTTCCCTTGCGGACACCCTGCATTGGTAATTTTTAATATCTGGTCTTTAACATATATTACAGCATTTTGATTTGCAATAAATTGTGTTGCCAAATGGCCCAGTTGGCCTATGGACTTATGTGGACTTACATTAACTCTTTAAACGGAAATTTGTTTTTCAAATATATTATATATTCAGGAGGTTTCATTTTTTTTGGTGGTAACAAGGGGGAGAGACTGCATGGGATGAAGTTGTGACAAAGTTTTAGTAGATACTAACTTGTTTTACTTGTTTGGTTGGTAACAAGGGGGAGGAGACTGCATGGGATGAAGTTGTGACAAAGTTTTAGTAGATACTAACTTGTTTTACTTGTTTGGTGGTAATAAGGGGAGAGACTGCAATCAGGTTAGTACAAAATAAAATAAGTAAAAGAGTAGGGTTAAAACTGAAAAAATAAACGCAACAGCGAACGTGTCGGCAGAAAGCCTTCGTCAGCGAACAAAACAGAAAAAAACCGGTATAAAAATAAGAAATAGCACTTAGCTGGTAAGTAGTATCTGTGGGCAGCAATAGAAGTCAAATTGCCCAAATTCTATTGCTGCCCACAGATAGTTTGATTGCTTATAAGTTTAAGCACAGGCAGTGAAATAGAGGCCTCTTCAGTGAGACGCTTTGCTAAAATGTCTAAGCAATTTTCTCATTTCTTCTTCTTCTATATTTTGAGGGCCCACTATCAATGTATTGATCATTCTGGCTCCTGTGTTTGTAGAGGGGTTCGCGGTGCAACTGTGCATGGTTTTGAAGGAGATACTTCCAGGTTGCAGGGCTGCTGAGCAATGGCATTTCCCTGGTGGAGCCCATTTCTTAAATATAGTTCTTACTTTGTTTTTATTTGATTACTTGTAATTGTCATTGACACAGTCTACCTCTCATTACTCATGTCCTATTTGAATGCTACTAAACACGGTAACATTCTCAACCCCTTGAATTTGTGTTTCTACTTTATGTGGGTACTACTCAACCCAATGAAAATTAAAAAAATGCTCAGGTCACTCACATCTTTTTTTTCTCATTGTCTGATGTATCCTCAGCAAACCCTACATGTTTCTCTGTCTTGAACACCTCGTCATCGCTGCTCATCTTAGACTCCTGAATTTTAACAGAAATGGAACTGGGTTTATGCAAGACAATTTTATTATCTCTATTCTGGGAGAGAAAGTGAGAATTTTGGTTCAGAGATGGATAAACAACTAAGATGACCAGGGTTCTCACAACTTTGGACCATTGTGCTACTTAAATAAACTGCTGAAAATTTCTGTAAAAGTCATGGGCCATATTTGTTACAAGAACCAGATATCTATTTTATCACATTTGCTTTTTCTTTTATCACTGTGTGCCACCTAGGAACAATATGATGTTCCACTGGTGGAAGATAAAAACCATAAACCTGAGCATTGGTGAGTAATGGTGAGTAATGGTGAGTAGTGGGGAGTAATGGTGAGTAATGGTGAATTAGATGCCTGAGGTGTGTTAGTGGTTGATGATAAATGATATTTTTGAATGAATAACCATTAAAACTTTTATCACATGCATCAAAAGATCACAATACGTACATCATCTTCATAAATAACTTCGGCTGAATGCTTTTTGTTCAATGAATATGACGTCCACATTCTTCTTCCAAGAAACTGTTCTACTAGTGGGTCATTAAACTAGAACCTGTACAATCCAGTAATTGTTCAACTAAAAATTCATATTCAATCCTCTGGTTGTTGCTACACAGCTCAAATAATATCTTCAACTTCATTAAAATTATAAGTTAGAAAGTCAAAACAATTACACAATTTAAACTAGTTGGACAGCATTTTTTCAAGATACTGAAATGTATCATTTTAATCCTGTGTCTTTGTTATATTTTTAAAAAATTAACATCTGAACCAACAGTGATATTAGTCCACACCATCTGCATGTGAAATGATGAAATATAACCAGATGTAAAAGACTTGGATGACTAATGCACCGTTGTGGCTATTTATGTTACGGACATTAAAAGTTAAATTATTCACAGAGTTCCAGATATAATGCTAAGACTTAACTAAACATGACACCACAGTGGACCAATACAAAATCCTTGATCCTTCCATGTTGAATAACATTGGAAAATGTATCCTACAAGTGAGAGCGAACAGTGTGTACTTTGGGCTTCTTTCTACCCCAGCAATCACAGATGTACCAGTCACACACCAATGAATACAAAAATAACTTCCTCCTTTTTTCCTTCCTCATTATAATCTCCAGTAAACTTTCAATTACAAAATGTCTGCTGTGACTTTCAATCAATAACTGGGTAACAGACCCAGGGATTCCCAAGCATGTCTCATCTAGATACTTCAAAGGAAGAGTGCAGGGAGAAAGCCAGCAAGCTGAATATTCCAGAAAAAGTTACTAAAATTATTTTTAATAGTTTTATTTGAATAAATAGAGAGCAGAGATTATGTAAAGTAATGCTGGAGAGCAGAGATTATGTAAAGTAATGCTTGAGAGCAGAGATTATTTAAAGTAATGCTTTAGAGCAGAGATTATGTAAATAATGCTTGAGAGCAGAGATTTTGGAAATAATGCTTGAGAGCTGAGATTGTGTAAAGCAATGCTTGAGAGCAGAGATTATGTAAAGCAATGCTTGAGAGCAGAGATTATTCAAAGTAATGCTTTAGAGCAGAGATTATGTAAAGCAATGCTTGAGAGCAGAGATTATTTAAAGTAATGCTTTAGAGCAGAGATTATGTAAATAATGCTTGAGAGCAGAGATTTTGTAAATAATGCTTGAGAGCTGAGATTGTGTAAAGCAATGCTTGAGGGCAGAGATTATGAAAATTAATGCTTAACGGTGAGCAAAGATAATGTAATGCTTAACAACAGAGAGCAGAGATTATTTAAAAGTAATGCTCGAGAGCAGAGATTATTAAAGTAATGCTTCAGAGCAGAGATTATGTAACATAATGCTTGAGAGCAGAGATTTTGTAAATAATGTTTGAGAGCAGATATTGTGTAAAGCAATGCTTGAGAGCAGAGATTATGTAAAGTAATGCATGAGAGCAGAGATTATGTAAAGTAATTCTTAACAGAGAGCAAAGATTATGTAAAGTAATGCTTAACAGAGAGCAAAGATTATGTAAAGTAATGCTTAGTTTCAAACATAATTTTTCTTCAATTTTTCTTAATTTATATAAAAAGCTCAAGACACGCCAGTGTGTCACACACAACATGCCAGTGTGTCACACACAACATGCCAGTGTGTCACACACAACATGCCAGTGTGTCACACACAACATGGCAGTGTGTCACACACAACATGGCAGTGTGTCACACACAACATGGCAGTGTGTCACACACAACATGTCAGTGTGTCACACCCAACATGGCAGTGTGTCACACACAACATGGCAGTGTGTCACAAACAACATGCCAGTGTGTCACACACAACATGCCAGTGTGTCACACACAACACGCCAGTGTGTCACACACAACACGCCAGTGTGTCACACACAACATGCCAGTGTGTCACACACAACATGCCCGTTGAAAACCACTGCAGTGGAGTATTATTGATTAGTGCTTGTTAGTGGATAAATATCTTGGTGACCAGTAGGGCTCTTGATTAACAGATAAAAAGATTTTTCAACAATTTACCAATTGGTTAATCTGCTCAGAATCCAATCGCTTTATCCTCATGAGCTGCGGGGCATCACTACGGGCAGCATTGCCAGCAATCTCAGTACTGATTATCTGGAAGTGTTCGAATACAAATTTGTGTACAAAGTTCTTTTAATCCTCTACTATATGGTGCAGACTGCATTAAAATGATCAGCTGGAAGTAGGTGGCTGTAATGAGATGGCTCAAGCCATTATGCTAACTCAATGTACAACTTTAATCTAGAAGCATCCCTGAAACTGTGACATCGACAAAAGTAACTTCTACGGTGACTTGAATGTTAGAAATGTCGAATGCCCCATAGAATGTAATGTAATGATACTTTATGTAGTTTTGGTTGTCCAGGAAATAGGGAATTCAAATGGGGACATTTATTTGTTACAGTGGGTGCAAAAATAAACTTAATCTGCAGTTCTGTAACTCAAACAGCCTGACCAGCCCCAATTTCTTTACAGTTTTTCTTCAACTATAAAAGAAAAATTATCAAATCTGTTTTTCGTTTGATAAAACTGAAATTGAAACAAATCAATCCAACAAATAAAAAACACAAGAAACACGTTTAAAGTAACCCAAGAAACACGTTTAAAGTAACCCAACAAAATTTTTAAAGTAACCCAAGAAACATGTTTAAAGTAACCCAAGAAACATGTTTAAAGTAACACAAGAAACATTTTTAAAGTAACCCAAGAAACATTTTTAAAGTAACCCAAGAAACATGTTTAAAGTAACCCAAGAAACATGTTTAAAGTAACCCAAGAAACATGTTTAAAGTAACCCACGAAACATTTTTAAAGTAACCCAAGAAACATGTTTAAAGTAACCCTAGAAAATATTTAAAGTAACCCAAGAAACATTTTTAAAGTAACCCAAGAAACATGTTTAAAGTAACCCAAGAAACATTTTTAAAGTAACCCAAGAAACATTTTTAAAGTAATCCAAGAAACATGTTTAAAGCAACCCAAGAAACATGTTCAAAGTAACCCTAGAAAATGTTTAAAGTAACCCAAGAAACATGTTTAAAGTAGCCCAAGAATCATTTTTAAAGTAACCCAAGAAACATTTTTAAAGTAATCCAAGAAACATGTTTAAAGTAACCCAAGAAACATGTTTAAAGTAACACAAGAAACATTTTTAAAGTAACCCAAGAAACATTTTTAAAGTAACCCTAGAAACATGTTTAAAGTAACCCAAGAAACATTTTTAAAGTAACCCAAGAAACGTTTTTAAAGTAACCCAAGAAACATGTTTAAAGTAACCCACGAAACATTTTTAAAGTAACCCAAGAAACATGTTTAAAGTAACCCTAGAAAATGTTTAAAGTAACCCAAGAAACATTTTTAAAGTAGCCCAAGAAACATGTTTAAAGTAACCAAAGAAACATTTTTAAAGTAACCCAAGAAACATTTTTAAAGTTTATTTTTGAATTTCTTGAATCCCTGATCTTAAGAGCATTTAGTCCCACAAGAAAGATGTGGAACGATGGAATAGTTTTGACTTTGTAAATACTGTTTAACAAATGTTTGTGTTTTCTATAAGTGTGTCAAGCAAACTTGTGGGTTCTTTTAACATGATACACCTAATACGTTTATGGGTTTTCTGTCCACATGTCTGAGAAACTACACGGATCTATTAAAATAGATCTCCATGTTTCGTAATTATTTAATTACGATCAAAGTTGTATAGCAGGACCAAAGCTCAACAAAAATAGTTACCCACCTTTTGCTGTCTACTGCGAGCAGCACTTTCTCTGTTTACTGGTGTGGGTTTGGTAATGATGAACTCTTGACCTTTCACCTCTGACTCTTTGTGAGCGGCTGCAGATGAAATTGTAGAACCAAAATTACTCCTTTTTTTTTTGGTCTTAATCTCACCACCTTTGAAAATTACTACTCTTAAGTAACAAAATGGCAAATAATCTTCTGGGGGTTTTTTGGGGGGTATAATTAGGAATTTCGTTTCTTTGTTTATCAATGCCTGACAATGTGAGAAATGGCTGAGAACAATAATAACCACAGAACTCCTGTTCAATTTAAACTGTCTTAACATAATGGTGTGGACTCTTTTGATGACTGCTGTTGTACACTGTGAGGCTTATCATTAGCTGTGTTAACTCAAACTTTCTCTACTCAGTAGATGAGGCAGATGGCTCATTTAGCTGGCCATAAAGAGCATCAGAGTAAACAAAGATCTAATATCTAAAGAGTAACATTCTCATACATCCAGCTGAATTTATCATGTTGGGATACATTCCATTATCCCACACACTTTTACAAGTCAAACAAATCACTTACACTTGCACTGAATAAACAGACAATGATTTGAAGCAAGATAAGTTAAGAATAAACAATAAATATAATAAATAGAAGGCAAACAGGAAGAAGAAATTAAACAAATGTTTCTTCATGCAGATTTACCTTCCAGACTTTCAGGTGCTTCTGCGTCTCCGCTGTTTAATATATCACCAGCTGCAACACCAAGTGTATTCAAATTTTTTACCGAAGAGCTGTTGTGGTTTAATGCTGGATCACACTCTGGGTTGTCTGCCTTTGTTTGTGGTGGTGTTGGTGAATCAAGGAAAATATCTGGAAGTGCCATTACATTTTTTGCAATTTACTACCACTATGGGGGGTTAGGTGTGTAAGGGGGGGGGGGATCTCAGGGTTTAAAATTCCTATAACAGTGGTTCCCAACTTGTTTTCCTCTGAGCTTAAATGCCTCGCACTTGGCTGGGGCTCTGCTGGCGCTCCAGGACACTCCGAAACACCAACAACTTTCAAGACATAAACTGATTCTAAAAAAGGGGCTCCGCTAATCAAAATGGTTGGGAACCGCTGTTCTCGAGGGTACTCTAGGTTTAAAACATTTGAAATATGCAGAAAATCTATTGTTAGTAAGATATGGTTTTGCAAGACTGGGAAGTGGAAAGCCTGTTGACCAACTTATGTTACCCGCAAGGCATTAGATGAGAAAGTGACAAGCAGTTGGTTACACGCTCACACCAAAGACATGTCTTGTATGAGAAGTGCAGCACCATCTGGGCTGGCAGAAAGACATCTCCTTCTATTCCAGCCACAAGACCCTGAACATCAGCAGATGTTCATTTAACTTATAGGACAGCAGCTTTTAATCTCCCCTGAGGTAACTGGCAGATCTGGAGTTTATAGTTATTTAATTCACAACATTCCAGCAACTGGCGATAACTGATATACCCTATTGTCAAACTTAGTCATTCCGCCAGTGATGTTCCTCTCACAACCAAGGGACCTACCCTAATGCCAAACTTAGTCATTCCGCTAGTGATGCTCCTCTCGCAACACAGGGCACTACAGGACACAACTACAAGTTACCTTGTTTAACTGTGAACTGTGTGTCAAGGAAAAACTCCTCAGATTTGGTGACGTCATCGGTACTCAGTACATTCCCCAACACTTGCAGCATACTCCCAAGTCTCTTTACGCCTGGATCCTCGAACACATTCGGCTTCTTCTTCTCTGTGACAATGAAACACACAACTTCCTTTTAACACAAGTGTGCAATTTCGACAATGTCCGAACACAATGTGATGCACAGCACCGGTACATCAACTAAGTGTTTGTAACCTGTGTGTGCAAGGTCTGGTATATATTTGAAATCACCTGTATCATTTCATGGATGTTTAAGAAAAAAATTTACTTCAATCATTTATTTGTTCCAGTGTTGTTGCCAAATTTTACCTTTTTTACATTTCACTACACCAACGGCAAAGTGATTTACTTGACATAAAAGTGTTTTAACAGTAAATCAAATGCATTCGCATTATCTCAAACTAAACTAGAGGCTGATTATTGTCTCACACTATTTTTGTTTTTGAACCTCATGATCAACCACACCAGCATCTATGAGTCATGCTCTAGGTAAATCTGGTAGTAACAATCCTTGAAATGATTCACTGGGACAAAAATGTACTGATCATCTCACTGATTCACAATCTCAGCAACAGATTACATCTCAGAGGTGCCAGTGTTCCTCAACCTGCCGTTCATGGGCCTTTGAAGGTCTGTAAATAAGGACCCAGGGAAATGGGAACCCACAAATGATTTTAAATAGTAATGGCTGAATTTTTAATGTATTCCTTTTCATACAGGGAACAATGACGTATTAATCACTGACTGAAGAGAGTTTGCCAGCTGAGATTTCTGGGACACCTTCGACATATTTTACAATACTGATAGCTAAATAAAGTTTATTTACACCACCCCAAAAAATAAATATTGATTCTAAGAAATTATGTATTTTAAAAACATTGAATACTTCTGGCAACAACATTGATTAAAATGTTTCAGACTATCACAAATTTAATGACAAGAATTATATAACTTGATGAGTTGACATATTCTCCAGAAATGTGCAGGTATTACATTCATAATTCATTTTTAAATTTCCCTTGATTTAATACATAAAAAAACACCTCGTCCGATTATGATAAATAAGACAAGGTCTGCTTCTGGTAATTAAGACAGCCTTATTTAATTCTTTAAAAATATCATTAGTTTGAGAGCAAATGAAAATAAATCAATTTTCAAGGCTCAAGCCTTTTATTGTTAATATATGATCATTTTGAAATCTATCAGGTAATTTTTATGTGATGTCATCTATCTTCACAGCAACCTCCTCTAAATCTTTTTTAACCCTCTAATTGATGTCCTCTATGCTGAGGTCAAAGTCAAGAACAACCCTTGTAAAACACCTACTCACCAGACAAGAATGACTATTCAATGTTCATACTACTAACACAACAACAACAACAACAAAAACACTTACAAAATGATGGATCCACTTCAAATGTTTATACTTGAATACATCACAGAGAAGAAACCCAGCCCTTTCCTCTATCACAATGTAATGAACGAAAGACTTTGCTAAAGTCTGTTCATGCCAACCAAAGAAATTATGACATCTTTAATGAGATGAACTTGCTTGAGGGCTGCCCAGTTACATTAAGGTACCAAACACTCCCAATCAGCTAACACAAATATACTTGAATACATCACAGAGAAGAAACCCAGCCCTTTCCTCTATCACAATGTAATGAACGAAAGACTTTGCTAAAGTCTGTTCATGCCAACCAAGAAATTATGACATATTTAATGAGATGAACTTGCTTGAGGGCTGCCCAGTTACATAAGGTACTCAACACTCCCAATCAGCCAACACAAGACAATGGACAGTGGGTACTTCACTAAGAAAGCCTAGGCTTAAACCTATCCAACCTTTCATCAACAGTACACCGCTGAGGTAACAACTGGTGATCACGGCCTGATTTCCACTCACTTTGCCCATGACCCAGAATGTCAAGAGCTCGTCAAGTTGTCAGTAGTGTCCATCAAAGTCAGATAATTCTACAGCTTTGTTCACATCACTTTACCAAGCCACTGACAGATACAGATAGTTGTGGTCAGTACAAGACAAGCCACTGACAGATACAGATAGCTGTGGTCAGTACAAGACAAGCCACTGACAGATACAGATAGGTGTGGTCAGTACAAGACAAGCCACTGACAGATACAGATAGTTGTGGTCAGTACAAGACAAGCCACTGACAGATACAGATAGCTGTGGTCAGTACAAGACAAGCCACTGACAGATACAGATAGCTGTGGTCAGTACAAGACAAGCCACTGACAGATACAGATAGTTGTGGTCAGTACAAGACAAGCCACTGACAGATACAGATAGTTGTGGTCAGTACAAGACAAGCCACTGACAGATACAGATAGTTGTGGTCAGTACAAGACAAGCCACTGACAGATACAGATAGTTGTGGTCAGTACAAGACAAGCCACTGACAGATACAGATAGTTGTGGTCAGTACAAGACAAGCCACTGACAGATACAGATAGTTGTGGTCAGTACAAGACAAGCCACTGACAGATACAGATAGTTGTGGTCAGTACAAGACAAGCCACTGACAGATACAGATAGTTGTGGTCAGTACAAGACAAGCCACTGACAGATACAGATAGTTGTGGTCAGTACAAGACAAGCCACTGACAGATACAGATAGTTGTGGTCAGTACAAGACAAGCCACTGACAGATACAGATAGTTGTGGTCAGTACAAGACAAGCCACTGACAGATACAGATAGTTGTGGTCAGTACAAGACAAGCCACTGACAGATACAGATAGTTGTGGTCAGTACAAGACAAGCCACTGACAGATACAGATAGTTGTGGTCAGTACAAGACAAGCCACTGACAGATACAGATAGTTGTGGTCAGTACAAGACAAGCCACTGACAGATACAGATAGTTGTGGTCAGTACAAGACAAGCCACTGACAGATACAGATAGTTGTGGTCAGTAAAAGAAAACTTTTCTCCCCAGCTTATTTCCCTTCTCTGATAACACTAAATTTATTATTATAAGTTATTCGAAGTGTGCAGAGCAGCAACTTTTTTCCTACCTTGTTATTTCATATCTCGCCCCCCCCCCCCACCCCTCCAAACCGCTCCATAAAAAAAACCACCATTAACATTGTGGGTCCCCGACTATTAATTTTCACATGTAAAAATTACTTTGTTCACTCTTGACAATAATTTCTTTTCAACCCTATTGATAACAGACACATGAAGTATGATAAGAATTAATTTGTTTGTGTGTCGTCTACTAATCAACATGTGCAGACAAGGTTTATTCTTATATTTTGTGCAATGACAAATAATGCAGGTGTTAGTAGATTGGGGTGCTCAAATTTATCCTATGGCTTGCATGGATTAGGGCTTTGGCAAGTGTGCTGTATGAAATGAAGATTTGGTGATCAATATGGAATATAATGTACATCATTAAAAATAATACTGAATCCTTGTAACACTTTGCTGATTGAGTGTATTAAGTTAGACCTAAAAATACTAACAAAATGTTTTCAGGTATTGTTATGATATTCTCATTTAATCCTGTAATGTTCTCATTTAATCCTGTGATGTTCTTATGTAATATTGTGATGCTCTTATTTAATACCGTGATGTTCTCATGTAATACTGTGATATTCTCATGTATTACTGCGACGTTCTCATTTAATCCTGTGATGTTCTCATTTAACCCTGTGATGTTCTCATTCAGTTAAGCTTCATTTTGTTTCATCAAAATGGAAACTGAATGACAAATGATGACCATCCCCAAGACAGTGATAATAAAATGTATGTAGAAAAGATTGTCTTGCTTCTTTGAATGATCAAAGATGTTTCCACAAGGTCAAAATATTTCAAGGATATTCAAATGAACTTTTGGCTTGGTATTAATATCCAACAAATGACTGGAGACTGGCAAAAAAACACTTTTGTTTAGCTATGAATTAGAGTTGAAATATTATTGGGGATGGCCGTTCTCTGCCACACGGTGTAAGATAAATTTTCTCCAGCCTCCCAAGCTCTGAGAGGGAGTGGGAAGCCAGCAGCATGAGAAGCCGTCAGGTTGTGAGTGTCAAGGCTAGGAAGTACTGAGATGACCAAATCTCCCCCAAAAAAGTTTATGAGAAGTTTGAGAATGCCATTTAACAAGAGAACTGGTTTTCCCAAGTATACAGCAGTTACTTATTGAGTTTATAGTCCTTACCTTTACTCAGAACATTCTGCCGCAATTTTTCTGCCTCCTTCATTGACGCCATGGCAGCGTCCTTCTCTGTGACAATGACAGCCTGAGATTTAGGTCGTAGTGGAGCGGGGTCAAGGTCCTCTACTACTAAGGATGGCCTTTCAAATGTGGGGGAGCCACCGCTGACGGTGGCGCGGCGTTGCTTAGCATCAACAATCACAGGAAGTGTGAACTGGGGTGACTCCGAGCCGCTGCGGAACACATCATTGTCTGTGTCGTTGCCGTCAACAATATCTTCGGGTGACTCTCTGACAACAAAAAATAATAACCTTACACTGTCATTATGTCACATGGAAATACAAATCACACAAGTGATTTTAAGATTGAATCAAATAACTTCTACTGTGCGCTGCGGCCCAATACTTTCAGTAATAAGGATCTAAAGTTAAATTAACTTTAAATATAAATAGATGTTTATTACAACAGAGTTAATACAGAGTATATGGTAGAGTTGAGTGGAGCAAATATTTTGCAGCACCTATTTCTTCATTCCCAGAGGCACACATCTGATAAACTACAATATTGTAACACTTTTCTGAGTAAATAATACTGTATACAAAAACCATTTCTTTCTTTTAATTAACATTCATTATCAAATAAAAAGATTAAAATATATATATTCAAAATGTTGTTATTTGTTAAAATTAACTTTTTATATAACTAGATTTATTATCTTTCATCCTCTTAAAAGTTTAGTTTTAACAGTTCTGAGCCATTATTTACTTTTCTATAAATGAAAGGTGCATATCATTGTGTGATCAATGGCTTAGCTGTTGACCACAATAAACCAAATAAGAGAAACTTTGCTACAAGGTCAATAATCCATAAATACTAGGTTTATTGACTTTTATGAATCAATGATTAAATTACTTTTTGGTCAGGCTGGGGGTAAGTTTGGGTCAGGATGAGGTAAAATAGGATATTAGAGAACCAGAGGCCAATAAAATCTTGGTTTGGGCTCCGAAAGTTGTGATATTTATATTATTATTTTTGTTTTAATTTGGATACCCTAGGTTTATTCAATTCATTCATTTGTGACATTCATTTTGTTTTTTTATCATGCTCATAAATGTTGTCTTAGGCAAAGGTGAAAATAAATCCTAAGGAATAATAACATTTCCATTATTTATTTTTTTTTAATAATTTTTTTCAATAAAAATAAGGGAAACCTAAGCTTATTCAATTCATTCATTCATTGACATTCATTTCAAAAATTGTCATTGACAACGAAATAAACTGTAAATATCCTACCAAATTAGTCATGTATATGGACACAAATGTAAAGAAAGAGAAAAATTAAACCTTTAGTCTTTAGCAATATTAACAAAAATATAATTATTTATTTTAATTCTGTATAATTAGGCATAAAATAGGCTTATATTTAAATCATAAGCCTACACTCACATTGGTATGTATCACTGTTTTCTATATTAATTATGTAGTAAGCTTACTGTATTGTCATACTAAACGTAGCTAAACATTCGTTCAAGTTTTGTTTAATCTGTGGGTCAAATCTAAAATGACCCCACCCATGATAATTCCTGATGAACAAAAAATTTAAATATCAACGAATAAGAACGCAGTTTCAAAAGTATGGGTTAGCGGAACAAAGAGTTCCTTCAAGGCTTATGTCAAAGGCTTCAAGCCAAGTATTCTTTAGATGTTAATCTATTAAAATTGACCATAATATCATTTTTGATGAAAAGTATATAAATATTTGATACTTTACCCCATCATTTTTCAACATGCGTAGACAAATGCACAAACGAGTTTCAAAATATCTAAATCTTTTGATTTTGGCTTAAACTTGCATTAATCTTTTGGATATGGCAGAAAGTTTTTTTAACTTTCGGTTGGGTCTCGGTTTTGGCCAAAACCAGAAAATGACATTTGGTCGGTCCTTATAGAGAACCGTTGTGAGAAGTTTTAGAGGTAACTGTATAAGGATGCCAATTTCTAAAGCAGAAATACAAAAAAGGGACTGATAAAAAACACATGAAGTAAGTAATCAAACATATTTAGAAGATGACTATGTTTGATAAAGAACTTTTATTATTTTAATGTCAGATCAAAAAAACTGTTTTGTATTTTAACGTAATTGTTTCAAAATATAATTTCTTACTTCACTAATTAGTTTGTCATTTAAAAATAATTATTAAATCATTTGCTTTCCATTAATGGACCAATCTGAGATCTTGGAGGAAAAAAAAAATCCAGTAGTTTTTAGGTCCACTTAAAAAAAAAAGCACAGCTGTTTGAAGACTTCGAATTGCCTCAAATTGAAATGTATGAAAAATTGTTACTAATCATTGGGGGAATCACAGGCATATTCCTGGGCTAGTTGCAAAGCATGGTCATTGAGAAATAAAAAAAAAAAACTATTTATCACTTATTATATTTATTTCATTACTTCCATGCATTATTTTTGTGTTTTTAGCATAGGCCAAGAAAGGTCAGAAGCATGGTAAATCTCTGTATACGCTTCGTTTCCTTTCTTTTAAATACTGTTTATAAGTAAGACTTTTGGAGATGTTCATAAAGCAATCAGATGACAACACTTTATAAATGTGATAAATAATTCTTTTTTAAGAGGGGGAACTTGAATCAAATACAAGGAAAGACAAAATAGATAAAATAGGAAGTAGGAAGTAAATTTCAAAGTGAGCCATTTCATGACTGGTTTAAAGCATTGATTTAGAGTTACAGGGTGATGAACAAGCTCCAACAAGAAAGTGGACCAAAAAAGCAGATAACAGACAGAAAAATTCAGCTTTTAACTAGAAAATCAATACATTACATCACCAACTGTTAGTAGTGGGTAATCAGCTTCTTGGATTTTTTCCACAGCTAAAATAAAAATGTCAACAAGCCACAAGCCTAACATGGCCCCAGTTAATCACATTAAGAGTGACAGATGCCACAAACTTAGAAACATGTTTAATTTTAGTAACTACCTGAGCTCAGGTAGCTGCTTCCAAAATAAACACACAGCAGCCCATGGATGAAGGGTCCTCAAAAAATATGTTACCACTGCCCCATTAATGATTTTTATCTATACCCTTCCCTCAAATCATTCTGCCCCCACCATAGAATCATTTTTTAAAAATTAATTAGAAAATGAATGCATAAGTAAATACATTAAAAAACTGCTAAGATAGAATATCGCCTAGCAATATAAAAACTATATTTCTATTATTTTGTGGCAATGTTTAATGAACTAACTAATTTAATTTTTTTTAATTAATTTTTTTTTTGTCTGCTGAAGAAGGCATTTAGCCAAACCGCCGTTTTCATTGTTCTGTCTTTTTCCAAGCCTTAAAATATCTTGTTCCACCATTTGTCTAATTAAAATTACAGGAGTTTGTTTTTGTAAAGCTTTATTAAGTTTTATCCAATATTTACCAATTATTACAACTTTGGGAACCCTTGACCCAGCAGTCTAACTGATGTAAAGGGTAAGATGCTATATGCTAATTCTTTGTGGGCCAGCTTCATAAGTAGGACCTGATATCTCAAAACTAGTGTGCCCGGGGTTTAGGACTGTGGTGGGACTGGCACATTTAGCTAAGTGATGATGAATGGGTACATTCATATTTAGTAGGAGTCAATCAAGATTTACATGTCATATAATGTGAGCCTGACATTCATATTTAGTAGGAGTCAATCAAGATTTACATGACATATAATGTGAGCCTGACATTCATATTTAGTAGGAGTCAATCAAGATTTACATGTCATATAATGTGACCCTGACATTCATATTTAGTAGGAGTTAATCAAGATTTACATGTCATACAATGTGACCCTGACATTCATATTTAGTAGGAGTCAATCAAGATTTACATCCTAAATTATGTGACCCTGAAATTCAAATTTAGTAAGAGTAAATAAAGGTTAACATTGCATATTATGTGACCCTCACATTCATATTTAGTTGAATCCAATAAAGATATACATCCTACATTATGTGACCCTTGAAAGAAGGCCAAAATCTCCAAACATCTCTTTCAGTTTCACCTCTTTGTTAAGGAGTCATTGAGTCATCTACTTTTGACTTTCTTAGTCAAGTGAATTGCCATGATTAGCTCTTGACAAATGTGTCAATTTTATCAGATGATGGCTCTTGGCAAAAAAAAAAAAAAAGGACTATCCTAGTCACTATAAGCTTTCAGTTTCACCTCTTTGTTAAGGAGTCATTGAGTCATCTACTTTTGACTTTCTTAGTCAAGTGAATTGCCATGATTAGCTCTTGAAAAATGTGTCAATTTTATCAGATGATGGCTCTTGGAAAAAAAAAAAAAAAAAGGACTATCCTAGTCACTATAAGCAGTTTCTTAAGCTTTTAGCATTGCTGTGTTAAAATAAATCTAGCATAAGAATGGATTATTTTGTCAATATCTAAGGTGTTTTCAAAATCATTTAAGTTGAAGTATTTTCATTACTCATTGCTTTTCCAATTCCAAATCCTTGAAGCTCTCACTCAATCTTGGATCTAATCAACCCAACCAATGAACAACCACAATTGTTCTTAGGCTTTTTGATAAGTGTTGTATTTTAAACCACTTCCTATTCCTGAACATCAATTTCAAAACAGAGCAATAGATATCTGCGCGCTTGCTGCAGACAATAAATGTAGAACTGTTAATTTATGAACAGTGCATGTTTTTATAATCTCAAATAAATATTTCTCACACGCTTCATCCTTTGTCTTACCAAACCACATGACACACACAACACACATAACAAAGTGTATCACTGTCTCAAAGAGTATGACTCACAGCCAAACCATTCGATTAATTAAATAAACATCCTGACCTACTCCCACCCATACCTCCTACTCTTCCATTTTCTAAATTTCAAGCACCAACCAAAGTGTTATCTCAGATGTAATCTACCGCAAAAGGTAAATACTGTTGAGAAACTTAAACCTGTTGTGATCATTTAGGCACTGGTTCACTTGTGTTTCCATTCATCCAATACTGGATACATCAAATATAGATATGCAACACCAACCAGGAAGCTCAATATGTACATGACATAGAATAAGTTTGATTCAAAAGTAATTTGTGGGTAGATACCAGTTAGCTGACATGGCTCCTTATACTGTTTTCTTCTAAGCATAATTTGATTGCTTTGCATTGGGACGTTAGTGAGTTCTAAGACAGTCAGCAGCCTTTCACAATTTTTATCTTATGGGTAAATTCACTTTTTTTTTATACCCAAAATATATAACACTATTTATTATTAATTTTCTACATATATGCAAATTATAACTGAATATTAGAATTTGGATGTACCAAATTTATTCTAACTCAGACATTTATAGATAAGTAGCCTACCAAGAGAATATCGGATTTATAAACTGGTAGGTCAATGGTGAAATATGTTATTAGTCATCATCAAACAGTCATTATAAAAAAAAAGTTAATGAAGAAAAATAAGAAGCAAAAAATTTTAACTTTTTTTTACCAAAATATGTTTAAATATCTCCACAATGACGACTGCTACTAGGAAATAACTTTTCAAGTCTGCTTTATTTCATATAGTGAGCAAAACAGGTTTTAAATATAAAAAAAGGTAACTAAACATTTATAAAGAACATTCACTGTTAGAAAATACCAGAAGCCCTAAGTGCACAATATGTTATTCCAAATAAAATCAGGACACAATCATATGCACCAAGGGGGCATACATTAAAGCTACCTACATTCACCTAGTATTTCACTTCCTGTATATAGTTTATCTGTAATAATATCTGCAAGTTCTAATCAAAACAATAACACCTCAACAGTTGGTGATTTATATCAACAATTTTATCAAAGCCATGCACTGCCCACATAATGTACAGTCATATACAAGCTATCTCCAAGCACACAAGGGTCTAGCTCTTATCTTTGTAATAATCAATCAATTGCCTTTATATTAGAGCAAAACAACTGCATTGGTATTTATCTAATGCAGAGTTGGATTGCATTGCTTTCTTAAAAAAAGGCCATCTAAGTCAGTGACGTCCAAGCTAAGTTCGGGGGGATCTAAGTCAGTAGTGCAAAATCTATTTCAGTCAGGGGAGTTAAGTCAGTGGTGCATATCCCATTTAAGGCAGAGGATTTAAGTCAATGGTGCACAGTCTATTTAAGTCATGGGAGCTAATTCAGGGGCACACAACCTTTTTTAAGGCAGAGAGGTAAGTCAATGGTGCACAACATATTTAAGCCAGGGAGGACTAAGTCAAGTCGCTCATTACTGATTCAATGACAGAATTTTTTATATAACTGAGATTTTGTTAAGGAAAAAAAAGGAGATAAAACTTTGTATCTTATGGAATGACTGCGACACAGCACTGGACTTTTTTTTTTTAATTTAAATGGAGTGTATTGAGTATCAACAAACCAAAGCAAAGTTTACAAGGAAATGAAGTCTTGTTTTTAAAGTTCGGCTTGTTTATGTGACTAACAAGATTACCTAAAAAATAAATAGTCAACAAAAAACAACATACATTCATGTAAAGCTCATGTGTAAATATCTTGGTATGTTGTGTGACATACTTGATCTATAACTGTTTTATAAAAACAGTTTTGTTTACCCACCAAATGAGTCACAGAATCTCAATGCATGACTGGGATGTTAACTGGCTGTTGTGGAATGGGAGGGCAGCAGTCAATCAGAGTGTACACATCAAGGAATTATGTGAGAGACTGGGATGTTAACTGGCTGTCGTGGAATAGGAGGGCAGCAGTCAATCAGAGTGTACACATCAAGGAATTTTGTGAGAGACTGGGATGTTAACTGGCTGTTGAGGAATGGGAGGGCAGCAGTCAGTCAGAGTGTACACACCAAGGAATCATGTGAGAGACTGGGATGTTAACTGGCTGTTGTGGAATGGGAAGGCAGCAGTTAATCAGAGTGTACACACCAAGGAATCATGTGAGAGGCATCTTTTGGATTTGACCAGTTTAACTTCCATTTTTACTGTGCTCCTTTGTTTCTTCACAGAGACTGAAAGAGCTACATTTGTGATCTGGGAACACTTTAGTGTTAATTTCAAATAATTTTGTTACTTCTTGTTTTCTACTGTCTGCTGAAAAAGGCATTTAGCCTAAACATCCTTTTAATTGATTTGTTGTTTTTTGAACCCTAAACATCTATTATTCCGCAATATATTTACTTCCCAGGGCTTGAACCTTCCCAGGGCTTGAACGCAGTCCTCTCTCCCCCCCCCCTTTTTTATTTTATGCTATTTTGGTCTTGCCTGTGCCATTGAAAAATGCCTCTGTGTGCTACATCTGGCACGCATGGTATATATTGCCAGCCCCTGGTCTGGTGTGTAAGGTTTAGTTTATTTACATGTTGATCACACAATGCACTGTTGATGGTGATAACACAAGTTAGTCACATCATGCAGGGTTGATGGTGTTACTTGTGTTACACAGGTAAGTTACAAAGAGCAGAGTTTGTACTAAAACTGAGCAGCAGAAAATGAAAAAATGTCATGTTTTAGGATTTGACAATGAATATGAAAGAGCTATTTTACTCTTTTTTTTTTTTTTAAATTTATTTTTGTGGTTTATTTACATTGCGTTGGAAGCTTGTAGACAGAGAATTTTTTAACCTATGCCAAGTTATATGCCCACTTTGGTGGCTAAGGTTGTTGGTTTTTTTATTACTTGGTGATATCTTCCTCCCCAATAGTAACTATTAAGTCCATTACTTTGATCATTTATCCATAGTTTTGTTTGAAATGCACACAGGTGAGTCTGCAATCCATTTATAACATTGATGGCAAGTTAAATTAACATATTGATACATGGGCAGGCTTTGGTTATTTTTTGGGGCATGTATTCTCTACTCTTAAACTGACAGTGTTTAAAATAAGCTCATGAAACTGTGCACAGAACTGCAGCTATAAAAACAGAAGAACTTTTAAGTATCAAACAAATTTATTCACAATTCCTTTGGATCTGGGGAATTCAATACACACTTTTGAAGAATACAAGGTGGCAATTTTGTTTCTAGCAGCCCCATCAATCAAAAGAAAAAACAGTGAATCATAAACAAACATAAAAAGCAACATATTTAAGTGCAATAATTAATGGCACAATTTTAATTTTATTTTAACAATGTGATCCATCAGTTTTTAATGGGACAAAAAAACTGTCAATCCCAGATTAACTTTACTAGATTATTATTGATTTTTTTGCATTAATATGACAGGAATTACTATCGGGATAGTGACTAAGTGTGCAGGAAAACAATTTAGTTTCCATATCATAAAATAATTTTAATGAAAAGTTGAGATTTGTGATTTATTTTTAATGGTGTTTTTATGATTTAACCCACGAGCTATGGCATGCATCATTCTGTGGTGTGGAGCTTTTCAGAGCGTTTTGAGTGCCATTTGAAATTGCATTAAATGACATAGAAATGTTGATGCAAGACCCCCTATAAGTATATATTTTTAGAAAGGTAAATGGATGGGGATAAAGTTGACCATATTGCCAACCCCCCTCAAAAAAAATTTGCTCAGTGTCCTTGACCTTGGAGTTCTCAAGAAAAAAAAATTAACAAAATGTCTTGCTTTCAAATGCTCATAACATCATTAATTTTTATAGATACACTTAAAACACAAATCTAAATATTGTAGCCAATTCATTTATCTTTAAGAAAATGTATAGTTTGCTAAGGTTTTGATTGCAATTAAACCTCTGAAAGCAATTTTAGTAATTTTAGGTCATTTATATAAGAAACTGGGACCACTGCTACAACCAAGGATAAAATATGTAATCTCAGGCAAAATAGTTATTATTGACTAGTAAACATTTAAAAAGGAACTGTGGAATTGATTTGGGTTATTTAACTATAAAATTTATTAGTTCTGAACAATAATCTGTAGCTTCTGTGACTAAAATTCATTCAGTCCTTGCCCAACCTCCGGGCCTGGCTCGAAGTCTAACAGTAGCCTCAGTAGGCCTACTTCAGTATCACTAAGACTAGTATAAATTCACGAGAAGAAGAATCTCAACTGATATCATCATGGGGAATGTTAAAATCATCATCAGTATCACTTAAAACCTCTCCTAAAAAGCTTTCAAACATATTTCTATTAGTTCTTGCACTGAAGGCCCAGCCATGGCTTCAACCATTTTAGCTTTAAAAAAATCAGCGATATAAAACTCCGATTAAAAATTATTTAATTTCAAGTTATCACGAAACAGCTTGAACCAGAAGATGATTTAATTATTAATAAAAGGACGTGGCTATAATTACGGTTAAATATTGGATAGGAAGTTGCTATCGGACCATGTCTTTTATCGTCCGATTTTTTTCGGGCCGCCACAGTACAGAACAAGAATGTTGGCCGATTTTTTCGACCGACCACAGTTCGTGGATTAAGCTCACATGAATCATAGGGTCAGGTGCAAATGCACATACATTAATTAGTTGTTTATACTTTGTTTTTGAAAATCGAGAGGTTCTCTCTAAACACTTACACCAAGGTGGTTTACCTGATCACAGGTTCTTAGTGGTAAAAAATTCACAATTTTTTAAAGGTTTATTGTCAAAATTTACATTTTCACAGTTCTGATATCAGATTTTGAAATTTTCATAACAACAACAAAAAGTGACACTGAAAATCTACACTGAAAATTTTAACACAGTATTTCCTACTTACTTAGTTATGTAAATATCTCCAGTTGGAACGGATGAAGTCACATACTCTTCTAGTGTCGGCCGCTGTGGTTTTTCTCCATCTTTAGATCTGCGCTTTTTCATTGTTTTTGGCAGCGTAGCAACAGAAGGAACATGCCTAAAAATAGTAGGTTGTAATAGGTGAAAACAGAATGTTAATACAGGGTCTCCATTATAATGATTTGTGTCTATTCACACACATATCATTCAAACAAATTCAAACTGCCCCAAATATAATTTGAAAAATATCAAAATTTCCAGGTGTTCAAAGCAATGTATATAACATTCTTAGACTCTAGATTTAGATCATTATGTAATGAGAATTTTTTTTTTTTTTTTTTTTTTATGAATGAAAGGATACATATTTTTTCTGCATATTCCATTTTTGATATTTTACTATTTTAACTTCTGTAAAATTATTTTTTAGATCATTATGTAATGAGAATTTTTTTTTTTTTTTTTTTTTTATGAATGAAAGGATACATATTTTTTCTGCATATTCCATTTTTGATATTTTACTATATTAACTTCTGTAAAATTATTTTAAAGAAGAAAAAATTTAAACCTACTTATAATACAAAAAATCAAAGTAGAATGCTGCACCTAAAACACTTGAAATGCAGCTATATGTTACTTAAATTTTGAAGATATTACATATAAAAGAAGATACTTAAGTAATAGTATAATTTATCCCAGCCTCACCTGTTAGCCATCTGCCTTCTGTTAGGGTAATTTCCATAAGGAGTTGTATGCCGAGGACGCTTCTTCAACAACATAGTCACTTCTTTCGGCTTTTCTTTAAGGGCGGCCACAAGTTTGGCTAACTGCCAGCCAAGCTGATTTTTTTTTGTTTTTGAAATTGTGAATGAAGTAAGCATTAGTTCTTATATCCCAGAGATAAAATCATTTTAAAATCAAACAACCCCTAAAAACATTGTTTTTCGTATAAATCCTTTATAAAATGTAATATTGAGCCAAACTGGGTGGGGAATTAGACAAAACATGCATACAAGTAACGCACTTTATAAGAATCTCAATTAGTGCTTCCCCCTTAGTGCTCCCCCCCCCAGGCTTGCAACAGCACATTTTTTTCATGCCCCTGATCTAAATTAATATTCTAATGACCCCCATGCTTTTACACCAGATTTATTTCCCCACTTATTTCAGAAAAAAATAATAATAATACGCACCACACCACTTGCAATATTTCTTTAAGGAATCTCATTTAGCGCAGTTATTGGGAGTTTTATTTTAGCTCCCCTTTGAAAAACTGATATTTGGGGGTTGGGGCTAAAAACTGATATTTGGGGGTTGGGGCTAAAAATTTGAAAGAATGTGTTGTCATTGGCAAATAGTCCATGTATCAAGTTTCAGCTCGATCGGTTGATGGGAAGTGAGTCAATTAGCAGTCCGAAGAATTTTTCCAGCCAACCAGGAACAAAAGTGAAGTTAATGTAGAGGATTAAAAAGGTTCATTTTCATTATTTTTATTAGAGAAGCTATTCTATCAGCTGGCATTGAGCACCATAACTTGTTTCCATCAGGGAACCCACGAGTCATCTTCATCATGGCTTTGGTTAAAGTGGCATGAAATAAAAATTATTTCTGTTTAAAGCCCATGAAGCACTACAGAATGATGATTCTTAGATTTCACATGAACCAACATGATTACAGAGATTATGTGTCAAGACATTTAGTCCTGTGCATTCAAGGTGATGTCATAATAGCTCAACCTAAATCGGTTTAAATTTAATTGGATCATGTTTTGAAAAATCAAATCAATAATTGTCTCTATTAAACCACTGTCTGATTGTTCAACAATTCAATAACTGTCTCTACTCACCACTGTCTGATTGTTCAACAATTCAATAACTGTCTCTACTCACCACTGTCTGATTGTTCAACAATTCAATAACTGTCTCTACTCACCACTGTCTGATTGTTCAACAATTCAATAACTGTCTCTACTCACCACTGTCTGATTGTTGACCTGCAGGACCTCATCTCCCTTTTCAATTTTGCTACACAGGTGAGCTGGAGACTGGGAGAACAAATGAAGCATAACCACATTAATGCCATGCAATCTCCATGAAATATGTAAAAAGATCAAGCTAACTTTCCAGTAAAGGCTAAATGAATGAAAGTGTCATTCTAAGGCAAACGGGAGATTTTACAAACATGCCCATCTTGTTGTTTTTTTTTTTTAAATTTCAAGACTTACTGTAAAACATTCCTAATTTGTATTACATACTCATGGCTAACATTTAGAAAAAAAACTATAAATTTTGTTAGGTTTATAGCGCCAAAAATTAAATGTAGCTAGAGCAATGGTAACCATAAAGGAGGGAAGAGACAACAAAAAAAAAAGAAAGCTTTTTTGGTGAAGAACTTACAGTGTCTTTGATGCATCCAATGACATGGCATCCATAATAAGATGACTGGATATTCATGCCCTAGGGATGTTATTTAATACATATTAATGCAGAAAATAATATTTTAAGATGAGCTTTATGTGTGCTCATTGACAAAGTCTTTTATATAGAAAATATTCTCTAAACCACTGCAGTGTAATGAGATTAATGACCCCTAAGTGAATAATAATACAGCAGCTTAGCTTGTAGGTGATCAAATGAGAACAGGTATTAATCGATTACTCACAAGTTCATCCCCTGGTTTTTTACGTATTATTGCCATTTCAAGAAATGCTGGCTGAACAACAAGTGATTCCTTCATGTTGACAACTAACTCATCACAGAACTCAGTCATTCCCTGGCACTGGACAAATAATAGAATATTTGAAGTTTTTAGAATAAACATGTTTTGGTGTCTTTGGAGATATTTCACACAGAGACCACGGCCTAGACAAAATTCATTGGCTAAATGAAAACCAGTATAAAGCAGGGGTGGGGCAAACTTTTTGTGCGTAGGGCCACATTGACAAATGTACAGCTATTGGGGGGCCGCGTATATAGTATGTCCACTTTGATCACAGCAACCTATATATAACAATAAGGAATTGTCATTTATTTATATGTTATTTTAAAAAGTATAAATAGCCAATTATTGTGATTTTATTTTTCTTATAAACTTATACATTATATTTCACAATGGAGACACAAACTTTTACTAATTTGTGTACAAGATTTTTAAAAAAATTTATTGTAATAAAAAATATATTATCTATCAATGGCTTTAATTTAGGCACAAACCGACTACATTGTCAATACAAATTGTTGATTTCTAATGTGAAGGACTGCTTACACAATTAAAGAAAATTAGAAAGAAATTTTATTATAAATGTTAAAACAATCACAACGGTACATGCAATTCTGTATAATAACTTAAAAACAAAGCAGCAATTTTTTATTTCTAAATGCCCTTAATCAAACGCTGGCCGTGGTTTTCCCATCCCTGATATAAAGGAATGGTTCCCTTGAGCTTTTTAGAAATGATCACATGAAAAGATATGCATGCAAAGTAAGAGAGTTTTTAATTAACAAAAAAAATTAGGATGACTAGCAAATTGTTCTCATTCTAATAATGATGAGATATTTAAACACCATTGGAGCCTTATGTTAAGTATAATACTTTTTGTTTCAAATTTAATGAAAAATTCCAAAAACAAAATGCTGACTTACAGTTTTAACTATGGCATTTTCAACTTCAGTAATTCCACTTTCCTTCTGCGACACAGTCACCAATTCCAGTCCTAATTTCACTAGTGAGTTTCTCAGCAAACTAATGCCATGAATGGTCTCAAATGGAGCTCTGAGGAAAAACAAAGTCTTTGAAAATCAGTATATTGATCCAAAATTTCTATAAAAAACCTTTTTTATATATTGATGTGGGAAACATAAAGAATCTATAAACCTCAACGACTTAAAATAAAATCCTAAATTTCAGAAACAATTTAACCCTTTCAATTAATTAAATGTAGAGAACAAAATTTTGAATTCTTTCTATTTATATAACAGCTTAAACTTAAAAACCAAACACAGACAAGATCTGTTAGTCTACTACGTACCTGTCAAGCCATGATGTCAAATTTTTCAGAGTGGACATGATATCACACACAGAAGAGAGGGTTGAGATAGACAGCTGACGTCTCTGTTTTAGATGCTGGACATTGGCACGATTAGGATCATTCTCATTATTGTGAGCAAGTATATCATTATGAAGGCTTCGTGCTTTGCACCCCAGCTGAAGCGCCAAATGTTGAAGGTTTTCTGTTTCAATGGTGTAGCGCTGAAATGTTTTAAGAGATTGTGCTTATCAAGAACAATTTTTATTAGATCCCTTTTTCTATAACCAACAATCAAGAGCACACACAGACTTGCTTTAATTTGAAATAGGCTAATTTTATTTCCTTTTCGTAAACTCACCAATGATTTAAGAAGGTCAACTGCTTCAAGCACCAATTCCTGATGGCCAAGTTTAGAGACCCAAAGCTTGTCCAAGTCAGAATGTGTTAGCATCATCAATTTTTTACCATCTACTTGTTCCTGAACAAAATTTGGAATGTATTCGTGGACTGCATCATCCAAACCTTAATAAAGGAAATAACATTATTAGACGCATTCAATATTTATTCAAAAGGAAAAATATAAGAGAGTATTTTTAATTTAATCCTTTATAATTAAAGAAATCAATTTTGGTATAATTATTAACTGAGCAAAAGTTATATGCACAAATTTTTTTCGCAAAGTCATCCTTAAAACCGTAAGTCAGGGGTCTCAAACTCAAATCATCCAGGGGCCGCAGGAGGTAGAGTCTGAGTGAGATTGGGCCGCATCAAGTATTCCACAATAAAAGCGATTACAAAGTCAATAAAGTACAACTGTTACAATCTGCTGAGCCTTTATTAATAACAAATAAAGACGTTAGGGGTTCTCAAGAACTAGTTTTCACTTTCTTTCTAATATGCCTTGTTGCCAGAGATCTGGCAGCACTTCTTCTTACACAGCTGAGCAACATTTGGCTTGAGTGAGGAAGCAACTGAGACCTTCAGTATAGCTTGAAGATGCTCACTAGAAAGTTTGGCCCTCAACTTTGACTTGTTAAAGTTCATAGTGGAAAAGAGCTTTTCACACAGATAGGTACTCCCAAAAAAGACACATGATCAGCTTAAACAACCTGGATATCTCATAAATTATACATGCTTGTCTTTTTTTCCATTCATCTCCCTGAACTTGAGTTGCACTGAAGATCAATTAGCTCCATTTGAAGTGCAAGTGGGGGGGGGGGGGGGTTGCATCTTCCAATTTGAAGGAGAAATGGTCAGCAAAAAGTTGAAAAGTTGCTCTGTCAATTTTAAGTCTAAAAAAATGTGATCAAATTCTTCCTGTAGCCTTGCAATGGCATCAGTATATTTACCATTGAAGGGTGTGTTTGAGTCCAAGAGTACTTTGTATGTTGGGAAATGGCAGAGGTTTCTCTAAGAATCATAAAACAAGTTTTGTGCAGTATGCCCTGACATTGTCATTGGCAACACAGACAAGCTACCCCTGGTCTTGTAACTTCTTGTTGACTACATTCAGCTCCTGTGTAATGTCAACAAAAAAAGCTAAGTCCGTGAGCCATTTGGGATTACTTAGTACAGGAACAACCACCCAATCCTTCGCCATGAAGGCTTTGAAGACTAAAACGTGTTCAAACAGTAGGCAGGGGCAGGCAATATTTATGAATTATTGATGTGATGGAAGATGCTATTGTAGGGAGAATGAATTTTTTTTTTTTTTTTAATGAAGAAAAGGCCTTTTTGACTAACCCTATTTTGAAAGTGACCAAGCTGACAGGCTTTGAATTTCCCTCACTCGTAAACACTAGCGGCAATTTTAATAGGGATTCTTTTATACTGTGTCAGGTTGCTACAATTTACACAATTTTGGTTGTGCATTACCCACTAACTGACTTTTTAAACTTTTCTCAAAACCGCACTTAGCCCATGTTTGTCTCATAAAATGCTATAAAATAAAAACTTTTAGTCAGATTTTTTACAATGGTTTTTACCAGTATAATCAACATCCAAATCTATATAAACATAATAAAAATCAGAATTTGACTAGTCGGTGAGATTCTACAGAAACTTTCACAGAGGGTTACATTATAGATATGAGAATGGGGAAAACACGCGGACCCCATTAACACTAAACTTTGCTGTCATGTAGCAGGCCACAAAATAATGTCTTGCGGGTCACAAATGACCCGCTGGCCGTGAGTTTGAGACCCCTGCCCTAAGTGCTCATCTATAATTTTGTAAACATCCTTCCAATTACATCTATTTAAACACTTATTAAGACTGGCTAAAGAAAGTAGTACATTTTTAACTAAAACACAAAAACTGCATTTTTATTAGAACTAGAAGAACTATCATATCTATGTCAACCATGTCTTCACTACCTGTAAAAAGATGAAGTCTACTAACAAAACTAGCTTCAAACTAGCTACAACAACAACAACAAAGAATCCCAAAACAAACTCATTAAAAAATATCACTGTCCTTAAAGTGAATACTCTAATAATTAAAGCAACTAGAAGTTCAGTGGTTACGTTTATATGTACTGAAATGTATTTGTTCAACTCCTCATTTTGTTTTAGTCTAAGACCTAAGGTTAATAAAGCTTAACTTAGGGCTTCAGCCTTGGGCCTAATTAAACTTTTTTTTTTAAAGTGAGCAGTGAACAAGTGTGTGGGACAATAGAATATTAATATAGTTCAGAGTCGTGAAAAAAAGTGTGGTGGCGCACCTGTGAGGCTTGGCACTAATTCTCATAAAGTGTGTTACTTGAATGGATGTTTAGTCAAGTAACTAAGGTAAATGGGGAAGTTCACAATTTTGTTGCAAATGTTTGGCGGCCTAAAGCTAGTTGTCCATAAATTGGTTTGCTTATCATTTATGTACCCATGCTCTCTAAAAGGTCAGTAAGGTTATTTTTGTGATTGGCACTCTAATACAGTATGGCATCTTTCCGTCTGCGGGAGACGATAGATTATCTTTATTGCTTGCAGCTCTTGGTGTGGCTGGTGAGACCAATCCTCGAATGGCAGTCTCTGTTACATTTCCCACACACAAATGTGGTGGAGCAGTATTTACCGGCCTTCCTCCTCGCTCTTTTTGCAGCTGTTTCCCCCCTGTTTAGCTCCTCGGCATGTAGTGATCCTGCCTTCACGATGTCCCGCCATGAGGATCGATCCTCTGCAAGCTCCTCCCAGTTTGAGATGTCGATATTGGCCGACTTCATGTCTCTTTTGCATATGTCTAAGTATCTCAGATGAGGCCGTCCAACTGACCTTTTCCCTGTCGCCAGCTCGCTGTATAGCACGTCCTTTGGTATGCGACCAGGTTGCATTCGCTTGACGTATCCAAGCCAGCGGAGGCGTCTTTGGATTAACATGGCTGGGACGCTACACATGTTTGTTCGGGACAGGACATCCGTGTTGGGGACTTTGTCTTGCCATTTAATGTCAAGGATGTGGCGCAGGCATCTGAGGTGGAAGCCATTGAGCCTTCTTTTGTGGTTAGAGTATGTGGTCCACGACTCGCATCCATACAGGAGTGTGCTCAGTACGCAGGCCTGGTACACCTGCAGCTTAGTTCTTGTTGTGAGTTTGGCGTTTGACCAATACTAATACAGTAATGAGTAAATATATGGTTTGTATTTGACTGCTTAGAAGTTACTAAAAAGTCAATATTTGGTCATCCCTGCCATTGTTTCCTGTACAGCATGCCTTCCAGGCCAGGGTGAATTTAGAGAACAAATGGCATGAATGTCATGTTCTCCTTCACTTGTTACATCTTTTGGAACTCCTCAGAACGGCAGTTCCAAATGTCGAATGTTAGAAAGTACTCAGTTACCAGCCTAATAGCCACCGATGATTGGTAATGTACTTAACTTTTAATTTTGTTTGCAGACTAATTTTTGCTTTTAATAATAATCACAATACAATGGCCGGCAGACCCCAAGCGCTGGTTCTAATTTTAGGAAACATTCTGTAAACTTATGCATGACACAACTACGAAGGCAGTGCTTTGATTTGACTTTGTTGGTTAGTGTGGCTTGCAAAACACGTCTATTACAAAACAGCAATTCAAAAGAGATAATTTTTGTTTTGTTCTTGTATTTTTCTTTCTTTTACATCTTCTTTTGTTTTTCTTTTTAGGGGAAATGATAAAGATTGTGATCTTCAATAAAATGCTTAAATTAAAATAGGCCATTATGAAACAATTATCATCGGCTTTTAGACTGGTAGCCGTGCACTTTGTAATGAAAATATTTTATTTGACACTTGAGACTGCCGATCTGAGGAGTGCCAATCTTTTATCAGCTTCATCTTTTCAAAAACAATCGACATGGATTTACTTTTCCTCTCTTCCTTCCCCTGTTGCCTATATCAACTCTCTTACCTACAAATGGCATGGTCTATTACATTCCTCTTGCTGTTCTCTCAGTCTCAGATACTACATTTAAGCCAAGGCCAAATATGTATTTTTTATATTTTTTCTTGTCTTTTCACCGAAGGCTTCTTGCGGCAATAGGCCAACACATTCAATTCTTGTTTTATTATGTCCTTTTATTTGGCTTTCCCATCATTACCTACCTTGTTTCACATATTTCCTTCTACCTAACCTGATTGCAGTCTCCCCCTTTTATGCTTTTTATAATTATTACTTATTATTTAATATATACTACTGATCAGACTTATTAGTAGAACTTGTCCTGGTAAATTACGAGGACGAATGCCCCTATTTTATCGAATTTCACGAATTTATCACTAAATCGATCCCTATGCCTAACCTGAACCCTCAATCGATCCCTATGCCTAACCTGAACCCAAAATCGATCCCTCAACTTAAAGGCTAAACTCCCTAAACCTAAGCATAAATCCTAATTCACTGCAACTATAATAAACACCCAAAAGACGCTGTGGCATTCGTCCTCAGATTTAGCCACTTGTCCTTTTGTCCTTATCATGCAATCATCATTTTCTATTACTACTACGTTACTTAGAGTTACTACTTCTAGTTATAATTATAAGTAAGTATAGCCTAGGTAGGTACGTCAATACCGGACGTCGCGGGCAAAAAAAAACGCCGGCTTTGCGTGGTACATTTATGTGACCAGCAGTAAAGGGCGGGTTTCGGTATATGTCGGGCTTTGTCGTTCCTATGCGTCATTTTCTAAAAATAAATAAGTTTCAGTCTTAAACTCTATTCGCTGAAGAATTCCGGTCACAATGGTATAAATACTGCGTCATTCTGACCTGTCTCAGACGAACAATTGGAGCGCGAACTGTCGCTAATTTTAAACTCGTGTTCATTTTTTTGCATGAAGGATGCGAGAATTAAAACTTTAACACGAGCTAGATTGATCGCAGTAACATTGAAAGCATTTATTGTTAACATTACTGGCTGTTGCTAGAATTTATGATACCGAGCGAACAAAAAAAATCCACATGTTATGTAAAAACGGCGGCCATCTTTTTTTACATTATTTTATTGACCGGAGGGAGGTGAAATTATTTGGAAATAAAGGTTTAAATAAAACATTTCTCAATCGTTGAAACATCTGATTAAACAAATATTTTTTATTCTAATATAATTAAACAATATAAATGTATACAAAAAAGAATTATTTTTTTTTAAATTAATTGTTTGTACAATTATTCTTTGTAAATAAGAAATTGATCAATTTGCCAATAATAGTTATAAGAATTCCTTATTTTTCCCAGTATTTATTCTCTATTACTCTTTTAGATAAACTTAGACAACTAGTTATAAGGATGTGTTAATAGACCTCTATTAATACTAGAATTAAATTAATGAAATAAATAAATTTTAATACTAGGGACATTTCTTTAATTTGTGTAATTTAATTGAAAACAGTCTTTTTTTTTTCAGTCCACTCTATTTGTTAATGTTATCCATCCCTATTTATCTTCCACTCAGTCCACTGCTCTTTATTAACCTTTTGGAAGACCTAACCTCGATTGTCATTATCTATATTTCTAAAAATTTCATTGCATTAGGCTCATTAGCATTATTAGTTTAAAAGTTATCTATCTTAATGTAAAAAGGTCTCGGCCGCTGTCACTTTTCATGAAATATTTTTTTCTAATGCATACATTTTTCTGATCTGCATTACATTTATTTTAAATGTACCTTACTTTTAGATGGACATTATCTGTTTGTATTGAAAATTTTATAGCAATAGCTTTAATGGTTTAGTAATTATGTCATTTTTTGAACAAATAAATTTTTCGACAATTGCCGTTATCCACACCAAATGCTTATAAAGTCATATTTAATTAAATATAATAAGTTAATTCACAATTTATTCTGTCACTGTTAAACATAGTATTGTAAATGTCTCCTCCAAATCTGAGAGCTCTAACTTTAATAGCCAAAAAGATACAAGCAAAATAGTACAAAAAGAGTAATAATGCCATCAGTTTTAAAAATTTAATACAAAGCCGAATAGTGGGGAAAAATAAATCACTAAAAAATTCATAACTTTTCTCCTATAAGTGATAGAAAGATTATCTTGGTGTCATTGGAAAGCTTAAAGCCAGCTCTTTCCTATGATATGCTCTATGTCTGTGTCAGAAAATTTGAGTTGGAGTACCTAGCCTAGGCCTAGGCCTAGTTCTAGTTACTGAGGCTGCCACACTATTCTTTTTCAGATACTAAAAACTCAATTGTCATTCTTAATAATTAACCTAATGTTAATCAACAAGATATTAATTTTTAAAATATAAAGAAAACAGGGAACCTTTCAACCAATTCGCGACATCTTGTTCATCCCATAGTTCGAACTGAATTTCAGCGAAATACGCCATTTTGTATACATAAATAAACATAAGGGACATCATTAGTCCTCTACTATGGCTTCATCCATGTTATTCGTATATAAATCTCCTAAAGTTCCTTTGACGAATTTTAATGGTATTTTAATTTTACTTGTTCATTAAATAAATTATATATATAAGGCTATAAGTATTTAAAATCCTTTTAAATATTTTTAGATTCTACTGGGTCATGAAAGCGTGGGCTTTAGACATTAGTAAGAAAATCAAATTTTTAAAATCCTAAGTATTTTAAGTTAATTAAGGGTTTTGGAAGACTGTCATCTGGATTGACAACACTGTTATTTAATATTGTGGATATCTCATGTCGTTCATTTTTTTAGCTTTCATTCAGAACTTTGAAACATTTTCTATTTGTTAATAAGAACTAGCTATCATGATCATGTTTATGCTTTTAAATAAATTTTAATACACCGTTCAAATAGTGCGAAATCAAAATATTAGTATTTTTCATGACAGTAGATTTTAGCTCTTTCGTTTAGAAAAATATGTTATAGCATTTTCTCAGGAGAGCGCTACCACTTCGATACGCAGAACTTTTATTATTTGGAATCGAAATCGCCAATTTTGAGCGTAAAAACATTTCAGTCTAGAGTTATAAAGAGTGTTGGACTGAGATAAAGCTTTAAGTAGAAAAATTAGACAAAAACAAAAGAAAACATTCATATAAGAAGGGCTATAAATTAAATTTACATTATATATATATATATATATATATATATAGACTATACACACACATGTATCCTACATAAAAAGAGAGAAAAGAATAAGAGTAGTCTGAGTAGGCGCAAAACCCTGACTCTGACTGACAAAAACAAAGTTCAGAATATTTCTGAGCTATATTTTATTTACGCAAATTGTTTGTGGCTAATCAGTCTAGAGTTAGAAATAAGTAATCCAATTACATATAGCCTAATTATCGATTTCATATTATTTATGGGAAATTTTGTTTTTGCGCATTAAATTGTAAGGCATTTTCATTCAAGGGTCTCGTAAATCTTTGAAAGGAATTAGATTATTTTATTTCTTTTGCGTTCAGGGTGTATTATGATTTGTTGGTGCGCTTGACGATGTGATCTTAATAAATGTTCGATGGCAGGGATTATTAATATTTTTTGCGGCGCTCTTGCCCTCTCAATTTAAAAACATTTTCCCCAATTAACGGTAAAAAAATATATTGCAATATTTTTTAATGAAAATTATTGAGGTATTGTGGTTTTATTTGTTTAATTGACTCGCTGTAAACAAGAATTAAATCATCACGTAATGGGCAAACAAAATTCACCAGCAATAATTTGTAATTTTTTTTTTTTTTACTGCTGCTAATAAAAATGCATAAAAACTTATTTTATTTTTAAAGGCAGGAACAAATAGCAATAGCAGCGAATGAAATTAATTTTCTGGGTGTTTCGCAATACAGGTTATGCTTTCACCCATGGATAAGAACCACTGTTCTAGGGGAAATTCACTGCGACACAGGTGCAGCAATTCAATATCCATGGGATGGGATTTTTTTTATGGGTTGCAAAGGATTGTAGTTGAATGCAGTATTTTATAGGGGGTGCAGATATATGGGGTGTATAGGTTTTTGATGCTATATTTGAAATGGAGGGGGGTTAACTTTTTTTAGTTAGAATGGGGAGGGGGGTAAATTTGCGTGACTTCATTTGTGGATGGTCTCAAGGGACCATATTCGGAACCAAGAACTAAAACAAACGGCTGTTGCCATTCCAATCAGCTCATATATATTTCCCAACAGCAAATAAATTGATTAGACCACCTGGTCAGAATGCCAGTCAACTAAGTTGCATTGCCAGCCTACGATGATAGGCACTCCATTTCAGGGACTGAGGAGGACCATGCCGTCGTTGAATCGGTTGTGTTAAGGACACAGTCAAAGTCCACAACATGACTATTTAGTAGGTCTCACATCTCGAAGTTATCGAAAGCTATGTCCCTTGGTGTAAAAATGCAACAATGTTCCTCGTCAATGTACTCGATTATAGCGCTAGGATTCGGTGGTAACAACATTTAGTAGGCCTCACATCTCGAAGTTATCGAAAGCTATGTCCCTTGGTGTAAAAATGCAGCAATGTTCGTCGTCAATGTACTCGATTATAGCGCTAGGATTCGGTGGTAACAACAATGCCTATCCATCCAACAGTATCAAAGATGCAAAACTCCTAGCCTAGCAGCGCATTCCAAAAGATTGTTGTTGTTTTTTTAAACCCGTCCCCCATTTACTCGGCCACAATGGCAAACTTTGTATAATTGTCTCTAATTTGTTTTTGAATTATATTGAACTGTTTGACAACAGCCCATCGAATGGAACTCCCTCTATACCTAAATTATATCATCTACGAAAAGGCATTTGATAGTCTGGACAGAAAAATATTTTGGAAACTTCTCCGGCATTATTAGGTACCAGGAAAACTAGTCAGGATCATTGCAGAGTTCTTATGAATGACATGCAGGGTGGTACACGAGAGTAGACTCACTTATATGCTTTTAAAATGGAAACAGGAGTCAGACAAGGATGTCTCTTGTCCCCATTTCTACTCATCCTTGCCATTGGCTGGATAATGAAAAAAAATCCACATACTGAAAGAGGAACAGGATACAGTAGACACTCTGGGAACAACTGAATGACTTAGACTTCACATTTGATATTGCACTTCTGTCCCACAACCAGCAACAAATGCCGGAAACGAAGAAAAAAGGATGTAGCCACCATTTCAGCACAGATCGGATTCAATATAAGTAAAAGCAAGATGAAGATCATGAAGTTAAACCCAGCCAACAAAGAGCATATCTCTCTGTCGGGAAATACACCGGAAGAAGTGGAGGCCTTCACATACTTAGGCAGCACCATTGACATAAATGGTGGATCCGAAGCGAATGTCAGGGCTAGAATTGGAAAAGCTAAGTCAGCATGTCAGCATGCGTGCTATTATAGAAAATATGGGAGTCAAAGGAGCTGACTCTGCAAACCAAAGTCAGAATTTTCAACAAAGATTTCAAAACATTCATACTTTATATAGCCGAAACTTTGAGAACAACACCAAGTATCACGTAGACCTTCATAAACACTTGCCTTTGAAAGATCCTGTACATCAAATGGCCAAACACCATCGCCAACAAAGACTTACTGGAAAGAGCATACCAGGAGCCTATTGCCAAAGACATCATAAGCAAAAGATGGCGGTGGATTGGGGACAACCTTCGTAAAGCGCCAGATAACATCACCAGGCAATCCCTGACATGGAATCCACAGGGTAAAAGAAAGAGAGAAAGGCCTAAAAATACATGGCTAGCGCCCCGGGCAAGGTGATCTTTTCCACCCGCTATAAGTATGATAATAAAAATAACCTGTGGCAAATACAAAAGAACAAAATGCACCTACAAAAGAAGCGGCTGTCTTTGTCAGCACCAATTTTTCCACCACTCCCCTTGCACGAACTTACGATTTATGTATTATGACATACAAAAATTTAGCAATAAAAATATTTTTCTTCCATGGCACCCACATGCAATGCTTTATCATTCTATTCAAGATCGCCGATAGCGCCCCAAGCAAGTGGCGCCCCGAGCAACTGCCCGAGTTGCCAGTACCTTGAGCCGGCCCTGGATAGAACTTGAAAGGAAAGCCCAGGACCGAGATGAATGGAAAGTTCTTGTGACGGTCTATGCCCCAGGTGGGGTAAAATGCATAAGTAAGTGTTATATTGAAAAGGGAAAACGAACTGCACATAATCTTTGGTCCTTGTTATGGTTTTATTCTCGCCTAAATTATCGGCGATAAATATTGTTGGCCTGTGTTGTGAAAGGTTTTCACAACTTCACGGGACACCTCAATAATAATGGAAAATTATTGTTTACTGACCACTGTATTTTTCACAGAGATCTAGACGCGGCCTTGTTATTTTTATTAGGCCTCTGGACCTGGATAAGTTTATGCGGTGGGGACAAAATGATAATGTCACGTCACGTGAAGTCAACGTTGTATAATTGGCCAACTTCTTATTTTTCAACCACAGATCAAGAAACTTAAAGTTCTAGCAAGGCAAGAGGTTGTAGCGTTTAACTTTGTAATGTTCCACAAATTAAGAGTATATTTTTCTCCCTCATTATTATACCTACGTCCTAATTACAAGCCTAAGTTAGTCCTACGCCTACGCATTAGGTTAAGTTTTCTATTTAAAAAAAAATAAAAAAAATTAATACATTTATGTTAAAAAGTTAAATGTAATTTTATTTAGCTGTAAAATATTTTAAGTAGACAGTAATCTAATAATCCATTTAATTTATGTTAATTCGAATAATTATGCGATATTTTATGTAGGTCTAATCTTATCGCAAGGTCCATATTCATGGCGTATTTGAACGTTTTGGTATCGCGCTTATTTAATTTATCGAATACAAGTCATTTAAATGTACATTAGACTGTGCTGTACTGATACAGTACTGTTATTGACAATAAAAACTTTCAAAAGCGGCGTGCGCGAACTGCCGTAAACTCATTCAAGAAAATAAGGTAAAGAAAATATTGTCCTCTTAAATTATTGTTTTACTTTTTTGTAACTAATACCAGTAATTTTATACGAAGTCTCTAAAGGGGAAAGGATTTTTTTTTGATTTGGGTAACGCAAGTCGGCAAGTTCACAAATCCAAATAAATCCCGCTTTGTGAAATAAATGACTTGTATTTATTATAATAATTCATAAGTGAATAAATTAGTTCAATAAATTGGCCTATTGACGCCTAGTGAGTGTAAACAAAAAAAAAATAAAATCACCCTACTGCCAGTTGACCATATACCTTTGTCTATAGTCTTAAGGCCCTCTGCTAGTACTAGTCTAAAATAAAAAGATCAATTAATAAGGATTAAATTCTAAATTTTAATTTAAAATATAGGCCTAGTTGAAAAGGGAAATTCAAAACAGTGTTACATGTGTAAAATAAAGTTAAAGAGGTCGTCCATAAAGATGTCACACTATTTTGATCCCCATCCCGGTCGCCCATCCTCCATCATCTCAAAATAGTAACTTACTGACTCCTTAAAATTAATGAATGCCTTAATCACATATTTTATTGTTACAAATTCGTGACCACCTACCCTTGACATTGTCATTGTTTATGGATGGCCCTAAGATAACATTTTTAGAACTCTATCGCTACTGTCAGTTTCTGCTATTAAATCTAAATGAATCAATTTTTATTTTTAAACTTTTGTTTTTATATTTCAGTGCATTTTCTGCTGAAGAATCATGAAGTACGTTTTAGTTACTGGAGGAGTGATTAGTGGAGTGGGGAAAGGAATCATTGCTAGCAGCATTGGCTTAATACTCAAATCTCATGGAATTAAAGTCACTAGTATCAAAATTGATCCCTACATCAATATTGATGCTGGCACATTTTCACCATACGAGCATGGTCAGTCCCTTACTTTTTTCCTCATTTAAACTTTTGTGAAGGATATTGTTACGCTAATTCACATGATGAGAAATTAAGTACTATACAATGGTTGAGTTTTCTAAATAGGAAGCTTGAATTTTATTTGATAATAATTTATTAATTATAGGTTCTTTTAGATTGACTAAAAGGCCTTAATCTAAAAGGATATGAAGTATAATAAAGACATTAATATTTATTAACATCTTTATTGTACTGTATTATTTAATACAAGTTCTAAAACATATCACAAGTATCTTAAACAATTATTTGCATAATTTTTGGCACTTCTCTTAATAAGAAATAAATACTTTAATATTGTGTTATATCAGGTGAAGTATTTGTTCTTGATGATGGAGGTGAGGTTGACTTGGATCTTGGCAACTATGAAAGATTTCTGGATGTCACATTAACAAGGGACAATAATATCACTACAGGAAAAATTTATGAACAAGTGATAAGTAAAGAAAGAAAGGGTGATTACCTGGGAAAGACAGTCCAAGGTATGTGTGTGTATATTATGATCACTCTAGGCTAGAAAGGCTTGTTTTGATGAATTATGTTTTTTTAAATTACTCTTTATTAATACTTTATTTTTAGTTGTTCCGCACATTACAAATGCCATTCAAGATTGGGTAACCAGAGTTGCTGAAACTCCTGTAGAGGGAGACCAAAAGGCAGATGTGTGTATAATAGAGGTTGGTACATCATGTACTCTAAATTTAGATTTAAAGCCTATTTAAAAAATGCTGTTTTCATATTGTCCACAAGTTTTCTTTAACATGTTTTTTGTCATAAAGTAATTACCGCCTAATTTTGGTTAGGTTGTATTTGGGAAAAAGCATTTGAGAGGTCACGGTTGTCATTTAATACTCATTTCCTGACTGCTGTTCAAGGCTACAGCCAGGGAATGCCATTGCTATCTATCAGCTGCTTCTGATAAAGCTGTCTGCGGGGGGTAATGGTTAGATATCTACTAACCATAGTTGTCAATAAAAATACCATTTTATATTCTTTTTCAGCTTGGTGGAACCATAGGAGATATTGAAGGAATGCCTTTCGTTGAAGCCTTTAGACAGTTCCAGTTTCGTGTCAAGAGAGAAAATATTTGCAGCGTCCATGTTAGCCTTATTCCACAGGTGAAAGAGAAGATTTGTTGTTGTCCTTAGACTGGGGCTTTCAAATATTTTTATTGAATAAAAAAAATAATATGTCCATATTCTTAAAAACCAGTCGTTACCGATGTACCGCTGTTGGTTCTTGAATATGTAAACATATATCATCTGCAGCCTAAAACAACAGGAGAGCAAAAGACAAAACCAACACAGTCAAGTGTAAGAGAACTCAGAGGACTTGGAATATCTCCAGACATTGTAAATATGCTATTTTAATTCTTTCAAGTATGAATGCCATTTTAATCTAAATGAGCTTTTTATAAAAGTTTAAAAATTTTGTGAAGCTTTATAATCACAAAATATTGTATTTCACATTTTTTAGGTATTAGATTAATGAGATAGCTCTTTTATTATTATGTTTATATGAGAGGAGTTATTTTACCACTTATGATATTGAAAATTGACAGTTTTGCAGATTTATGTAAACCTTTTGCTAATAAATATACCATTGAAATGGTTACGTTTTACAATGATTTTTTTTTTTTTTTGGGCTCTATTTTGAACAGATAGTTTGTCGCAGTGTCACTCCGTTAGCTGAATCTGTCAAAGAAAAAATCTCTCTCTTTTGTCATGTTGACCCAGAACAGGTAAAAATTAAGATCTTCAGTGGTATCTGTATGTTCTTTAAACATTATTATTAGTTCATTTTATATTTATTTATTTAAACACCAAGCTTTCATATCTCAAGTAAGCTGCAGTTTTCTGTGCAAATAGATTAGGGGTCTCCAAACTGGCAAGTTAGACTTTATCTAATTTAGAGAGGAGACTTTTCTTTGATAAAGAATAAAAAACTTTGCATTTGTATTTCCGAATTTTGTTTCATATATATTTTGAAGAAATTTTTAAGATAAAAATGTTTAGCCATGTTTAAGTAAGCTTTCTATTGAAAATCTCAAATAGTCTGCTTATTAGCTTTGGAGACCTGTGACCTGTTTGATCACTGATTTGAATCAAATTAGTTATCATGTCAGTTTGTAGTATCAATTAGAGTTTTCTTTGTCTAATCTGGTCCAGGTTTACTGTGTGCACGACGTTACCTCTCTATACAGAGTGCCCCTGCTGCTGCAGTCTCAAGGGGCTGACAGCTTCCTCATTCAACGTCTACAAATACAATTACCTGCAAAGAAAGTTAAACCTGCTCATGACATGGCTAGGTGGACTGAACTAGCAGACAGGTTTGTCTGATTTTTTTTTTAAAGATGAAATTACATAAGGTGGAATTAGACAATTTTAATGTTCTTTTGTGACGTAGAACTAGCTTCACTAACCCCAGGCTATCATTAACCCTTTCTAATAGTATTTATCCCTTTACAGCCCGATGCGCCCGAAATGTGCCGATTTTTTCCTTAAGCCTGTAGTCAGTTGAGCCCAAACCTGCCAGTTTTGAGGTTGTTTACTTTCGTTCTTAGCACACCGGAAATCCATTGCGCATTACTATTTATAGTTATACCGGAAGAATGCCTTGTTGTCGGCATTATTTTGGTACTAGTTTGAACGCGGTGTGTTTAGATTTTTCGCTGTAAAAAATGGCTTTCCAAGCCTTGGATAAAATTTTGAAAGAACTTAAGCCTAATGAAGCTTCACTATTTCATGAGTCTAGCAGCGACAGTGAAGAATCTGATAGACATTAATTTAAATGACACTACTAGTGATAGTGATTCAAGTGAAGAAGATAATAGTAATATTAGAGACATCGATGACAACTGGCCCTTCAGTTCCACTCCAACTGCTCAGCAAGATCATGAGTGGTCTGGGAATTGTTCACAAATCAAAGTGGGAGGGTCCCTGAAAATTTTTTTAGGTTTAACTTTTGCTTAAATCATTTATTGGTATTTAGGTATTTTTAATTTTATTTTCTTGCATCTAGTTTATTTTCTGTTAATTAATTAGATAAATAACCTTGATTTAAAATGGAGTTATGTCCCCTGGCTTGGGCACTGGGAGTAGACAAGACTGAATAGGCTTTGACTGTAAAGGGTTAATTAATGCTTAAAAAACCAGAACAAGTTATTGTTTTTTTATGGACGTCCTTTTTGTTTTTAGTAATACCAGATATATCTATTAACGCTCATATAAAATATTGGCAGGCACGATCGACTGTTGAAGGAAGTTTGTATTGTATTAGTCGGTAAATACACAGCTCTCTCAGATTCATACACTTCTGTCATCAAGGCATTACAACATGCATCCCTTGCAGTCAACCATCGACTAGACCTTAAAGTAAGAACACATATTTTCAGTTTTTTAACATTATATTGCTAGTTTATTAATAAGCTTAACTGAATATCTCAAAATCTGTTGTTTGAAAACTTAAGGTAACTGCACATTTCAATATTTGTTTATAGTGTATAGAAGCTGCTGACTTAGAGCATGCAATGGAAAGTGAAAACCCTCAGAAGTACCATGAAGCTTGGAGGGAATTGGTTGGAGCCAAGTAAGTTTGTACTGTATAATATACAAACATATTTTTCTTATGGCCTTTTACCACTTAACTTTCTTAATTCAATTTAAATTTACAATCAAAATACTCTGTGTTAAATTTATAAAAGGTCGGAACAAGTTATTGGTTTTGATGTACCTGCTGTAATGAACCCTGAACTTAAAAAATAATTGGGGGAAAATGGGGGTTTGTGTCTTTTTTAAAAGATTTATTAAAGTGATTACCAACAGTTTAAAAGATGTTCTGAAATTAATTTGTTATTATTGTCATATTTTTATTTTAACCGTTATGATTTTATCCCCATAATATTTTTCAGTGGTGTTATTGTTCCTGGGGGATTTGGGACACGTGGAACAGAAGGCAAAATTTTAGCATGTAAATGGGCCAGAACAAAGAACATTCCCTTCCTTGGTGAGATTCCATATTTTGTTTGTTTATTCTAATTTTTACAAAAATAATTTAAATCTATTTATTTTTACACTAACATTTCAAGTAGACTTTTTATATGAATGCTCTATTAGGAAAGTATAATATTCCATTTTAACTCCAAGAAAATATAAAGTAACATCTTTTACATAAAATGCTGTCTCTTTAATAAAATTAATTGATAGTTCTCTTTCTGATTGATTCATTAATTTTTCATTATCCAGGTGTTTGTCTTGGCCTTCAGTGTGCCGTCATAGAGTTTGCCAGAAATGTGTTACACTGGGAAGATGCAAATTCAACAGAACTAAACCCACTCACAAAACACCCTGTCGTGAGTAAATTTTTCTGGGCTAAGATTAAATCTGAAGTGGTTACTGACATAAGAGATTTTTGTTTAACCTTAGTGACAGCATTTTAATCTTTACAGCTCCATGCATTACGTTTTTTTTTTTTAAAGAATGTGATACTAAGCTTAAGAAATTCACTCAACTCATTTTAAGTGACACAATTTTAAAAAAAGCATCCTCATTTTTGGGTACAAATGAAAAAACCTTCTTGTGACAAATGTTAGTGGTAAGCCCATATCTTTCATTAATTGCTTTGAAATTATATCACTGGATTTTCTGCAAGATAATATTAGTTTATTTTTAATTTAAATTATGACCCACATTTTGTACTGTTGGACTGGCCATGAGAAATACAGTTTGGAAAGGTCTGTTTGAGATGAGCTTCACAACCAGGGGTGCCACTTTTCAGGATTATTCCGGATTCGTGAGGTTAAATATTTTTCAGCTCTGGATACGCAAGTTTTTATTTTCTCTCACTGCGGATTCACCTTGTCGCCAGTTCAGTTAATTCAAATAGGGATTCTGGGTTTTAAAAAAAATCAGCGTGTAAGAATGCATGAACGCCTATTCAGTGAGAGCGGGTTGGCTATACCCAGAATAGGTACTGTGACCTCTCGCTTTTGTTTGCAAGACCCTCGCTTTCGTTTGTAATCATTTCACAAAAAATTATTTCTAAGGTGTATGAATTTTATTGAGTTTCGTTAAGTTTCAGGGCTTAAAAAAATTGTAAAAGAAGTTTCAGGTTTCTAGAAATTTTTAGAAAGGGATTTCAGGATTCACAGCTTTCAGCACTCATGTTCTTAACTATATATGTATGTGTATGATAAAAATGATCAAACAGTGAGTTCTGAGATCATTCTGTCCTGAATGTCTTGGTCACTTTAGATTACAATGTTGTTTCCATCTGGGGATATGGTCATTATAAGCTTATCTTTTGTTATGGTCATTATAAGAAAATATTTTGATACACATTCACTTTATTTGCATCGGTCCTGAATGATGTAATTTTGTGACAATTATATTTTTTTCGGCTGAATGGTGACTATTGCGAAAATGGAGAAAACTGCATTTTCAACTGCACCACATAGCAGCGTTAGTTTTTGACATATTTTATAAGATACAGTAAGCAGCATTTGAAATCTATTTTTAAAAATCACTGGCCAGCTGTACAATGCTCCAGCCCTCCTCCTCTTCTCTTGTTCCAATACAGCTTGATGTAGTTTTTAAACATCATTTTAACAACAAAATAAAATCAACCTCATCAGCTTTATGCAGGGAGGGGGGGGGGGACTATTCGCGACTGACCATGTTAAATTAGTTAGGCCCCCAGATGTATCACAAATGAACTTGCTCCTTCATTCAATAAGTGATTATTTTCATTTTCGACATAATCTCTTCTCTTGTTCCAATACAGCTTGATGTAGTTTTTAAACATCATTTTAACAACAAAATAAAATCAACCTCATCAGCTTTATGCAGGGAGGGGGGGGGGGGACTATTCGCGACTGACCATGTTAAATTAGTTAGGCCCCCAGATGTATCACAAATGAACTTGCTTCTTCATTCAATTAGTGATTATTTTCATTTTCGACATAAATGCACATTTGAAGCATATATTTAAAGTATAATTTTTTAACGTTTGGCACCATTATGACATTGTACAATTTTGAGATGGTTAATTTCTATTCTAAGAATATATTTTACTTAGAGTTCCAGTGTAACCAGGTCTGTTTACCTAACATTGTTCACATTCTCCTTGCAGGTAATTGACATGCCAGAGCACAATCCAGGAAATATGGGAGGGACCATGAGACTTGGAAAACGCAAGACTATCTTCAAAACAGACACAAGTGTAATAAGTAAGTAACAGTATTGTATTCCTATTATCTTTTGTTTTTAAATGTTCCCAAATTAAATATAATAATTAATGATGATTTAGTTTTATCCCATTGTTAAAATGAATTTAAAATTTAATGTCAACCTATTTCAGGAAAGTTGTATGGAAATCCTTCAAGTGTTGAAGAGCGACATAGACATAGATATGAGGTAATTGACAACAATGTTCTTCATTTTATACCAGCATAATCTATGTGTTTTAGGTTTGAGTTGATAATTATGGATGTATTTTTATACATAATTTTTTTTTTTTTTGGCATTAACTGTTACTTTGAATTGCAAATTTACATAAAATTTATTATTACCTGCTTTAACTATTGTAAATTGAGGAACACTTAGCTTGTTACTCTTCCTTAACATTTTTTAAGATTTAAAAACATGAAATGCTTAGAGATTGTTTAGACTAGTAAAAAAACATTATTTCTCTGGATTAAATTTTAAAATCACTTTTTACAATGTTTGCATTGGCAGGTTAACCCAGAAGTAGTTAAAAATTTGGAAGAGAAGGGGATGAAATTTGTTGGTCATAGTGAAGATGATGCCAGAATGGAAATAATGGAACTTGAAGGTTAGTTCGGTGTAAATAAAATCTTTTGATATGTCGCCATTACGTATATTTCTTTGGAACCGCGAAAACTTTGAAAAAAGGATTTTATGAACCATAGTCTAAAATAACAGTTTCTCCATATTAACCTTTTAGCCTTTAACTGTCAAGTGCAATTTTCTGTTGAGTCAAGTCATTTTTAGCATTTTCATATGTATGTCAAAAAAGACAAAATCCCGTACTGAGTATACATTTCCTGAAAGTACATTGGAAAGGGTATCTTAGGTTTGAAAAGAATTTGTTTTTAAATTATGTGTTGATATTGACCTTGACCTTTCCAGAGTGAGTACAATTTTACTACTCAATTTCTGCATGCAACCCAACCTAATACTAATACTCCATAAATTGGAAAATTTCATAAAATTAAGTTTTTGAGACATTAGAAGCAATATTCTTTCAGAAAATTTCAAGTTAAATGTACTTAAATTGGAAATAGTGATTTTGGTGAATTTCTTTTATTCAAAAGAAGTGACCTTTAAATTAATATGTCATACAAAATACAAGGGGAAAAGTGCGAAATGAGTTCCATTTTTTGATCAATTAATACTCCATAGCATACTCAAATATAAATGTCTTTCAATCTCTTTAGTGTAAGTATTTGGGGGTCCAATCTTTGTCTTTTCTGTTCAGTTTCCATCCTTTCCCAAAGGAATTTGTCGGTAACTGTGCGTCTAAGCTTAGGACTTTATCTGACTCTTACGGTGCCATCACAGCTAGAGCTAATACTGTCAACTAGCATGTGGAATATCTCTGAAATCATTGCTTTCATTTAATAAATTTTAAATAATTCCAATTATTAAGTCTGTTTTAAATTTTGAAATCTAGAGGGTGCTCTCTCCAGCATCGGACATAATACAGTCCAAAAAATTGAGCAGTTTTCACACCCAATCAATAGCAAAACAAGCCCTGATAAAAGCATGTCCACGCATATATAAAAATGGAAATAGGAAGCAAACTCATTTATAAAGAGTGATTTCCTCTTAACCAAAATACATTAAATCATTAGCATTTTTAATGACAACTTTGCTTCTGATTAAATTGGCCATGACACCACAGACGGGTATAACGGCTGATGAGCAACCATTACGACAATTATCGGGTTAATAACAGAATGGGGGGCTCAGAGGATATTAACAAGTTAAAGTGGCCATTAACAAAATGAGGTTGCTAAATGACATGGGTAACATTCAGTGGCAGTTACAAAGTCACATCATAGATCATCTTCATATATATCCCATTTAGGGAGCATAAAGGCTCTGTTCTCTTTTTTATTAGCAAATAAGTAATTTATAAATCAATGTGAGTAGATGAATAGATGTTTTTTTTATTCCTCAGGACATGCATATTTTGTTGGAGTACAGTACCACCCAGAGTACATCTCTCGTCCCATGAAGCCATCTGCCCCATATCTGGGCCTTTTACTTGCAGCCAGCAATAAACTCTCTACATATGCTAGTCGTGGCTTCAGACCTTCTCCACGCATGTCCTTCTGTGAGGATTCTGATGGAGACGAGACTGTAGGCGATGCTGCTCCTTAAATAAGACATGAATCTTAGTAAATTGGATTGTGGAGCTCTGTTTATATGGACATTTTTGTGTGTTAAAAAAGTTTGAAATTTATCTTGAACTTGAAGTAAAGAGAGGTTCCTCTGCTTCATATTATAGTTCTTGTGTTTCTCGTACATTACTGTAAATCTTTCATGTAGTTTTTGGATTGTATTTCTTTTTTATCACAAATATAACCCATTCTAATCAAATTATGAACTTCCATTCTATTGTGACACCATTTAAATTAGTTTTTTTTTTAGATGTTATAATCCGTACAATTGTTGTGAGGCTAATAATTACTGATATTGTCCGCTGCCAGTTAAGGATATGATCAAAGATGGGAGAGAAAGCGTAAAAAGAAAGACATATTTCAACATTTTATCTAATTTTTTTTCTTTTTGGAGCTATTATTATTAATTATTCATTAACTTAAAAATTATGAAAAGCTTTTTGGATTTTTTCATAAAGAAGACTCTTTTTGACATGGAGTTGTATAAGTGCTTTTGATTTCATGTAGCCTTTTATGCATTATTATGTTGTGGATTAATTTTAATTTGACATTGAAAAAAAAAATTAAAAATATATACACACACACCATACTTAACAGCTACAAAAATCTTTGAGGTGGTACTCATATGGCATACTAGAAGGTAACTGAAAATGAATATGGAGGGACTAGAAAACCGATACTTTTATTACTATATGAACATCCACCATTTTTACATTATTAACTGTAACTGGAACTTTCTCCGAAATGATGAATGTTTATCTCAATTATTTGAATTATCTGGCTTATTAACATTTTAAGATGAGCAAGGTTCTGAATTTAATTGTAATAAACATTTATTCGATTTAATGACATATCATACTCTCAGTAATGTAGCTAACAGCAATGAATTCCCTTTAAAAATGATTTTATGTTTTGTCTTCATTCAATGTAAATAATGGAAGAATTTTTACCAAAATAAATAAATGTAATGTAGGTCATTGTCACACTGATGTTTTTATGTTGTGTGTTCTTGTAATGGAGGGTGCGCAAACTCAATGAATGACCTCAATCACTCAATGGCACAAACTCCTTTGCCTAGTGTACTATTTTACATTTTCAACACCTATATTTGTGTTCAGCATTTTTATGTACCTATAAATGATATTTTTTATAGCATAATCTGGATTTTCTTCCATCTGTTTACAATATTTTACTTTATTGTTTTATGTAGGGTGGAGTCTAGATGAGTTAAATTGAGGATACAACTTATTTGCCACTCATTTCAAAGTTTCAACATGAGGCCAATAATAAACTGTAAATATAACTTTATTCGCATATTTTATTGAACAAGTTTGTGCCCATTGATTTTAATATAAATAAAGGAATAAATTGATGACAATAGTATTCCATGTTTGTTTGCACTTAAATTTTTAAAATTCACAGTTTAAGAAGTTTTACTGTGCTGAAATTGATAATAAAAAGGGTGACAACTGCTGATCTTGGTGATTTAGGTCAGAATCTCTGCTGTAATTTCAACAATATGAATTTTTAAAAAACACCCTTCAGCCCTTTTTAAAACAACCTAGCAAAATTTAAAAAATTAAGAGAAGCAACAGTTGTTTGTATATGATTTTATTATTATTAGCACGTCTGGGTATGGTATATGCATTTATCCATAGAATTGTGCATCAGTGAAAAGTCTAAATTTCATAGCTTCAAAGTCATATGCAAACATCTTACATACAATACTGTACTCTTGATGGGAACTTGAAAAATGCTAGAGTAGTCTTAAGCACTTCATGAGGCAATGCAAATATATAAAAAAAACAAAAAAGTCATTAATGAGTATCAAGCAAGATAAAGTGCTAAATCTTGCACATTTGTTTAAAGTATATTTTAACAATATATTTATACAAGAAATTGTTGAGATGTTTTTTATTAATGCAATATTGGTCTTCCGGTAGATGTGTATTCTTTTGAACAACATTCAGGTTATCATGAGAGACCAGACTCTCAGGTAAAAAAAAAAAATGAATCAAAAGTTAACTATAATTTAAATAATGCATCAATTTAACTTCAAGTTGATCCAAATTTAACATTATACAAGAGGAAATGAAATAGACTTACTAAAAAAGGAGCCATTATATACAACACCCTGGCTAAACAAAAAATACAAATTTCAAAATGAAATATTACTGCCTGCTAAGAACCAGAAGAATGCAAAATGACATCACGCATAGACCTCCAAAATGACTAAGTATCAAAGTAAATAAAATGTCTGGAATCAACCAGCACTGCTACAAAAACCTGCAGAATTATTTGGGGTTACACTTATGACATCAAGATTCTATGCCCATCATAATCTTTCCCAAGGTGTGCATAGTTTGAGCCTTTTCCATATGCAAAATCTCATTATTGGAAAGACACCAACTCCATACAATGATAATAAATGCATGACACACTTGGTACCATTTTTACATAAATCATTCAAAATGTATTTGCACTAAACCTAAACATACTAACATAAAATTGATCATGTATTTTGTATTCCTTCGTATCTGGTTGCCAATTCCTTTATTAATCTCTGTAAAATTAAAGAAAAATGTAACATTTGAATAAAAGATGAGAGATATTGTGATAACCAACTCTAAATTAAACATCCCCTAAAAATTTTGTTTTTCGTATAAATCCTTAATAAAATGTAATATTGAGCAATGGGGTTGAAAATTTAACGCATTTATAAGAATCCCAATATGTAACCCCCCCCCCCCCACAATCGCACATTTTTTTCATGCCACTGAACTATATCTAATATTCCAATGACCCAACCGCTTTTACACTGCAGATTTATTTCACCAACAATTTGAGAATATTATTCACCAAATGCACTTGCAACATTTTTTTTTAAACAGAATCTCAATTTGCACAGTTATCAGGAATTTTATTGTTTTATCTTCCCCCTTGAAAAAAGGAAAAACTGATATGGGGGAAGGGAGGGGGGGGGGGGGGGGGGGGGTTTGAAAATTTGAAAGAATGTGTTGCCATCGGTAACGAGCCTATAACCCAAGTTTCAGCTCTATAGCTTGATGGGAAGTGGGTCAATTAGCAGACTGAAGATTTTTGCACCCCGTCAGCCACTCACAAACAAAAGTGAAGTTAATATAAAAATAAAGGATTTTTATAAAAACATATTGCTTTGTAGTGATTCTCATTAAATAATTTTCAGATGAAATAAAATCTGCTATCAAAATTCAAAGGTATTTAAAAAACATATAGCAGACCTGTTTATCCTCAAACTCTTAAAATTGTACAATATCACAAAATCGTTACATACCTTATATAAGGTATATATATCGTATACACCTCAAAATCGTACATTGTATGCCAAAATCGTAAGAGTAATCAGGTCTGATATAGGATATAAATATAAGAAAAGCTAAACATACTTGAATATATTTTTGCTTTGTCATGGGAGATGATTCTGCTATTCCTTCCTCTATCATTTTGAGATTTGCAGCCAAATTTGGGCCTGGTTTTTCTTCTGGAAATTCAACAAGAAAAAGTTTCTTTCATATTAGCATTACAGTTTCAAGGGTAAAAATGCCTTTAGATAGCGATGAGCTATAAATTTTAACCTTTTCCATCGCAACTGTGTGTAATACACCCAGAGACAGACTTGATTTCTGATATCTCGAGTCTTCTTTTAATAATCTCATAAGCTACATGATCCACAAGGAAAGGAACACCTTGATGGATGCAATTGAATAAATTATAAAGCATGCGAAAGTGACTTGTTTTTTGGAGCCTAAACATTTTTTCTACAGTCCATAACAACTGGGTGTAACGTGTAACACACCCATGCATAATTTAATAATAAATGTGAACATTTTTTATTGGTTTTTGTTTGTTAGTTATTTTAATCTGTGTAATTCATAAAATAGATTTAAAAATGTTGACAATAAATAAATATTCTAAATGGATTTGGGTCCTGGGGTACCAACAATAATATCATCTATTCAACTTGACAAACCATTTCAAAGCAGACCAGTCACATGTACACATGGAAAATAGCTCAGCTTGCACAGTTTTTACATAAAAGAACAGAATGTTCTTTGCAAATATGTCTTGCTGAGTTGAAGTGGTTTGGGCAGCCGTTTGAAGTGTTTGTAAAGATTTCAAAACACTGGCCATGTTCTGCCTCACAATATCTTGGTGCGTCTGACAAATCGCCTCTACTTGCGGATGGGTGAGGAACAATGCAACATCAATATTGACTGTTGTCTTCATGAGACAGTGAGTCGGATATTTATATTTAAATGTCACTCTTGCTGCAATTGATGTCAAGTCAACAATGTTGAAAAACACAAACAAAGGCCATCTTTTACTCTTAGTTTTTTGTATTCACAGAGAACATCTTCGCCATTTGGTCCATATGCCTCCTTTGATTTTGTTGTTATATAGCACAATCTCTGGTTTCTTGCTTTCATTTTCACTTTCTATATCTGGACAATTGTGTTCAGGAGCAATGCATTTTTCTGCTTCGAGCTCTGGTATTTGACAAGGTTGTTTCTAGTCTGCAAAAAACACTGATTTGAGAGGGGCAGAGCCTTCTTTTCCTCTAACACCTTGAGTAGGAACATCTTGTTTCGTTTCACTGTTCCAAATAGGGTGAATCTGTTCTTGGTCATTGGTTCTGCAAGTTGTCTGTTCTGAAATTATGGCCACTTCCATGGAAGTCCTTTGTGAGAGAAATCGCAGTCTCTGGGGATATTCCAACATTTCTCTTTGCTGACAGGGCACTTGCATTTTCTTTGTCGAGATATTGGCAGCCTCTAAGAGGATAGTTTGAAGACTATTCACAGGGGCAGAATATTGTTATTTCATATTTGTCTGGCTTGCTTGGCATATATTGAATAAATCTGCACCGACCTCTGAAACCAACCACCAGTTGCTCACCTACTGTGATGTTCTCTCCAGGAACAATATACATTCCCAAATAAGTCAGGAATGCTTCCCATACATCTCTTATGGGAGAGAAGATGTCAGGAGCCAGAAATGATTGTTCTAGTATTCTCATTGCCAAAGCTCATATGAATCAGCTGAAGTTTGCTGAAAATGCTGCCCTAAAAAGAGGATTTCCATCAATAGGGCTGAATAAAAATTCCACTGCAATGCTGTTGAGGTGAAGAGCGTCAGTTTGTAGAAGGCAGGCTTTTATTTTGATTGCTTCAGTCCCTTGCCATTGGTCTCCTTTTACTTTCTTGCCTTCATTGTTGGTGAAGTCAGCTACTTTTTTTCATATTTGAGGGCCCACAATCTATTTATTGATCATTTTGGCTCCTGGTTTGAATTCAGAGTTTGCCTTCTCTTAGATGAGTTGCCGTCCTATCCGCCCAGGGTGCTTGGGATGTTGGCTCTGGTGGGGATTGAACTCCAGACCACCAGCTATTTGGCTTGAGTCAGTTTAATGTACAGAACAAATGCTTCAGTGGGAGAAACTATGTGATATGTGAATGGAGTTTTGTTACAAGGCAACTAAATCATGCCACAGTGTAAAAAGTAATATAAACATAAAGAGAGCCATTTACTGTGATATAAGACTAAGGGTGTAACCCACCCAGTTGCTAGCAACACTTTTTCCCAATATAATAAGTGTATGGGTGTGCCACACCCAGTTGTGACGGACAGGACATACAATATGTTGTGACGGAAAGGGTTAAAAGATCAGTTCTTCTCAATATTTATGTGTGATGGACCAAAAGGAACCAGTCACAGTGGAGCGGGACTCAGCCTCAATTTATCAAATTCTTATTTTTTAATCAGTTAAATCGTTCCCCTTTTACTGATTGGGTGCTCACAGATTTGAGTAGAACTGTGTTACTGTTGCTTATTTGTCGTGAATAATTTTTTAAAAATTATTATTGATTTTATTTAAGCCAAATCATTTCCGTTACCTGTTGTCTGTTTTTTAAGGTAAGGATGGTTCAAAAGCTCATCTGTTGTAGGTCTTTGGCTAACATCACGATTCAAGCATCTCTGTTAATAAAATAGAAAAAATAATAACACAATAGCTTAAATCCTGTTAAAAATTCAACCAATCTATCATTGGCGAAAACTAAACCAATAGTGAGAATGTCAATCTTGAGGAAATAATTAACTGTCGATAATTGATGCATCACAAACAGTATTAAATCATCCTTCAAAGGCACTGAATTAACTCAAATCTATGGACTCTTGACTTGTTTTTTTTTTTTTAAAAGGGACATAATAAATGAGGGATGACAATGGGAGTTTTCTTTTCATAATTTATAGTAATTCAGCAAACCTTGGATTGTAAGTATTTCACAAGATGACAAAATGTTTAAATAAATTTTGACTCAACACATACGTGGTCACAATACTATAGTGAACACTTTGACACAACACATACGTGGTCACAATACTATAGTAAACACTTTGACACAACACATACATGGTCACAATACTATAGTAAACACTTTGACACAACACATACGTGGTCATAATACTATAGTATTATGACCACGTATGTGTTGTGTCAAAGTGTTCACTATAGTACTGTGACCACGTATGTGTTGTGTTAAAGTGTAGCAACTGCCCTGCAACAATGGCCCACATAAAGAAAAAGGTTGAAAAGAAAGGAAAAATCAAGTGTCATTGGGTATGTTCCTTGTAAACCATGAAACTAGACATATTCCAGGGAGCCAACAGTTAGACCTAGGGGTGAGTGCGTTAACGACAGTGGAGGTCATCCTAAGTATTAATCTCCTTGATCTTCACACCAGGAACTATCAAATTTAATTCCCGTTAATTTTTGTTCATATGCCAAATGTTATAGTATAGCCTATGTCTTGACCTATTTTGTTCACTTCAATGTAGTCTATAGCTAGTGTCCACCACTCCCAACCCCATTATTTGTTTTCAAATTGATGTCACTGATTAAATGTGTAGTGATGTGCACGGTGGTCAAAGTGATAGTGCGCTGCGGTACCAAGACTTCAAAATAAATTTCAATCAGTCACGGGTTCGAATCCTGGTGCTGGCACCCCTACGGCTAGGAGAAGGAAACTCCGACTTCAAAAATCCTCCGCTGCCTTGCGGCTATACCCTTCGGGAAAAGGCTAAGGGAGTAAACCCCGACAGAAAATCAGGAAATGGAGCACCTATAGGCGGTCTATACATAAAACCCTTATGTACATACCGGCAGCTCTCAAGGATGTCCCCATGCGTCACCATTGACTCGAAATGGACGCATCTCAGAGACACAATCTATACATCCGCAATACAGGCCTTTGGCAAAAAATCTCACAAAAACACGGACTGGTTTGATGAACATTGGGACGAGATGAAACCTGTCACTGAAGCCAAAAGGAAAGCTCTTACGGCTTACAAGGAAAAGCCTACACCCGACAGGTTGCATGCCTTAAAAACAGCCAAGTCACTTGCCCAAAAGGTTGCACGTAATTGTGCCAATACCTACTGGCTTAACCTCTGTTCCAGCATACAGTCAGCTGCAGATATGGGCGATGCAAAAGCAATGTACGACAACAAAAAGGCAACTGGCCCCTTGACGTCCAAAGTTGCTCCTCTAAAGTCCAAAAATGGAGAAATTATCCAAGACCGGGCAGCACAGCTAAAACGGTGGGTTGAGCATTATCTGGAATTGTATTCAACAGTTACCACAGTCTCCAGCACCGCTCTAGATGACATACCAGATATGCCACTCATGGAAGAACTTGATGTCGTGCCCTCACAGGAAGAGCTGAACAAAGCTATTGATAGCCTAGCTTGTGGAAAAGCGCCTGGGGATGATGGAATACCACCAGAGGCTCTAAAGAGTGGTAAGATAGCTTTACTCCAACCATTGCACGAGATTCTGTCCCTCTGCTGGGAACAGGGCTACATCCCCCAAGACCTAAAGGATGCAAATATAGTGACACTATATAAAAACAAAGGTGATAGGAGTGATTGCAATAATTATCGCGGCATTTCACTCCTTAGTATTGTAGGAAAGGCCTTTGCCCGTGTCATACTAACACGTTTACAGAGTCTAGCATCCCGTGTCTATCCAGAATCTCAGTGCGGTTTCCGGTCTGGGCGGTCTACCATAGACATGGTGTTCTCCATACGACAGCTCCAGGAAAAATGCAGAGAGCAGCAGATGCCACTGTACATTGCCTTTGTGGACCTTACAAAAGCCTTTGATTACGTCAGTCGCAACGGGCTATTCAAAATACTGGCAAAAATCGGCTGTCCCCCTCACCTACTTGCCATCATCAGAGAGTTCCATGAAAATATGCAGGGTACAGTGCAGTTCGATGGAGCCAAGTCAGAAGCCTTTCCAGTCAGCAGCGGAGTTAAACAAGGTTGTGTACTCGCACCAACACTGTTCGCAATATTCTTCTCTGTACTACTTCGATACGCATTCAAGGATAGCAGTGAGGGAATCTGGTTACACACCAGAGCTGATGGAGGACTTTTCAACACTGCCCGCCTCCGAGCCAAGACCAAAACGACAGATGTCCTAATTCGCGAGCTACTATTTGCGGATGATGCGGCACTAACAGCACACACAGAAATTGGTTTGCAACAACTCGTGTCAAGCTTCTCCAATGCCTGCAAAGAATTTGGTCTGCAAATCAGCTTGAAAAAGACAAACATCATGGACCAAGACACTCGACCTCCACCTAACATAAAAATCGATAATGAAAACTTGGAGGTTGTGGACAGCTTCACCTACTTGGGGTCCAAGGTCTCCAATACACTGTCCATTGAAGAAGAAATTAACAGCAGAATCGGCAAGGCAGCTGCCACAATGGCTAAACTAAATAAACGGGTCTGGCAAAACACCAAGCTAACGGAGAAAACCAAACTGTGCGTCTATCGAGCTTGTGTCATCAGTACACTACTATACGGGAGCGAGACATGGACCACCTATACATCCCAAGAGCGCAAGCTTAATAGCTTCCATATGAGATGCCTGCGTCGCATCCTTGGTATTAAATGGCAAGAAAAAGTGACTAATAGTGAGGTCCTAATGCGTGCGAATACCCAAAGCATGTTCACAATCCTTAGTGAAAGACGCCTGAGATGGCTAGGTCATGTTAAAAGAATGAGTCCCGGCCGCATTCCGAAAGACCTCCTATATGGTGAACTTGCTGCTGGAAAGAGGAAAACAGGTCGCCCACGTCTGCGATTTAAAGATGTCTGTCAAAGGGACATGAAAGCAGCCAAAATACATACAAGTGACTGGGAGTGTAAGGCAAAAGACCGATCTACGTGGCGCACAGTTGTCAAAGAGGGCGTCATGGTAGCCGAGGAGCGAAGAATGGAAGAGGCTGCAGACAGAAGAGCTAGGAGAAAGGCCAAAACATTTGGAAGCACAGAACTCGTATGTAAAAACTGTGGTAAAGACTGTCACTCAAGGATAGGACTGCACAGCCACTCGAGAAAATGCAACCCAACCCAACGGTGATGCACCATTGTCTCACGAGACGGAAGGATGCCGATATAGATGTGCCAACCTCACCCCTCCCTTCATTGGGGAAAGGTTGTTGAAGTTCTAATAGTTCCATTTGTTTTAAATATGGCTATCAAGTGAAGCAATTTCTAAAATTTCTTTGGGGTCCTCCATTAATTATGTCAACAAAATGGGGGGGGGGAGAGTTGTTTGGAAATGTTTGACAATTGTTGACAAGGGGGAGGGGAGGTAGATTAGTTGACATCAACAATCATATTTTCTCTATTAATATTTTAATCTTAAATATTTTTTTTTAAAGTTTAATTAGTGTAAATAGTCATATAATTTTAGGCTTTTAATAATATAAGTTTTATTTAATGTATATCTGTCTGTGCTCTGCATAAGGTTGGTCAGAATGTTAGCACACTTTGTTAGTGCAAGAGAAGTCAAAAGGTGGCCTCTTTTCAACTGTATATTCTGTTTGTCGCAAATGACTGAGGCTGTATGTTTGTGAGCATGTTGCAGGTATGGACAAGGCTCAGGTGTCATGTGTAATCAAGATAAATGATATTGATAGAGTAGGAATATGATATTTTGAGATTTAAGTGAAAGTAAAGTGAGTAATAATAACATCGCTCAGTCGAAAAGAAAGCTACATATGACTTGCTTTAGGTCTGAGATAGTGGAAAGGAAATAAAATCTGGCCACTAACCTGATTCATGCCACACATTTTACAAAACAAAACAATCAGTTATCGATATAGTTATTTTTTAAGAGGTATTCAGGGACATAATGCAGTTTCATTTTTTTTAATACACAAAGAAATTGAAAAACCAAACTATCATCAGTTGATATTTGAGGCCTATGTAAAGGCTTTCCCAAGTAAGCGTAAGAGGCTAGTCAAAATTTGGAATGCATTAAAGAAAGAGGATAATTTGCTAGCCTTATTAGCTAAATATGCTGCAATAGCACAGAAAAATAAAGGAAAACTGCTTGGCTTCTGGGCAGGTCATGCTTTGAAAAATGAAACAGCTTCTAGTCAATTGGCTACAAATGTAACAGTAGAAGAAGACAATATAAAATATCAAACTCCTAATGAAAAAAAAACAGAAAAATGTTGACTTGTTGGAAGCTGGTCCATCCAGTACTTGTAGTAGTAGCAGTGAAGTAGAATCTGTTAAGTACAAAACAAAAGCCCAAGACGCGCTGCAGGGTCAAATAAATATCTTCAAGAGTGATTTGATTGGCTTGTACCAGTATAAGCAAAAGGGCAGCAGTGTTATAACTTTAGACCAGGAAAAGGAACTTAGAGAAAAGAAAGTAAAAATTGATGAGTATTAAAAGAAACTGAAAAGTTAAAAATATGAGCAAGAAAAGCAGCAGTTGTTCACTAAAATGTGTGCAGAGAATCCTGACATAATCGATAAATTAAAGATCCGACAGAAAGCTGGCCGACCACAAATTGAAGAAGATCAGCCAGTACTTCTCAAGACAATTGTTGACATGGCTTTACATGGATCTGCTGCTCATGACAAAGGGCAGAGTTATATTTATCGCAGTGTCAAAGCTCTTGATGAACTGACAGAGCATCTGAAGATCAAAGGTTGTCAAATAAGTACAAGTGCTATTTATACTAGATTAATACCCAAACGAAGTTCATCCTTTGAGGGTGAACGACATGTGAAAATTGTGCCAGTGAAATTAATTCGAGCACAACATGATTCACACTCCAAGCACATTGATGGTCGATTTTGCACATCTACTCTACATCATCTTGAGGAAATGGCCTCCATATTGGGACCAAGAGAAGTGTGCTTTATCAGCAGAGATGATAAAGTCAGAGTACCTATTGGACTAAAAGCGGCTAACAAGCAGGCTCCACTTTTAATGCATGTTGAATACCGTGTTAATTTGCCATACCATGACTCGGTTGTGGCGGCAAGGCATAAACTCATTCCGTCAGTTTATGCTGGCATTGAAATTCAAAAGGATGGTCTAGGCAAAACTGAAGCTGTAACTTATTCAGGTCCAACATAGATAGCCATCAGGTCAGGAAAGCATTCCTCATCATCAGCTTATGCTCATGGACTAGACTATGAAAAGATGCTTCATTTGAAAGAATTCGACATTAACACAAAGGATGAAAACAATAAGAAAGCCTTTATGCAATGTTCGTTGCAACAAATGCACCTGGTAGGAGTGCATTTAATCGAGTAGAACGATGGTTGGCTCCACTGTGTAGCCACCTTGACTCACAAGGTCGAACAACTAATGAAGAATTGGAAAAATTAAATTTCCAATATGCTGGCAAAACATTGTCAGAATTGTGGATGCAAGTAACAATTGACAATTTTCCAGTGACTGAATATGTTGCACCTGAATTATCTGAACTTGTGGCGGAAGATTTACTAACCAAAGATCAAGATTGGTTTACTAATCATGTAAGAACAAGTCAATACTTTTTACAAATAGTAAAATGTCGTGATGAGAACTGTTGTCAGCTGATTCGAAGCTCCTATTTTGAAATTCTGTCCAAAAGATTACTTTCCCTGCCAATTTCAGTCTTTCAAACTAGTGAAGGCCTTAAGGCACCAGATGCTTCTGAGAGGGACTTCTTCTATATATTATGGGGATTACACAGATTTCCATTTTTTTTTTTCAATCAGTCTGTCAAATTTGATAATATGTTAGCTCGATTCACAAACGCATTAAAAATTCTTCCATTTGATCTTTATTGTCCCTCAGTCCAATCATCACTGCTTGCTTGAACGGATTTGAAAAATCTGTCAAAAATTGCTTTAAAATTGTTGACGTAATTAATGGACGCCTCCCTTTTCTGGAGGTTCTGATGTTATCCCTATAAATATAAGCCAGCAGCTTTCCTAGCCCGGGAGAGATATTTGCTACATAGCCTAGATATATACGAGATGTTATATAATTGCAAGATTGTACTCTTAATATATGTGTGTAAATTAAAATTTGTATTTTTTCGAGGATTGTACATTTTCACTTGCTGCGCTGTGAGTTGATATAGTTTATTTGTTTCTGTTCATTTGTATTTTTATAGAAATTGAATAGTATAGTTAAAGTAATATTATTAGTATTATATGCTTTGGTATTGCTTTTTTATGTATACTGGTTTTCAGTCCTTTGTTACGTATTGTTCATTCTACGAGCCAAATCTTAAAGCAGATTAAATTTTAAAAACCATATAACAATATGAATATATTTGGGCTGTGGAACAAATCATCCGGGTTCCATTTATTTCTTATGAGGAAATTCACTATCAAATATTAGTGTTTTGGATTACAAGCGTATTGCCTAATGCTCACCATCCTAAGTTCCACTGTATAGTTCAATATGTTTACTAAAAACCTATAGAAAATGTTATTTTGCTTTATTTACCTTAAGTACATCCATTAGAGCTGGATCCCCTTTGTCAGGAAACTGAATGGTATGTTCTGGGTTGACTATGGCATTGAGTTTGTCTCTAACATATTGAAATGGGGTATGTCCGTACACCATTTGATATAAGATGCAGCCCAAAGACCACACATCACTCCGTTTTCCAAGCTGCAAAGAAAATGAAAATTTGTTGTTTTTTTTAAAACTATCTTTAAAGTTTTTTGCTTTTGAAATCTAGTACAGCTCATTAGACACGTTCCATATTTTTTTTATTAAACTATAAGTGAGGAAAATTATATTTTTATGCCCATCTTTACAGGCGGTAAGTTTTCATAATGATACACACACGATATAATAAAAATATAAATACACACACACTTATGAAGTAAACAGAAGGCTGTTTAAAAAATTACAATTCCTGATTGATGCAATATTACACTATAAAAATATAATGCACTTCATTTACCTTAAATTTAGGTTTTGGGGCGTTGTTGCTGGCCATTAACGCCTCTGGGCTCATATAACTTGGAGTGCCGACCTTAATTTCCTTGATGACGCTAGTGCAATCAATCTGAATTGAGTTGGCAATACCAAAATCAATAAGCTTGACATTGCCAGACACCAGTATGAAATTTGCAGGTTTTAGATCAGAATGGATAACACCTGTAGACATTAAAAGTGGAAGGTTAACAGTAACCACATATCTTTCTTTAGAAATTAAGTTACGAAGATGACAATTATTAATAACTTGTAGGAAACGTAAAAGTGGGGGTCTGCACTCAGTGGTGTAGCTAGGGAGAGGCAGGTCTGTCTTATCGAAGGCAAAAAAAGTTTTGCCTAAGCAGTAGAAAAGTTTGTGACAAAGCGTTGCATATCCACTTCTGATACAGCATTTAGAGCACAGTCGTATTCATACAGTTTGGTATCTGAGGCCAATTCCAACATATCCCTCTCTGAAGACTTTGGTCAGCATTGCGGAAAACATGAGGCTGACAAGTGTTGGGGCAAGTAAACAGCCTTGTTTCACGCCGTTTGTTACAGGGAATGGTTTGGACGTCTCTCCATTATTCCGAACACTAGTCTGCATACCATCATGGAATAGTCGTACCATTGACACAAACTTCCTGGGCTATCTATATATGGGCATGATCTTCCAAGGTCCTCTTTTGACAGTGTCAAAAGCTTTGGTCAGGTCTACAAAGGTAGAGAAGAGGTCAACATTTTGTTCCCTGCATTTTTCCTGTAGCTGTCTGGCCGCAAACAGCATATCAATGGTTCCTCGTTCCTTCCGGAAGCCACATTGACTTTCTGGCAGTAGACCCTTCTCAAGATGCCTGTTAAAAGACGATTTAGCAAAATTCTGGCTAATATCTTGCCTGCATTTGAGAGCAGTGATATGCCACGGTGGTTGTCGCATGATCGCCAGTTCCCTTTATGCTTGTACAGGTGAACAATAGATGCATCTTTGAAGTCCTGTGAAATGGTCTCTTGCTGCCACATAAGTATGAACAGCTGGTGAAGCCTTTCAGACAGAGCTGTCCCCCCTTCTTGGTATATTTCAGATGGGATTGAGTGTGCTTTGTCGCTTGAGAGAAGGCCTATAGCATGATGGGTCTCAGTTAGGGTAGGGGGTCTTCCAGTTCTTGATTAAATGGCACGTGTATGAGACGATTTATGGCTTTATCATTGATGGATGAAGGTCGATTCAGGATGTTGTCAAAGTGTTCAGCTCAGCATTCAATAATTTTTTCCTTCATAGTGATTAGAGATTTCCCATCAGCACTCAGAAGTGGGGATGATCCTGATGAAGTGGGGCCGTAGACGGTTTTCAGTGTATATATATATATAAATATATTTTTTGTGACGGTTCGTGCCGTTCAGTGGGCCCGCCCCCTTTTTGATTGGTTAAAATAAAAAAAAATGATTGAAATAAGTAATCTCAAATCTTCAATAAAAATTATAAAACAATTTTACTATTTAGTAGCCACTAAAATGAAAAGGATTTACATAAACACAGCTAGGTGGAAGGAACCTAATTTTCCACAAGCATTACCATTAAGTGTAGAAATGGAATGATGCAAGTGATGCCCCCTCCCAAAACCCCACTTTTGCTCTGGTGACATCGGAGGACGTTTTCAATTTCTGTCTCCACCCCATCTATTATGATACAGCATTGTATCCTTTTGTTAAGTACTATTCTGAAACGATACTGCACCATTTTGCAAGTTGCAGGTTTACCAGGTCTGGTGCTAGTTAATTAAGGATAAGCTAAAGTTTGAAAGATTTAAAATGAGCCAAAATAAGCTAAGTATCAACTTTCAGCTCTCTAAGGGATAATCCAATTTTTTTGTTTTACAGATAATCAAATAATGATCCGTCAAGTAATATGAGGTTTTTAAAAAAAAACAACCACATTCATTTTGTAGTTTGTATGATTGTTGTTAGTGGAGTGGAGACTGTCTCCATGGCAAATTACACACTTTACATTTTTTTAATTTAAGAAAACAAAAGTTATGCAGCTCTAAAGGACATTACCTTCTTCATGCATAGCGTGTACAGCAGTGACCATCTGGGACCAATAGTAACACACAGTGATGGGACTAAGTTGATTCTGTCCTTTAAGATTTTGAGACAAGAATTTATCCAGATCTGTCTCTCCATATTCCAATACAGCAATTAATTTTTTCTTTGATTCTACATACTCCCTATGGAAAAAAAAAATATTATTAACTGGTGGATTGGGGGTGGGAGTGGGGAGAAAACATGTAACATAAATTAACTACTAAGGACTCATTTCAATTTAATGTTATAACATATAAATTGGAACAAGAAATACATCAGACCCAACATAAAAGATAAATAAATGCCACACGTTAAAAGATTAACTAAAAAAAAAACAATTATGTCAACCTCCTCTTTACATGTATTTGAATTTAACCAACAAATACTGTAGAAGGGTGACTAAAAGATTAACTAAAAAAATGTATGCCAACTTACGAATCAAAAAGCTTGATGACACGATCACAGTGCTGTAGCTTTTTGAGAAGGCTTATCTCATTAATGTATCCTTCTAAAACAACCTCGTTGGCCATGCTCAAGTTGACCACTTTAAGTGCACGGATCATGTTTGACATAGGATCGTAGACCTGATAAACTTTTGCTGAACCTCCTCTGCCCACGAGGCGTAGCACTTTATAGGGAATTTGATTGACATAAACAACCTTCTCATCACCCTGACAGATAGGAAAATTATATTTTCAGTTAAAGATTCAAATTCTTAATTCTTAATGAGAATTTATTCTCACACAAAAAAATGGAGCATTTGTTATAAAACATGTACCGGTACATAGATATGAGCAGCTTTAAAATTTTAAACTTGGGTAAGCCAGATGGAATAAACTATGTGGTCTGCACATGCCTGCTACCCATGCTGAGTTACATAATATAATTTGATGAATCTATGAATGTACCTCTCATTTAAATGAAAGAAATTTACTCAGCTTGTAAGATCAATTCAACTTACCATGCCATTGCCAACAGGTAACATTTCATTATTTGATAATGGAGTGTTTGGTATAGAGTGTTGAAACTGAAGCATTGAACTAGGTATTATAGACTGTTGCAGAGAGGAGCAGGGTATGACAGACTGAGCTTGAAATTGGTTGGGTAAGACAGACTGAGGTTGAAGTTGATTGGGTAAGAAAGAATGAGCTTGAAGTTGGTTGGGTAAGACAGACTGACCTTGAAGCTGGTTGGGTAAGACAGACTGACATTGAAGATGGTTGGGTAAGACAGATTGAGCTTGAAGTTGGTTGGGTAAGACAGACTGAGCTTGAAGTTGGTTGGGTAATACAGAGTGAGCTTGAAGTTGGTTGGGTAAGACAGACTGAGCTTGAAGTTGGTTGGGTAAGACAGATTGTGGAAGAGGTTGGTTGTGCAAGACATATTGTGGAAGAGATTGGTTGGGTAAAACAGATTGAGCTTGAAATTGGTTCTGTAAGACAGACTGTGCCAGAGAGTGGCTGGATGATATCTGCATCAGATCATCAGGTGGTAATGATAGTTTGGAAGCAGGTAAAGCACTGGAAAAAAATAAATCTTATATGAAACAGGTCCAATCAAATTTAATATTGATTAGCAGTTATGTGCAATTTGGTACCAATTAAATGGTAATTGCATTCTTTATTTCAACAGTTGGTCTTCTTTAAAAGATTATACTATTGTCGCAACAACTGCAAATTAGCTTCATGTAGAGCAAATTGAACTATTTTAAGCTCTTTTTATTAAGTAAAAATAGAGTGCTCAATTTTTAAGTATTATTCTCTAATTATTATTATTTTTTAAACAATAAAACAAGCATTATGTTAAGAATGAATTGACTTACTATGTTACACTACTGCTTACAGCTTCCATGGTTTTTGGGGGCTGCCATCCTTGCTGCTGTTGTTCTTGCTGAGTTTGCTTGTGGACTTGTTGCTTTTCCAGTGCATCATTGCTTTGGTCTTTACTCATTAGGCTGTCAGCAGTGCTGGGCTCTAAAGCAGAACTATAGGAGGTCATCTTGTGCATGTGTGCAGAGTCTGTCAGAGGCCACAATTTTCGTGAAATAGTGTTCTGACCTGGCCTATCCGTTCCACTGTTGCACACATAATCTTGGTTTCTTTTGACATGTTGCTCAATATCAGTTTTTGATTGATGGCGCTGGTGGATTATTGGCATGGAGGCGTTCATAACAAAACCATCCAGAGCTTTAGGATTATCTTCCATAGTGGAATGAAGTGAGTTAAAAACAGAAGAAGATGAATTCAAATGGATGGATGTTAAAGGTGGGAATCTTTGATTGTTAAAGTGAGATTCGCAGCTCCCTGGGCCAGTGGCTTTAGTCATAGGTATTTGATGAACTAAAAAACCATCGTCTTGTTCCATCCTCTCTGGCGTTGGACAAGTGGCCATGACTAGTGAAACAAATACAAACATGAAGTGATTCTAAGGTTGCTTTTAAATTGAACCATGTCTAAAAATCAAATATAGTGCATAAAAATGCGAATTAAAAAAAAAAATTTGAATTCAGTTGCACTGCATTTTAAAAATCAATAATTTAATATACATAAACATTCAAAATGCAGCAATCAAAGCTGAATGGTATTAGTTTTCATTATGGTCTTCAAAATAATAATACATTTACACTGTTTCGTGCTATCTATTCAAGTACTTTATTGTCATTTGAACTATTACAATTTTCATTTTTTTTAAACTTCTTACCCAATGATGGTGGATTTGATTGAGAAACAAAAGTCTGAGATTTAGAGTCTGTGATTTCAACAGAGTTGATATCCTCTTCATCTCTTAATTTTTTCATAGTTGGATCCACCTTGACACGCCTCGGGGGCCCCAGATTCTTGATGGGAAACTTACTTCAAGACAAGAACAGAAGAGGGGCTTCATTATTTTATAACAGGAACATTACAATTTATTTTTCAAAGCATTTCCATGTTAAACTAACGCTAAAAAATATTGGATTCCAGAAGTATGTAAAGATTTGTAAAAAATCCTTGGTGATCTTTGCAAATATATGTATACTTGTAGCGTAATCACAAATAATATATGTACATTCATAAGTCCAGACTACCACTTGTTACTTTCTATGCATGTTAGTGATGTTCCTGCACTCACAAATAATATATAGTTAATTTATTAGGGCTATTTTGTATAGATTACTTACTCTATCACATTAAAGAATATTAATTTCAACAGCTGTTTCGTATCGACTGGACTGACCTTTTAACTCCACTTCCAAAAGGTTGCATCAGGTTAGGTGTGGTGTGGTAATGGGTCAGGCCCCTCTGGCCAGTGCCCAACTTTTTATTTGTTGGTTTATTGTTCTGAGGTGTCTCGGGTACAACTGATAAACGCAAATATGTTTGGTGCCTTTCATGTTGCTCGTTAGATGACATCGAGGAGTGGGCAGAAGTTTGTGAAGGCAGGCTCTCAACATCCTGCTTAGTTTCTAGGTTGTTAGTCTTTGGCTCTAGGGGCTTCAGTTCCACAGATTCTTTGCTCAGCCTGTAGAACACATTAAATTATGAATTTAAAATATAGAGAAGATGCATAAAGCTGATGAAAATGGTTAAATTGGATAATGCTAATGGGCTCAGTGCTATTCACCATAAAAGCAAATAAAGAGAAATTTTAGAAAGGAGAAGATATTTATCTACATAGTAAGAATTAATAAAATATATTTTTAAACATACAATTTTACTCAACATACCATTGATTGATTGTAGTTTTGGGTTTTCCCATATTTCCTGTGCTACCTATCTAATTTATCTAATTAACATACTTGATAGTGGTAATTTTAAGCTATAATCTGGTAAAATAATATACATTTTTAAAAAAAATACTCTCATCTTAAAAATACTGTGGTAAAAACATATCCCCTCTGAGGTAGATGTAGAATTTTTTAATGAATTATCTATGTATGAAAATGAATTTATTATTTTTAGGAAAAAAAAAAGAGCAATTTTTTTAAAGACCAACCCAAACGTTCCACTAAATGCCGAGCAACTCCACTCATCTGATGACTCTTTATTGCTCACTGGACTCAAGTCAACTAAATAAAAGAACATAATAATAAATGTAGCCTACTCTCTTAGATTAGAATACAGAGACTAAACACAATTGAAAAAACTAATTTTCAAAAAAAGAGAGAGGCGATTAGATAACCAAAAATGTAAAATTGACAAAAGAATAGAAATGTGTGTATAGTTAGAAAGTCAGGACACATGAAATCTTTAGAAGTATGAGATACATGTCTCGTGAATAAAATGTGAGTCTGGAAAATTCATAGTAAGAAAAAATACAAATGGTAATTAATGGCAAGAAATTCACAAGGACAATTCATTACTATTTAATTAAAAGTAAATGAAATATAGTTAATAAATTTATGATTCTGTCACTATGTCTTTAGTTTTACTGTAGAAAAGCAGTTTTAAATTCAAAGATGTGAGTCAGGCTGCATCTCACTGTCTTTCCTTATGGAGCATTATATTCAGACTTGTATTCATAGATGCAAACATAATGATTTTTTGTGTGTACATGATAGAAATCAACTATGATTAATTCTCATGATTGTATTTACATGAATCATTCTCCTTTTCATCATCAGTTATCAGTTCTGTCTTGCCTTCAGCAATGCGCTGTACAGCCCTGTGGATGTTAGACACAGGATCTGCTCTAGCTGAAGCTGCATCATAAAGAATTTTCAAAGCTCGCTCTTTGTTGCCTAAAAATTGGAGGATATAGATTCAAGGGTAATATACATTTTAAAAAAATTAAGATTTAAGCATAACAATAAATAAAACAAAACAAAAAGACTTAAGTGTTAAATAGATAGTAGGTAAAGATTGTGTAAAATAGAAAAAAAAAATTCTTTATTCTTTTTGAATCTGATAAACAGCCAGACAATGCACAAAGCATTTATGTCAAATTTAAGTAAGTTATTTCCACACTCAATGGAAGTGGGTGACTTAATATTTTTTTTTTACTATTATTTAAAAAAAATTATAAAATTTAAAAAATTTAACAATAAAGTCGCAAATACAAGGTGAAAATTCTATTCTCCAAATTAAATGTTATTAAAAATATAATTTTTATAAATTATAAAAACTTTCTATGTTGTCTCCTACGAACCTCTTTTCAGTTCCAGCTCTGCGCAAGCAATATGGATTAGGGCTAAATGTCCCATCTTTCTGCGTCCATATGAAAGCACTTTCTCAGATTCCGATAAGCTATAGTTTAAGCTGTCAGTCAGAAAAAAAAAAAAAAAAATTAAAAAAATTAGATTAAAAATAAAATAAAAAGTTAAATTTTTAAAAAAAAAAAAAAAAAAAAAAAAAAAAATAAACAAAAAAAAAAAAAAAAAAAAAAAAAATATAAAATTTTAAAAAAAAAAAAAAAAAAAAAAAAAAAATGTGTTTTGCCTTTGGTTTTGGGACAAATATAAAAAATTAAATTAAAAAAAAAACCCAAAACATGAACATTTTCCCTGGCACACCGAGAGTTGCAAAAATATTCACTTTTGTAGAAAATCCTGTGAGTTTTGGATTCTTGTAAATCATAATCTGGATATCCGGAATCAATAATAATTTTTTTTAAAATCATTTAATCTTTTGGTATTTTATTATCAAACACTTTTTGCATAAAATGATGTAAAAGATATGCTGATTCCCTTTCTTTGATTAAAACATTCTTAGAAAAAAGAAATGGTTTTATTTAAAAAAAATTGTTTTCAATATAAACACTTGACCATAAGTAACAAAGTACATTACGAGTACAACACCATCATCTTACAATATATTTAGAACTGTATTAATAAATAAGACCTAAATATATCTCTTAAAACTATTATAATTCAAAAAGATAAATATTTGATGTATATAAATTCTAATCCATTTCCTTTTCATAATCATTAGTAAAATAAATACAATTCAAATCAAATCAATATTTATGACTTAGAAACTTCTAAGCAATTAAGGATTGGTAAAATTGATAGACAAAGCACAAGTCCATTAATGGATTATCAGTGGGTGCCGCGTGTTGGACAGGGTGCAGAGGGGCTGTAATATTTTTGTTAGCCTGTAAGAAAGACAGCTTTATTGTTTTTTTTTTTAAATTTCAGTCGCACAATCCAGCTTTTATATATGAATTCCCACGCTCATTTGAGAGGAAATGAGTAAAACAAAGTAAGTTTAAACCTGAAAAAGGAAAGCAAAAAACAACAAACGTGTCAACAGGAAGCCTTTGCCAGTGGACAAACAAAAAAAAAACCAATAAAATATTTTTTTAAATATAAATATATAGCACTTAGCTGAGAAGTAGTGTCCAAGAGGGCAGCAAAAAAAATTGTGACAGAAAATAAGTGGGTGAGGATTAAATAGGGAAGCGGGAAGAAAAGAAGAGAAGTTGGTCCACTGCGATAGGCCGTGAAGTGGAGGGGTAGAGCTAGGCTGATGTGAATAGACATGACGTTCATGCCATGTGGTGTCACAGTTCAGGATAAACTTGTGATCCTAATTCACCGGCTGGGTGTGTTCACGCTAGTCACAATCACACTTATTGTTAAGTAAGCCTTGCCCTGGTGGCGGCATCTATTCGATTTGAGAGAGTGGTTACATTTAGTTATCTAAGGGCAACTATAAATGAGCACAATGAAATAATGTCAGAGGTAAAGGAAAGGATAACAGCAGGCAATCGTTCCTATTTCAATCCACAAAAGCTACAGGGAAGCAAAAACCTCTCAAAGGAAACAAAGAAGTCAGTATACACCACTATCATAAGACCAGTAGTAACTGAAGCTAGTGAGACTCGGACCCTTACCAGAAATGTAGAGAGCCTTCTCCATACATGAGAGAAAAATCCTCAGAAAAATATTTGGTCTAGTGATGGAAAAATGATGTCTGGAGAATCCGTACAAACCCAGACTAATACCAATTGTACAAAGGACATGTTGAAAGGAGCAGCAAAACTGATATACAGGCAGAAACCTAGGAGCAGACGACTCACAGGTCGCCCAAGGCTGAGATGGATTGATGATGTAGAGAAAGATAAACACCAGTTGAGGGTTCACGCATGGAAGCGGAAAGCCATGGATAGTTCCGAATAGAAGAATGTGGTGGAGCAGGCCAGGGCCCTACATGGGCTGTAGCGCCACTGATGATGATAATCCAGCTTTTATAATAAAAATCAGAATACTTATTCCTCTGTAAAAAATCTGAACTCCTGATTACCGAAATGCAATCCCTAGGCAGACCATGCTATTAATCAAAACCGGTCTATAATATATGACAAGCTGCAACCAATTCAGATTTTTGCTAATAGTATACTTATAGCTACTATTATTTTTTAATTTTAAAAAAAACAAACTTTTAATTAACTAGGAAACATCTTACCTTCTAAATTCAGCATAGTCAAGAAGAAGTTTAACTTTGGCCGACGTTTTATTTGAATCTGGGATAAGCTATATAATAAAGAATATTTAAAAATTAAAAAAATAAATATTTATAGTCTATTATATAAAAATACAAGATATGAAATTTAGATATAGGTTACTTGGGCGTAACTGTTTACCCAGCGCTAAGCATGTATTGAAGTACCGGGTACAAACTATGAAGGCAAATAAAATCAATATCTGTTAGCCAAAAAAAAAAAAAAAAAAAAAAAAAAAAAAAATAGATATGAAATTTAGATATAGGTTACTTGGGCGTAACTGTTTACCCAGCGCTAAGCATGTATTGAAGTACCGGGTACAAACTATGAAGGAAAATAAAATCAATATCTGTTAGCCAAAAAAAAAAAAAAAAGACCCAACTAAATTATCTCAACATACCTACTTAAATTCTGTACTATCATCAAAATATTTTTGAAAAGAACTGAATTTAATTAAAAATGATTTCACGGTGATAGATAAGTATCTGAAAATTAGGAACATTTACACTAATTTTAACTTCCTCTGGCTTATTTCATAGTTAGCCTCCAAATAGGGAAAATATTCTTTTGTAAAGTCTGTTTCAAATATTGTAATATCTAATTAAAACAACTGACAAAGTCTATATAGTGTATTGCTTAACTAATTGAAAATTAAAACATTCAGGATTTAGGTAAATACATTTTGAAACTGAACAACTGGCAAAATAGTGATCTTCTTTTTATAAAAAGATACATTATTTTCTATTTCAAATTAGTGTGTTTGGAGTAGACCGATACCTTAAAAGCACCTCTGTACAAGTAGTCAATCATACGAATATGATCACAGTCATCCATATGCGCAACTTTAGTCTTATGACTGTCGATGTATTCTTTCCAGTCTTCAGGTGTATTTCCTCTGGCAGCTATCTGTGCTGCCATAGTATGGTAATCACTTGGGACTTGAGCATTTGCTCCTAAATAAAGAGCACACATTTTAATAAGTCCATATTTTGAAAGCAAACAAAGTATCTTTCAGCAGAATTACTAAAACGAATTTAATTCATTGAATAATTTAGAAAAATTACCATTTTAAAATTACAATGTTAAATGCATAAGAAAATCAACATGTAAACACTTTCACTTACCATCCATTTCAAGACTTGAAAATTTTCTTCACTGTAATAAAGGAAAATTAAATCAGTAAAACATTCATACAAAATCAATGTATAACTTTTTGTTGGTAATAATGCTCTTACAGTAATGTATACTATCATGGTAAATGGAAAAAAAAATTTCTTAAGTTCCTAAAAGCACTCAGATTTTAATAATTCCATTCCCTTTTCATTAGATGATATTAAAAATAACGCAACAAAACTTATTTAATAATAAATTACCTATGTTTATTGATTATTCAGAAATAGACTTTCTTTTCCTTGGGTCAGGAACACCGGTAATCTACCAGCTTAACACAAAATAATGTATGCACTCTGTACTTTTCCTGGTGATTTTTTTAACTTCAAACTGTATGTAAGAGTAAACAAAAGTTACATGAAAGTGAAACCAGGCTTGAGAGCATCGAATAACTGCTTTGTTACCTAGATTATTCATAACAAATAGCATTAACTGCCCAAGCCATCTGGCTAGCCCCAGAACACCAAAGGGGTAGCTTCCTTTTATTTTAGCCTTACATATTTGGGGTGGTAACCTTTTTCAGACTCCTATGAATATGAATACCACCAATATCCCAGGGGCAATTAGTAATCATGTTTCTTGTTGACAAAAGAAAGGGAATCTTTACTGATACCTTCTTGGTAAGGCTTCCTAAAAGTTTTGGCCACTACATTTACATGTTATATAAGGGGCCACACATAAATGATGTCGCCCAAATTTTGCAGATTTTTTACCCTACTCCCCCCTCATCACAAAAAGTTAGACACCCTTCAAATATAATGTCACAAATCTCTGCAGCCCCCCCTTGTAAAAATTCCCTGTGTCCACTACTGTCCTTTACAAACACTTAAGAAATTTATCTCCCATGGATAGTAAATTACTGAACCTGTGTCAGACATTTCACTAGAACAGTGGTTCTTAACCAGAGGTAAAAGTACCTCCCCAGCCCTAAGGGGCGGAAGACCAGAAAATTGTATTTGTTGCCATTGCTACTTGTTGCTTTTTTTAAAATTAGTTTTTATGCATTTTGATTAGCAGCAGTAAATGTTTTCTGGTGAATTTTGTTTACACATTACTTGTGAAAATTTTTTCCTTTGTTTATAAAAAGTTAATTAAATAAATAAAACTATGATAACTAAATTATTTAATTATTTTCATATTTTACTAGCCAATATACCCGGCGTTGCCCGAAATTGTATTTGGAAAAACAACTTTTACCACCTTTTTCTGTTTACCATCGTTATCCCTCTCACGGAGGGATCCCGATCCTAGTGTAATCCAGTTTCATGGAGGGACCCCGATATCGTGGGATCCCGATCCTGGTGGATCCAATTTGCTGGTGGGGTCCTGATCCCTTTGGGATACTGATCCTATTAGCAGACCTGTTTACTCTTACGGTTTTGGCGTACAATATACGATTTTGAGGTGCATACAATATATATACTGTATGTTTATTTTTTACTATAATATAAGGTATTGAACGATTTTGTGATGATATTGTACGATTTTAAGAATTTGAGGGTAAACAGGTCTGCGTTAGCACCCTGATCCTGGTGGGATCCTCTACGCCGATGGGATCTGTTTCCCGATAGGATCCCGATTTGATTCCGTTACCTGATGGGATCATGTTACCGGTGAGTTCCAGTTTACTATTGGATCTTGTTCCTTTTTAGGATTCTATTCCTCGGTGGGATAATGTTTCCAGTTGGATTTGGTTCCCAGTATGATTATAAAGGGTATGATTGGAGAAAATCCCCATAAATGTATAAAAATGAACAGATCTAAACTAACAATTCGAAAAACTTTTAGATCCAATTGTATATTGCAGTAGAGCAAAAATAGAACGTTCTGGAACATTCTAGATTTAATTTAATATCTTCCTTAATACATGTAAAAAATTACTTTTCAACGTAACAATTTTCGAATACGAAAAATTATAACTTAATGCACTACTATATAGTAAATTTAAGAAGAAAGAGGGGCCCATTCCATAAGTGTACTGTTTTACCTATGTCTGATAGAGGGGGCCTTATAAAAATCGTTCTGATAATTTATAAAAAGTAAAATTAAAATTTGAAAGTTGTCCCATTAAAATCAGCTTGAAAATTCCATGGATATAGCCTTTTTAAAATTACTGAGCTTTCTGGAATGTCTGGACCAGCCCAGAAAGGCTTGGATATTATTTATTTTAAATCCACCGATATTTCAATATGGGCAATGAAGGGTATTGCTACCAAGCTTGGCCTATATCCATCAATTCATATAGAACCTATAGTATTGTCTAAGCCTATTGATTATTGATAGTTATATAACTTAAATAAGGAAAAATTAAATGGGGCCCCTGGCCCCAAAGGAATGAATATTATCAGTTCAGCAACCTTCAATATTTTAATATTAATATGGATAATAAAGTGTATGTGTACTAACTTTGTTCAAGATCCATCTATTCATGTAGGAGTATTTGTTGGTCATTTTATTTATATAGCTCATATACGAAAAGAAAACGAATTCCCAAACGGATTGTTATAAAAAGTTCACTTTCATTTATATATTATATATAAATGATTACAATATAATTTATACAATTTGGGGGTCGGGTTGGGGGGAGAATTTTTAAAACGGAGTGGGCTGCAGCGCTGCCAAAATGTTAAGATTCCCTGCCCTGGAGCATTTACTAAGATCACACACCCCACCCCCCCAACCTGTTTACCCTCAAACCCTTAAAATCGTACAATATCATCACAAAATCGTTCAATACCTTATATTTATAGTAAAAAATAAACATACAGTGTATATAATGTTTACACCTCAAAATCGTACATTGTACGCCAAAATCGTAAGAGTAAACAGGTCTGCCCCCCCCCCAAATTTTTTTTCGTTCCATCCCATTTCACGTGGTAGTCCTAATTCTATGACTCCCGTCTCCACATTTTGACATAAATTCTCTCGACTGTCAATGTCACTAGACTCATTTTCTCTTCCTCAGTGGTGGCCTGTAACTTGATCAGAGGCCATTTTTCAGACTGCGCATACCTGTACTGATTTTCTCAGTCTCAATGATCGTAGTTGAAAAATAAAATAATTTTAATTGTTGTTTTAAAAGAATAAAGTTAAAATCTGTAATTTAGGGTTATTAAGTGCTATTCTCTTCTATATATAAATATATATCATCTTTTCAAATTATTGAGGGAGATCATCATACTGGCTGAACCTGTGAATAGCATATCACGGCAAATAGCACCACTTTTGCTATGGTCCTGATAATTTGTGATAATCATTGGTTTTACTGTAAAACACTTTGGGGAGCTGCGCAGATTGATGGCTTATCCTTATAACTTATAAGCTTTAAGTAAGGCTAATACAGGCATATGATTATGATACCTCCAGTCCTCCTCTTGTATACCCTGCAGACAAAAGTCAAAAGTCTTTTGAGTCAAAAGTAAGACTAAGACCACACAAGGTCATAATATTAAATCCAAGCCGATAGTAATAATAAATGGTTTACTACCGCCAGCAATTAGTATTCCCAGCCGAATGTGAATAACCACTCCGATTATAACTCTTTAAATAAAAATTCAATAGTCAGCATCAACGGATATGACAAATAAACTAAAACTGTAAAATTAAAAATTAACTCACGACTCAGCTGAATGGCTAACGTCCGCGGATTTATTAACGGTTAGCTAACTATCATGGGACTACAAATGTAGCAGACTTACCGGATTAACACGGAGTAAGCCTAACATGGTATACGATTATATAATTGATGTGGGTTGATTCATTTATTTAATTCTGTATTATAAAAAACATTTTAGACAGTTTTGAAATTTGCATCTTAAGTCTAAGGTGGTTTGATTGGCTGGCTGAATTTAAAATAGTTCCGTACAATATTTCTGTCTTCGGTTAATTTATTCCCTCGGGTCTCTACTGGGACTGGGGCCCACAGAATTTTCTCTGCTGGGTAGATCTTGATGAAAGTTCAAATGGGGTATGAAAGTTAACATTTCATATTAAGCCGATACTTAAAAATGGTCCCGTGGGAACATTAAAAAAAAAATACCAGAATTTATACAATTTAGATTTAAAAAGTTTAGGGCCTCATCATTTAATTTTCCAGACTACTGAGATTAGGTCTTCGTGAACGTTCGTCGTGCAAGTAGGTGGTAGAAAGCTTCGGGTATCCACATCAGAGCAGTGCCAAAAAAAAAAAAACAACACTGCAATTTTTATTTTAAAGGTCTACTGACAGATAAACTGTAATTCATTGCATTTAAATTTTTTCAAACATTACTTTTCAGCCTACACCTGTTAGTGGTACTGACTGTCTAAAGGCAAACCAAACCCAGGCGGGCTTTCAAAATGGAAAGCCACCTATCGACCAGGTGCTCCGTCTTCTCCAGTCCATAACCGAAGGTCTCCAGAAAAAGTCCCACATAAAGTGGCTGTATTTTTTAATTTTTTTTGTTTACCTCCAACAGGCCTATGACAGAGTTTGGGAGTTTACAGGGCTTAGGCGTAACTTCGAATGTGTACAGGTGGATCGCCGGTTTTCTTACAAACCGAACGATCAACGCTAAATTCGGAAGTGAAACCTTGAGGAAGAGAACTATGGAACGGGTCTACCACAGGGTTCAGCCCTTAGCTGCACACTCTTCCTCGCCTATATAAATGATTTGCCCAATATATAAGAAACAAATGCAACCATGTATACAGACGATGTGGTAATCTGGAGTACCGGCAAGGACGCAAGCTCGTCAAGAGCTACTAAAGCGAGACCTTTCAGTTGCGTAGCTAGGGGGTTTTTAGGGTGTGGACCGCACCGGGTGTCACCATGCCAAGGGTGACACCAAACTGAAAAATTGCATATTTACAGAGCACACACTGCTCAGTCTAACCGAATTTCATGAAATGATAACCGATCACACGTCAATTTTCCACACATGTAACCAATTGAAATGCGTGCTTTATTAAAAGTTAAATGTTGATGCGTCAGAAATAAGGTGACCCTATAATTAGGTCAGAAAAATTCCAGTTTGACCATGATTCCCCGCCGTTTGAAATGTTTGGTACCTTTCTTAAGTGACAGGAGGCTATATTTATCTAAATTCTGAGAAATAAATCTTTTCATTAATACCAAACACGATTTGACGGTCAGGCAATACTATGAACATAAATCGAAGCGGTAGAAATTAAAAAACATTTTAAAAATGTCAACCAAAAATATGTTACAAAGTTTTATAATATCTTTTAATATTAATTAAAATTTATTTACATTTTTAAAAATATGTTTTTAAAACAAGTATATCGAAACCCTGAAATACTCAAAAATTGTTAGTTTCGCCGATTCGTCACTAGCATCGCCCCTTAACATTTTAGCACGATTGTCATAGTTCAATTGCTGGGTTTTACCTGCCATCTATGTTGTGTTTTGTAGTGTTGTATTTTGGATAGTGCTCTGTTTTTTTTAAACTGTCTTAACACAACGCAATTACAGCATTTTTATTGTTCAAGATTATTCTATCATGACAGAGAGCGTGAACAAATCTAAACGACCTAATGACTGCCAGCAGCGAAAAGCAAAAAAGAAAAGATGTGACTCACATCAGGATCCATGCTTCGATACGTCTAGAAACCAAATGACCATAGTTCATCAAAAGACTTTCCTGAGCCTACCATTGATAATGATTCTTCCGATACCAACAGCATGCATTCTATAGAACAGCAAATAGTGCAACAAATGAAAGAGATTGACCTCAAGTAAAAAATGTGGATGGTTTGGAAACGGAAATGGGTGCCGATAGTGTTGGTTCCAACGAAGATACTGTAAAAAAAAACGTTAATATTTGATCAGGTGTTTTTCTCTGGAGTGTACCGGTAACAGTTGCAGATAATTTTTTTTTCTGAAATTATTAAAATAGGGAGTAACTCGTTTCAGAACAAAGACGGACCATTCAGCGTAGTGACAAGGCAAGATGCGAAAGCCAAAGGAGGTGTGCGCCACCTAACAAAATAAGGTTCCTCGGGATGGTGTCAAATTGGGAGAAAATATTGCGGTCGTGTATGATTGATTCACTCGTCAGTAAGAAATAGTGCGTTTTTTTTTTTTTTGCTGCAGATTGTTTGCTATTAATATTTCAGAACAGCATCCGAATTTGTTACTGCGTTTAAGTGTTATCAACTGAGCCAAAAATTACAAATCATGAGGCATTGGAAAAGCATCTATATTACCTTGAAAAAATGAAACACATTGGCAGCATGACTTAGGCAACATAAAACAATTGATACCGAAATTATGACTGTGTTGGGCAGGGAGATGACAAATTGGAGGGATATCCTGCACACGTTGTTGGATACACTTTGTTTCGTGCAAACCAAAATCAGTTATTTCGTGGCCACAGCGAAGATGAATCTTCATTGAATAGAGGAAACATTCTTAAAATGGTTTAGATGCTATCTAAGTATGACCCGGTGCTAAAGGAGCACATAATGAGACTTAAGAGGAGTACATCTACAACAAAAGCATCCGCATCTTACCTGTAACTAGAACCCCAAAATGAATTTATAAGTGTACTTGCAAATCATGTAAAGGAGATTCGTATCATTGATGGAAAGGCTGTGAGGGTTTTTTGAATTATTTTCGACAATACACCTGATATATCACACAGTGACACACTGCGCAGATGTCTGAGTGGTCAGATATATTAAAATCCACAATGGGAAAGTGGGGAAATGTGTTTCTTGGATTTGTACTTTTTAAGGTAGAAAAACTCAGTTCTAATATTCTTACAATAAATATTAAACCTGATGGGCTTGATATAATGATTTGCAGAGTTCAAGGTTACGATAAGGCTGCCCCAATGTTTGGAATCCATTGAGGTGTTCAGGCCATTCTGAAAAGAAATAATAAGAAAACGATTTTTAATGGATGTGTGGGCCATTCACTCAAATAGTATGGTCAACGCTCCTTAGCCAAAATCGATTCACGTGTTAAATTTTTCTGTAATCTTGAGAGAATATTTCCTTCTTTGCTGCATTCATTCATCGATGGGATGTTCTAATTGAACAACACATTGGAGTGCTCATCATGCTGCTGTTAAAACAGTGAAAGATAAATTTTGATGAATGTGTGGTGGCGATTGAAGCTCTATACTCTATGTGATCCTCTTGAAAATTTGGATACAAGAAGTACAGCGCTGGGTCTTTTACCTGCTGTCTGTGAATACACGTTTATCTGGTACCTTGACTTTTGGGCTATCTACTTGAGGAAGTTAATCTTACACAGCAGTATCTGCAGACTTTTAAGGCTTTACTCGTGACAAAGTGGTGACCAGACTAGAGGCCTTATGATTGCTTCTGCACGAGAATCGTTGTCACTTGATGGATTATGTTTTTGAAAATGCACTTTAAAAAAAGAATGGCAGGAGAACAATTCATAGATGATGGACTCTCTCTGCGAGATGGGAACAGTAGGGAGGTGCTATACATAGAGTGTATAAATCACTTTTATTTTTAAGCCCCGAATCAGATCATCAGCGATAAAGGAAGTAGCAGATATGTTTGGGGCTGTTCAACCCAGCAAGCGAAGAAGAGTTATTGGTTTTCGTTCCAAAATTAATCTCTTTCTATGATGAGTTGTCAGAAGATGAACTTATCAAAGAAATACCAAGGCTTAGACGAAACCTAAAGGCAGCTGATATTCAATTTCACAAAGGCATGGACTGGTCAGTATTTGATATTTTGAATTGAAATTCCTTGAGCATCTTCCAATACACTCACTAAGTCTTCAATTTTTACTTACGATCAGTGTGACTGTGACTTCGTGTGAGCGGAGCTTTTCAAAACTAAAGCGTATCAAGAACTAATTACGATCCACCACGGGACATTCAAAGCTTTCTAATCTACCTCTACTATCAATTGAGAGCAAAACGGTTAAGGATATTGAGTTTGATCAACTGCTTGACATGTTTGCAGCTTTGGAGATCATGAAAAGAATATTTTTAATAAAGTAGATTTAATGTAACAGTTACTATAACTTAACGTTGTCACAGTTCTTAAATACAATTACCTCCTGACCATCAATTAATTTGTTTGTTTTTTTTGTCATTCGTATACTGTGGACTTATTTTAACAAGAAGAAATCCTTCTTTGAAGTCGGGGAAGTGGTGGGGGTGGTGGTGGGGTGACACCATGAGTTTACCGCACCGGGTGACATCAAACCTAGCTACGCCACTGACGTGCAGTGGTGGCAACTGGAAATCAACACCGAGAAGACGGTGTATTCTCTATTCACAAACGTGTGTAACATTCTAAAAAATGTGATCGAGCTCAAGGTGAGCGATGTAGCACTTAAATGGGAAAAGCAACCGATCTACCTGGCTGTCAGACTTGATCTAAAGGTACAAATACATAATTTTATATAAGACCTGAGCTCCCAGGTGACCGCCATGCTCAACCTATGGAAAAAAACTCGCGTGCACGAATTTGAGCATAAGCACTCACAGCTCTCTTCCAGAGTAATGTAAAGTTGGTGATGGACAACAGCATGCCCGTCCAATCTTTTGCAAGCGAAACTGCACGGTAAAAAAATTGACCAGAATCCAGAATCAGGCTCTGAAATTCATCTGTAGTACATTCAAAACCAAACCCACGGCTGCGGTGGAAATCATAGCCAACGTACAGCCACTAGACATAAGAAGGGACACGACAATTTTAACCACCTTAGAATGGTGGAGGAGATTATATGAAAGGGAACCCTGCTTCAAAATGCAGAATAACTTGAAAGAAATGCCCTGCCTCCATTATTCATCCACTAGACTGCGTCAGCTGCGTAACCTTTTAGCTGATAGCTATCTCCTTAGTAGTGAAATTCTTGCACGATGTAGAACACTTAAATTAATAAAAAAGAAAACTGCAAGAGGTTTTCGCGGGGGAAAAAGGAAGATGAGATCTCGGCACTCAGCTCCTTCCACCTCAACTCCTGATCATGTGCATCAACACTCAAATCAGTGACTCTTGCTTTCCTGATCAACTTGATGCCCCAATCCTTCGCATACAGGAGTGCGTGGACGACGTAAAGCGTTAGATGACTTGCAACAAACTGAAGCTAAATGATGATAAAACGGAAATCCTTCTCATCCACTCTCAAAACAAACCTCTCCCTCCATCCGCTCCTTCTTCTATATCTATCGGCAACTCTGACATCACACTCTCTTCCTTTGCCAGAAACTATGGAGTCACACTTACAGACACCCTATCCATGGACAAACATGTCACGAACATATGCAGATCAGCATACAACGAAATTAGAAAAATCAGCACCATTAGACACCTCCTCTCCTTTGATCCCAAAAAAAAACCTCTCGTCTCTTCACTCATTCTTTCAAAATTTGACTACTACTGTAACACTCTTCTCGCAGGCATTCTTCAACACCGCATAGAAAAACTTCAGAAGGCACAGAACTCAGCATGCAGACTCATTTTTAAATCAAAGAAACATGATCACATTCAACCGCACATGCACCAACTCCACTGGCTTCCAATATCCTCTCGCATCAAGTATAAGTCTGCCAATCTATGCTTCAACTCGTTCACTAACCCTCACTTTCCTATCTCTCTGAACTTTTGCTTCCTTACACCTCCACAAGACAACTACGCTCTTCAATTGACCATAGAACCCTCTCAATCCCAAGAACCAAAACTAAGACCATCGGTGAACGCTCCTTCTACTTCCATGCGCCCACGTTCTGGAACCAGCTACCCTTCCACATCCTTCATTGTGATACCTCGTCCACTTTCAAAAAGTCCCTTAAAACCCACCTGTTTAGGTCTGTTTCTATAGTCATTTTTCACATTGTAGTTACTATTCTAGTGTCTCAGGTTTTTTCCTTTTTATTTTACTTTAGCAATTTAAATAGTTTACATATTTTTAATAATTGTAAAGCACTTAGAGCTTTAAGGTAAGCGCTATAAAAAAATGCCTGAATAATAAATACATAAATAAATAAGTGGGTAGCGTTGAGTAGACTGAAAAGATCCTCCTTTATGCACCAAGTTGCAGAGCTTGAAAGGACAGTCAAACTCCCCAAAAATAGAGAACGACTGACCTATATCCCAGTCATTCCGCCATTTGGGGAACCCTCTCATCCCAATATAGTTTGGTTTTGAATGACACAGCAGTGATGAAATGCAGCCCTGCACATGCACTGAAGAAAATGAGTGAAACAAAGTGTGGGAAAACTTAAAAAATGGACGCAACAAAACAACGTCCCCTCTTTTGTTTTGCTATTGCCGACACTTCCCTTCACTGGGAAAAGGTTGTTCGAATAAGTTTTAATTTGTTTTAAATAACGCTATCTGGGATACAATTTTTAGAATGTATTTTCTGGATGGCTCCAAATCCGTCCCTATAAATAAGACTTTACTAGCCGGAAGAAGAATCATTTAATAAATTAATCCGTATTGTAGTAAATGTAATGCGATGATGTTTGACATAAGTGGTGAGATGTTAGTAATCATGAAGAAGGTTGTGAAATATTTGTTGATGGATGTGGTACCGATATTGTGTAGGGTGGAAGAAATACATTTCGGGACATGGGAAATGCCTGGATCCAGGTTGTCTAAGAAAAGTGTTAAGGTGTGATCACTACGGTGCGGCCCTTCGAGGGGACATACTGATCTGCTACTGAACGCATATTCAAACACGTGTCTGCTCTTAAAAAAGAGATATGTCACTGAATTTTCTCAATGCTGCTCTCAAACGTGTTTGTCTTATGTGGCCAAGTTGACGCCCCCTAAGAGTAAATACAGATAAAGACGGTGCCTCGGCTTGTTACCTTTATTATCACTGCGTTTGAATTTAGACAGAAAATTCCATCGCTAGGCCGATTAAGTGATAATTTATATTAACAAAAAAACAACAAAAAAACAACAACAACGCTTATGGCACCACCCCCGCCCCCACTCCCCTAGCTTGGGAAATGCTTGTGTTAAATTGATCTAGTTTGAAAATGTTTGTCTTTGTAAGAATATGTACATTGTTATAATATAAAAACATTTCCCATTTATTTAGATTAATTAAATAATCTTATCTTAATCTATCTTATCTAAAAACGTTCCTTTAAATTTTCCCTAACTTTAAGTCGATGAATTATTTAGTATTATCCACGACCTGGCCAAGATGAATAAATAGCTACCGATATTTTTTAAAAATATATAATGACGTCTTTTTATATTTCATTCAAAAGAATGATAGGCCCTATATAATTTTAAGACATGAGGATATAATAATTAAGAATTTAAGGGGCGAATCCTATACTATAAATGGATCATGAAATTTTTTTTAATCGATTACATAATTTTGTGATTTTTATATTATTTTTGTGAAGGTCTATGTCGATATGTGAAATATGTTGGATCACCAAATTTCTAGAAGGATAAAGAAAAATGTTTTTGTTTTTTTGTAGGACTAGCTTTTATATTTTTTACCATGAAAATTGATATAAAACACGATAACTTTTTCAAAATGGTATTGTTAGGCGTAGTTTTGATATTTTTGTTTCTACAAACCTCATTTTTTCATCATCCATTATCCTAGACAAATGCTCACAAAAAAGCTCTAATTCAAAATTAAAACATAAAATATGTACCAGAGCTAGAGCATTTTAAATAAGATATAAAACTATTGACAATTAATTTGTTAACATGTCACTTAGGTTATCTAATAAATTTTAAGTTTAGTTTAAGCTACGCCCGTCGTGTCTTTTTTTTTTAGTATCGATATTTAGTATTCGATCCAGGACTAATTGAGTTTCTAGGAAATAATACTTAAAATCTAAGAAATCGGAAATCAAGGATCTCTCAACAAATGGCCGTATATTATTATGAATCTAATCTGGAAATGGCTTGTGTAAAATATTATTCGTCATGACACTGTGAAATCATCGATTCTTTAGGTATATTGTTATTTGTAGGTTGTAGTGTAGCATATAAGCATAGGGCTAGGCATACATTTTAACTTTCAACTTTAAGTTTAAGTAATTTGTGATTATGGACTGTAACTAACAAACTCTACTCAGTGTCAGAGCGACAGAAGATTCCTGAAAAGCAAACAACCCACCAAAATGTGCAAAGTTCTAAGCCCGAGGTCGAAGTTCTTTTATTTATTAAACGGTAAATCTACTACACGAGCAGTATTTTAGTATTAAGTTAAGTAGGGACTAGCACAGTACTCAGTAGGTGATGGTAATAGACAACCCACTTACTAAAATTGGACCGTTCTGTTACTGAGTTACAGTGAGTTTACAGCCGGTCAGTCAGTACTGTACAAATTCACAAATAATTGAAGAAAAACTACAAGAAAATTACTCCTGGGAAAGTCTCTCCAATTGTCCCCAGTTGCGCCCACTCTTTTTGGTGTCTGCCTCCAGGTCCCTTCTCCAAGTCGTTTTTGGTCGACTTTTAATAGATTTTAATAAGTTATTAATAATGTTCCACCTGATATTACAACAGTTACATTGCCCAAGGCGGAGGGGTTCTCAACAAAGATTATAGATATATGTACAACCACACAGTTCACAGGCACAATAATCTAAAAGAATTCCACAACTTATATGATATAACATATTCAAAATTGTTCCTATAAGAACAAATCCCAGAGTTGGCAAACTAATAATAATGACAGATCTGACTCTTTAATTTTATTGTAAAAAGCTCCACCTAGACCAGGGGTGTCAAACTCAATCGGTCGGTGGGCGAAAACTCAAATCACATGTAAGGTTGTGGGTTGAACAGGATTAACATTCAATAAATTAATCTTTTAAAAAAAAACCATTTATATAAATGATGACAGAAAAAAGTTTTAATAATTAAAAATCATTGGCATACACATTTTTGTTCTTATGCCGATTTGCCAGAGCTGGATATTTGGCACATTTTCTTGGCTACAAAAACAGTTAAGTTTGTTTATGTTGGGTCATTTATTCTGTGTCATTGAGATTCTCACGATGGACTGCAAGTGTTCATCAGTGAGACGACTCATGTGTGATGTTTTGTTAATCTTCACAACACCTGCTCACACAGACATGTGCTACCCAACATGCTCAGGTTGGAGCCGCATGTAGACGAAGCTGGGGCATCTCGAATGAAAGAAGTGAACTGTGCAGGCCCAACTGTGGTGTACTTTGCCATTAGTGTCCCATTACACTGCAGCTCTATTAGCTCCATCTGCAAATTTACAGATGCAGTTTCGACGTCTATGACAAATGAGTTATGAAACAGCTCGAATTTACATTTCTGTGCTTCAAAGTCACTAAAGCACTGTGGGAACTCTGCGCGAAGTAAGCTAAGTTTTTCAGCAAAGTGTTCATTGGGAAACACTATAGCGTTGACTTGGATTTAATTGTACGCCGGTCAAGACCTGATATAATTGTTCGGAGGGCCGTATGTGGCCCACTGGCCTTGAGCTTGACACATGACCTAGACAGACCCATAAAAAAATATTGCTTGAACTTAGTAATGAAAAATGTTTGCTGATCATGTCTAATGGCATGTGTGAACCACAGTGAACACAATTTTTATTGCTTTCTTATTTTAGTGACTGATTGATATCGTACAGAAGCACACCAAATATGAGCTTTGTATATTAAAAATTATTGGTTAATAATTAAATTCATTAAAACAATAATTCTCTAATGTAGTCTAAAACAATAATTTGCAAAAACTATATTTTACCTATTAACTAACACACATTAAATAACTAATAGTAATGCCCAGTGTAGTCTGTAGTTTGCAGAATGAGTTTGTTTTAGGCTTTAGGCATACTCTATGACTACTTGTACTACTATACTTGTACAATTCTTCTCATCTTTGTTTTCATAAGGGCTTGTGGGCCTTCTTTTTCTTTTCCTTTCTTTCAGTTGCTTAATAGTAATGGGTAGGATTTAAAGTTATGATATAAAAATTTAATTAACATTGCTGTTATTTGTTCTCTCTCCGTTGATGAAGAGATAAATATCAGGATTGCAAAAGCAGCAGCAACTATGGCTAAACTGAATAAACGGGTATGGATAATCTCAATCTAACTGATAAAACAAAAATAAGTGTCTATCAGGCATGCGTGCTTAGCACGCTCCTATATGGTAGCGAAGTGTGGACCACATATACCAACCAGGAGCGGAAACTCAACAGCTTCCATCAAAGATGTCTGCATCGCATTTTGCGCATTCGTTGGCAGGACAGGATGCCTAACCCGGAGGTTTTGGAACATACACACTTATTTAGCATATTCTCCTTTCTAATCAAGAGGCGCCTTCGCTGGTTAGGTCATGTACGGAGAATGGAGGAAGGACGTATCCCAAAGATACTGCTGTATGGAGAGTTGGCAGAGGGGACAAGACACATTGGACGACCGCGCCTGAGATTTATTGACGTTTGCAAACGAAGCATGAGGGAAGCCAATATTGAAACAAACGAATGGGAGTTCATTGCCGAACATAGCTCCAACTGGCGAACAGCAGTGTTTGAAGGAGTAAAAAAGGAAGAAGATACTCGAAACGAGGCCCTTGAATCAAAAAGAACAATTTGGAAATCAAGAATTTTCCGGGATTCAATATTCTCCTGCGAGAGATGCGGCCGTGATTGCCATTCTAGGATTGGTCTAGTGAGCCACTCGTCAAAGTGTAGAACTATATAGCTACTCCAACGTCTCATGAAGACGGAAGGATGCCATATATATATATATATATTTGTTCTATGTTGTATTGAAGAAGTCAATAGCTGTAAGATTTATATTGTGTCATAATTAAGCTTACATATGATATATACAAAAAATTGTTTTTATCTCATTAATGTATATTGTGCATAAAAGCTTTATTGCAGTCAAACCCTGTTATAATCACTACAGTGACGGCAATCAACAAAGCTAATGTTCTATATTTAGTTTCAATGATCACCAGCCTGATACAGCACATCAAAGGAATAATAATTTTAAAAAAAAATTATTAGCCAGGCAAGCCACCTTCTTCTCAGATTAGGGCATATATAAAATAACTTTAAAAATTAGGCCCTTTTTATTGTGACAAATACTAATTTCTAATTTTCTATATATTTATGATTCAAAGATTACTAAATTATCTACTGACGACTATATAAATATTAGTACTGCTAGTGTAAGACTAGACTACTTAAGTACAAGTAAACATTTAGCCATTAGTCTCTATACCCATAATCATAGTTGTAGCAAAGGCATGCATATATGATTGAGATTAGGCTAAGTAGGTTTACAATCAGTTATGAATAAATTTACTGCCATTTCACTCAGTAGTTTTTGATACTCCATTTACAGTCCATATTCTTATGGACACTGAAATGTGTAAACAGTGTATCTCTATATCAGAAGTATTAATAATTAGCCTAATTGAAATTCACCCATTTGATATTTTAAGAATAATCTCATATATAAATTTTGATTCTGATGTGTCATGCTACCACTTCAAAACCGCCCTTCCCCCAACTCCACATGTTTTATATCAATAGTATTGAGTGAAGGAAAAGCTGTCATGCAGCGCGTGTCATGCGTGACGCTTGAACTCAAGTAAATAGTTTAAAAAATGTAAATTTTTATCTTTAGTGGGAGGTGACTGGAATGATGTAGGACTGTCTGTAGGCTTTTTGTTTAAAGGCTGATTGGTAGGGTGTAGAACTATCTGTAGACCTATTGTTTAAAGGCAGGCAGAAGGGTGTAAGACTGCTGGTAGGCCTATTGTTTTAAGGCCACCAGAGTGTACGTCTATTGTTTGTGGGAGAGTGTATGTTAAATATTGGCTAAGGAAACATTGAATATTGTCGGGTTTGAAGGGGATCGTTTGTCTGCCTCTGAGCAAAAGTTATATCAGTCATATCATGGCTTCAAAAGGAAACTGAAAAAAAACCCATTAATTACTAGGCCTATGTATTATACTTCAACTGCAACTGTCATGATTTTGTATTCATCACTGAATGAGACCTTAAGATTTTTTGAAAGTTTGTACAATTAAATCCTGAAGTAATTATTTATAAATCAATTTTTAAATTTGCAGTGTTCAAGGGTACTGCTGTTTCCCCACTCAAAAGAGATCTGTATGCTAAACGTAGCGACCACTTATTCTCGCAGCTAATAAATGATAGTAGCAACATGCTTCAAGCAGCTAGCGGTAAGAGCAATAGTAAAAAACTTTCATCTCTGAATTCAACAATTGTTGAGGAGGATGAGGCAAAATTGGACCCCACTTACAATCAAGCAGATAATATACCTGATGTATGTAAATCAGATTTGCAAAATTCAAACAGCAGCCAGGAGTCACAAGAGCCAGACATTGTCCGCTCGAGTTCCTCCTCTAGCAGTTCCAGCAGCAGCGACAGACTATGTAGACCATTAGAAAAAACCTCAAAGCCATCTACTGTAAGTTCATTCAGCTCCTCTGATGAATCCGCAACATTCTCTGACTCCACACGTAGACATTTTCGTGGTTCAAACTCTAAGCTAAAACGGCAACCTTTGGTTAGTCAAAACAGTGGGGATAACGATGTTTTTGAACCAACGCCCACCACTGCATTAGCAAATTATGGAAATAACCCAGAACCTCAAAATTATGCATTGTCTGAGAAAGGTCAAAGAGCACGTAGTGACTTCTGCAGTAGTGGTTATGGCACTGGGTCTGGAGAAAATTCAACCTCTAAAACATCAGCTCAGTTATCTGCAGATCTTGACAATGAACTTACAGCTGTAACATCTGAAAAATATCCTGAAGATTTACAAGATAATGTAAGCAACACATCCACTGTTGGCTCTGCATTGCCAGCCGATAATATTGGAAATATCTCAAGTAAACACAACCAGTCCAATAACATTACAGTGAACGCTACAAAAGCCAGTAACACTTGCAGTGACCAGATTTCATCACCTCTTATGGATAATGCTATCAAGTCTTATTCATTGCCCTCTGTCTTGATTGATTCAAATAATCCTGGTGCTATATCTAGAGCCAGCCTAATTGATCATTTAAGAAAAACCAGCTCAAATTTGAGTACCGGTAACTCTTCACCTAGCAGCACTGGGAGCTATTTTATTACTCCAAGCAATGAAGCAGCACTTACTGTTCACAGCTCCATATCTTCATCACTGATTCGTCAAATGTGTTCATCAGGCCCAGGTAAGGATTTTCTTTACTATATACTGTATTGCAGCAAGACAATTTTTAGTTCCAGTAAAACCTGGAAATAACACACACTTTTGGGGCTGTAGCAAAAGTGGTGCTATTTTCAGGGATGGTGCTATTGGTGGGTTCAGTTAGTGTTAAAAATCACTCTTTGTTGATTAGGGTTAACGCATATGTAAAATGTAAGGACACCGCTATTTCAATGTTTATCATATCTAGGTACCATTGTGAATGTTTAACAATATAACTGTTCAAAATCATGCTAAATAACAAATTATATTATCGAATGTTGATTTATATTGATTTTTTTTTTCTAGGATCTCAACCACTTGAAAGCCAGAATATTGACTCATTAAAGTTTTCATTAACACAACCAAAAAAAAAACATGAAGCAAGTCTGGTAAATAACTATTATAAAATTCTTTGTTTAAAATATACAGCCTTTCATGAAAATGTTATATAATTTGCTTATTATTTTTATCACAAATAATTTACTTGTACTGCTTTAATAACAAAAGAATTATAAAATAAAATGAACAAATTTTTGAGTCATAAATGGTAAAAAAAAATAAAAATGTATGACTTCTCTACAGCCCACTCTTGTATCTGATTGTGGTAGCTATGCCATAAACCTCTTGTTGGAAAAACTTGAAAGAACTGCTAGATGTGAAGAGGTACAATGTGATGATGAAAACTGCAGCCAGGTTTGTCAGCTTTTAATAATTTTTTGTAAGGATAAGATGTCAAGTCTAATGCCTGGCCAACAATTTTCAATTCTTTCCAAGCTAGTTGTTCTTTGTTGTTCATATAGGTATGTAGTGTTACATGCTTTTACAAACAACAATAATCAATTATACTATTAAGTTGATGTAAAAATACAAAATAAAATATACAGAAATAAAAACTATATTAACTTACAGTGCAGCAAATACAAAAAGTATAATACTAGAAAGGTGTAAATATTAATCCACACACACACAGGAAAAAGTTTGGCAGGTCTTGTAAGTGTGTCAGTCACAGTTGACAGTCGTATTTATAGTTTGGGAGTCAGAACCCTCCAGAATAGAATGTCTAGAAAATCAATCATCAGGGAGTATTTTCTACCTCCATGTAAACCTTCTGGAAATTGTAAACAAACTTTCTGAATCAAGGGGCGGGTGAGGAAAAGAGTTGCACCACATGTCACCAAGACATTTGTGACGTTGGTAGCTAAAAAATATGGGATGTAAAGGATGCATGCCACGACTCTACACCAAGCAGGGTGAATAAAAACTAGGTCAATATACAGGCTATAACAATAGTGATAGTATGAAATGATGTTTAAAGGATATGTTCAAAATCATTGGTCTTTGCAGTTTACCCATTGGTTGAGATCCATTTTATAAATTATATCCGCAAAGAAAATAATTAAATGGTTAAATATGAAAAGAGCCACAATTATAAATTCAAAGGGCTTCAGGTTGTCAACGTTTTAGGCAGCCTAATATATCATGGCCTAAAATACATTTAAATGTGACTGCTTGCTGCTATCACTTAGGGTTTGCAAAGAAATACCACATCAAGCCACTGCTCAGTTTTCTTTCTTTATGATATTGTCGAAATATGATCTCACTTTTCAGGTGAGGTTATCTGGGGGTGCTAATGTTTTCCTCACTGTGGTCATTTGCACCAGTTGATTTTATATATGTAAATTTAAACATGAAAAAATAATGGAACTTGTTTACTAGGGATTAACCAGGGGAAGATTTTTACACCGTTGGGTCCAAGTCCAAGCGTAACAAATAAAAAATTGACTTCTTATTTTCTATAAAATATGCCGGCCTTTAAACAACAAGACCACAGACAGTCAGATACTCCACCTGCCAGCCTTTAAAAAAAAATGCTACAGACACTCCTAAAATAGAGACAGTCCTACACCATCCCCATGGCACTTAATTGATTGATATAATAGTTGCCTCTAAAATAATTCAATCTTTTTACCTGAGTTAAACCATCACGCATGACGCTCCCTGCTTGAAAGCTTTTTTTTTTTTCACTCAGTTCTATTAATATAAAACCTGTTGAGTAGGGGAGGCCCGGTTAAGAAAAAGAAGCAGCCACACCAGAAGCAATATATATACAAGAGATGTTATCTAATTTTGTCTTTTAGCCATACAATGATAATCTATGGATTAAATAATATTTAAATCTAGCAAATTTGTATACTGTACTTAATTTTTAACTATTCAAAGTCTTGTAAAATGTAAAATTGCTGTTCCTACTATAGATAAAAAAGTGTATAAATGAACTGAAAAATTGCAACTTGGAAGGATCTTCACTGAGTGACAATCAAAGAAATCTTCTGCTTCAAATGGCTTTACATGATGAACATTGCACTTTGCCAAGATGTCCCTTCACTTGGTGTGGTACATCTGCTATAGAGTGAGTCACTATTTTTTCAATGTCATTACTTTTAAAACCATCAAGTTCAATAAATTTGTAAATGGAAAGGCCATGCAATGCTGAAAAGGGTTCACTTTTTTGTGTGTGTAAATGAGGTGATATTTAATTAATCATCACATTTGTATAACTAAAAAATCGCATAGTGCATTAAGCTCTAAGATTAGCTCCTAATAATTTGTTAAATTTATATGCACATACATGTATGTACACATCTATAATTTTGGTTGGCTTGAGCCTTGAAAAATTAATTTCTGTGCAATGAGCTTCAATTTTAAATGTAAAATACTTAAAATAATCTTTCTTTTTTTTCAGCGCTTTAAGCCAAGAGGAAAAAATTGAAAACATGTTAAAGAGGGTGGAAAATTTCACAGATAATCAAATTATTTTTAGTACTTCTTACCTCAAATACATGGAGGTAAACTCTTTTATTTCATTTTAAATCACCCATAGTAATAGATAAGTATGTTCATATAAGATTCTGAGCAGTGCACACATTTTGTCAGGCTTGAAAAAGTTTGAGTTTGATTATTTTTTTGCCACAGAACAATATTTTAACACTTAAGTTCTATTTTGTTGTAACTCATATCAATGCTAATAAAACTGTACAAAGTCAAACTGGTTTTTCCAGTGCTCTATTTACAATAAAAATAATCTATAAATATTCTACTATACTTTTGAAAAACTGTGGTATATATATATATGTTAAGTTGTATAGTCATGTAAAATGCTTCATATTAATTAAACATTTATTCATTAAGCACAAGGTTAAAATGCCGACCAGAATTATATATTTTCCTGCTTTGGAAATATTATTTGTACTGCTAAGTTTAAAAAGCAATGTTCAGTTTTTGTTCTTCTTTTAAATTAGCTCTTTTCTTCTGTAGCGTTCTTCCCAGATTTCATTTTCAGTCATGCCACAAGAAAAAGTACATTGGCAAAGGCTCTGCATGGTAGAGAACTCCAGTAAAGTCTTGCTGGCTAGTAGGATCATTCCTCATCAACCAGAGACTAGTTACTGGATCATAAAAAAGGCAAGTGTGTGCTTTAAAACTGGTTAATTCAGACTTGGATAACAGTTCGCATAAATGCTACTACTGAATAATATTTGATCCAATATTCTTTTGGAGCATGAATCAACAAGTTTATGTTCTCCTTCTTCTTCTTAGCCGTTCTCACTCCCAATGGAGCATAGGCTATCCACAATACTTTTCCATCTGTCCTTGTTGTAGAGTATGAGCGTTCATTAGTAATTGTTGCGACTGAATATTATGTTCATTAGTTGTTGAACGCTTTTCCAGCGCTTGACTCTTATAGTTAGTGAACGCTCTTCCCGCGATTGTCTCTATGACATATTTTTATGCTGATTCATGACGTATTGTCTATGCAGTATTGTGACGTATGTTTTAGACGTGCGGCAGTCTTGAGTGGAACTTAGGAGTGATAGGATGTGTATTATTTAGGTCTGATAGCGAGCTGCGCTATATTCACGTGTTATGTGTAGTATATTTACTTAGACATTAAAGTTATAATTATTATGAAAAGGAGTTGAGTTTGTTCAGTGATGGTAGGAATAGTACGACACATTCAACGTGTGAAAGAACTTGACGAATGTAATCAATCCAAGAAGACTGTAGGAGTTGACACTTGTCCTGGGCTATCCTTGCTAGTTCAGCCCAGCTTTTTTTCATTCTCTTTACCTCTGTCTCTAGTCCCCTCTTCCATGTGGCTCTTGGTCTTCCTCTCTTCCCGGTACCTTGAGGATTCCAGTTCAGTGCCTGTCTTGTGATGTTAGTGTTTGGTTTCCTTAATGTGTGCCCTATCCATCTCCATTTTCTCATTTTTATCTTCGTTTCCACCGGAACACTTGATGCTCTCTCCCAAAGGACAGTGTTACAAATTTGGTTAAACAATCTTATTTTGAGGATCCTTCGCAAGGATCCGTTTATAAAAACATGAAGTTTTTCATTGTTTGTTTTTGTTGTTGTTCAAGTTTCACAGCCATGCAGAAGTAGTGCCTTTACATTCGAGTTGAATATTTTAAACTTTGTTTTTTGTCAGTATTTCACTTGAGTTCCAGATGTTTGGCAGGGTATTGAATGCTCCTCTGGCCTTTTAAACCCTAGACTTTATGTCCTCATCTGTGCCACCATTTTTATTTATGATGCTTCCAGGGTATGTCAAAGTCTCAACTTCTTCAAGAGACGCTCCTCTCAGGTTAATCCCAATGACTCCATCATCCACTCCATTTATTCTTAAAAGGTCTTGGTTTTCCCTTTATTTATGCCAAGTCCAACTTACTGGGATACAGAGTCAAGTTTTGTTGTTTTCTCCTGCATTTGTTTGTGGCTATGTGATAAAAACTTTAGTTACATCAATATAAACGAATAATAAAATTTTACCTGACAATTTTAACATAAATATATAATGTGGAACATATGTTTTGCATCTGAATAATTTACCTTCCATTGCTTTGTTTTCAATATTAAGATGTTCTAACAAAAAAGTTTGTTTTGTTTCTAATTATTTATTGTTTCTTATTTTATCTTGCCTTCTGAAGATGGCATGTAGCTGAGAATTTCATTTTAATTGTCCTGTCTTTTCATTTCAAGCCTAAATTTATCTTGTTCGACTATGTCCTTCACACCGCTTGAACGCAGTCTCTCAAATATTTTACAATAATTGCTTTTAATTTTAAAAATAATTTTGAAAATGTTGGTTGTTATTGACACAGGTGGCTTACAATGACAATGAGGAATCTCTGTGGCAAATTTGTTCCAAGCTAAGGCAGATGAACTGTTCTCATGTGGTCAAAATGTTGTGGGCAGCCAGTTTTGAAGATCACCTCTTAATTTGCTCTGAATATGAAGGTTTGTTGCTTAAATTCTAAAAGATAATAATGTTTAATTCGGATATTTATACAAAGCTGTATTGAAGCCCCAGTACCGATGACAATATCAAATCTCAATAATTGGTAAAATTATAGACCAATGGGAAATACTTTCTCACACAAAAATATCAGGCTCACAGTAAGTCTATTGCTATCATACAAAATTTAAGAATATTCACTGCTGATAACAAAATCTTAGTACCAAATACAAAATTCAAATAAAGTTATTTTTTTTTAAACAGAAAGTATAAAAGATTTAAATTAAATCGAGTGCAAAGAGAATTGTACAAAAAAATTTAAAAAATTAAGTTGCCTATTAACAACAGATCTGTAAAGAAAATACCTAATATATTTCTATGATTCTTGGAGAATTGACTTTAAAGCTGAAATAGAGTTTATTTTTAGAAATGACCCAAAGCAACAATTTTCCCCACAAATATCAAATGCAGCTATCGCTATTTTTCATCACAGAAATTCACTGCCGCTGTTATATGGCCCATCTAGCGAGTATTAAGTATCTACTATGAAGTTAAATTCAACTGATATAATCAGTTTAAATTATGATTTCAAAAACTGATTGTAGGTTTCTCCCCTAAAAATAGTAATGAAATCCCTACTCTTAACACTATGAAAGAAACTCATAGAATAACTATGTTTACAAATCTACCTTGTGGTTTTAAAATATTTGTAATTTCTATTTTTGTGAAGTTCTTTTCTCTAAACATATTTCTTTTCAGTAATGAATAAATTTTCCATGATGTTTCACAGGCTACCATTCCTTGCAAGAAAGTCTGCAAGCGAATTCATCCAATGGCCTTGACATTGGACTGGTGCACACTATCATGCTGCAACTTACAGATGCCGCTTACCACTTACATCTTCAGAACATCATCTATCTCAATTGGGCTAGTCAGTATTTTCATATGACTTCAATGTGTTGTGTATTTGGTTTTGATATAAATAGGCTTGCAAATATTTACCACTACAGAGTCCCAGATGTATTTCTTCATCTGTGTGAACACTCTCACTATGCATGTGCACAAAATGCATCAAATATGCAATATGAAATTCACCCCAAAGGGGATTAAGAATCAGCTCAACTATTGTAATATCCCAAAGTCTTAAATTTGTAACTTCTGAAAATATATTAGGTGTATGTTTGCAATAATATTAACACCTTAAAAAAATATGCACCAAAACAAAAAAGTTATCCGCAAAAAAAAACCCCTAAACAACTACTTCATAAAACAGGAAAACTCTACAAAATTTAAGCTAAAACAAAAAAATAAAAATGAACATAGTTCAATATGTATACAAGAAAAGTATTCTTGTCTTTGATGCAATAGATTAGTTCAATATGTATACAAGAAAAGTATTCTTGTCTGTGATGCAATAGATTTTTTTTAAAGTTCCCGACTGATTTTATTAAAAAATGGAAACTTTTTAATTAAAAAAAACTCACTGAAAGCAAGGTCAGTCTTCTAAAGATTTCTGTTTTGTATAAATATAGTTTTGTAGGTAAGAAAGGGAGAAGACTAATGTTATTTTATTTTTTAAAAGGTTCCAACATAGTTAGGACACACCAGACAGATCAGCGTATTGCTGTAAAGCTTTGCAACTTTACAACTTCAGCTCTTGCTGACACATATGATGAAGGATATCTTCGCCTTGCACTTCCTACTTACTTACTGTCACCTGAGGTAATATTTTATTTTAAAATGACATGTGAGGTTGACATTTCTTTACAGAAATTCAACACTAGTTAAATGATGAGATTTATTTGTTAAATGATGTTGAAAGGGATTTATTAATGATCCTATTTATACTCACATGTGACCTTGACAAGGGGGCTCAATAAAAATAATTAAATTTAGTTATCACCTGATTTGTGAAACGCTTATTTTTTGCAGGAGGAATTATTGATAATGACTTAGTTGTTAATAAATTAAATTTGTTATAGTATAATAAGTGTTTTACGTATTTATATAAATTAATCAATTTTTATATTAAAAAGGCTTTTGATTATCAACTGAATCTTGGAAATATCTTTTAAGATGTTTTTATCCCACCATCTCTCTGGCCCTACCCTCATCTCCCATGTGCCACCCATGACACCACCCAATTTAATCTCCCACCACTACCTCTAAACTACACCAACCCCTCACTTCCTTGAACCTATCCTCTTGCACTCCCCTTTTGGATTTCCCTTTATACGCAGAGCTGTACCTGAGCCTGCAACCCCTGGCAGTGGGCCTCGGACATTTAAGGGCCCAAAGTTTTGATGTGGACAATTTTATTATTGGAAGAATTAACGTTGTATAAATTACAAAAACCGAAATGTGGCAAAGCACGTTTTGTCAAGTAACCTTAGTAGATGGTAAATTCAGGCATTACAGCAAGCAGCCATTGTTTGGCCGTGTTATTTCTTGTTTGTAAATAAAAAAAATGATTTTATTTTTGTAATAACCTGAACAGTTTTAATTTTGTAGTCGGTCTGTATAAATTAAAATATCAGCAAGGATCTGTGTCCTTTTTTCTCATGCTAAGAACTCAAACGCACTAGCGACATCTGCTGTCAGACTGGGTTTTCTTATTAAATTGGTTTTAACTTCCTGTTCTAGCTGTGTACAATGAACAAAGTAGTGCCTGAAAGTGATGTCTGGGGCCTTGGATGCATCCTGTATGAGCTGCTTACTGGCCATCCAATCTGGCATGCCCACAGGCATCTTTCTCATGATGATCTTTTTAAAATGGTAATTTAAAGTTATTTTTTTAGAAACCACTTCATTGAAATTGTTAATTTATCAACCGCCAAAAATAAAACCAGTGTGTTAAAGTTTTCTAATGCTATTTCATTTGATTTAATTTTTTTTTAACCCTCAAATTGTCAGATGAAAGAAAGATTTCAACAGGTGATACCTGGAGAAGAACTAAATGGAGTAAATCTAGCAAACATGTGTCCAAGTTTGAAATCAATTTTTAAAAGTTGCTGGAACGTAAGTTAAATAACACTAAACTAATAATATATGTAAATATCGCCAAACATACACTTATGTATGAAACAATTAAACTGGCTATTTAGTCTAACTGAACCATTTTGTTTTGTCGAGATGCAGAGTCAAACTTTAACATTCCCTTTTTTTTTCTAGGTAAAACCAGAAGAAAGAAAAAGTGTGTTAGAAATTCAAATCCTGTTAGTGGAATCATTTGTACAGAGCAATCAGAATACACAAACAGCATAATCATCTGTGAGTGATGATCAGCACAAAAAGCTTTTACATCTATTTCATAGCAGCTGGTATGGAATGATATTTGTTTATATTATTTTCAGAAAACAACAAGAGCTTAATTTTTTCATGATAAGGCAGTGATCGCCTTATTTCTTTTTCCATATAATATATTTTAAGTAAAAATAAATTATTTCCAGCATTGAAAGAAGGTCTAAATCTATGAGCAAGTAAACCATATTTTGGAAACAGAATTCTCAGAAAAATACTTCCCTGTGTAATATAGTTCCCCCTCACCCCTCTCTAAACATACACATATTTTCAACATTCCAACCAAAATTAGACACAAGATGGAGCACCCCCCCACCCCCCTCGGGCTCATTTACCAAATAGATTAAAATAAGTGCCATGTGTTTGAAAAGTGACATTTCTAAGGAAAAATACAAAGCTGCAATGTTATTTTGAGGAAAGCAATCTTTCAAAATTTCTTAAAAGAAATGAATTCAAAGTGTAAGGGATACATTTTTAGCAGTTTGTAATTTTCTGAAACAAGTTATCTTTATCTCTATCCACTGTTTTAGTGGTGAAATTGTAAAAAATAACATTCCAAATGCCTTTTCTATTTTTGGTAATGATGAGGCAATTTTAAAGAATTTTTAGTTTGTACTTACATGTTAAAAGTATGTGTTAAAACTCTCTATCTTTAATAGAGTATCTCATGAATAACTGAATTTTTTTTTCCTAAACTAGAAGATATGTAAAAAAATGTATGTATATATTATGTCTCAAGTGATGATCAAATTGTATGCTGTGAATTTTTTGAATTTTTAACGCCTAATGTACTGATAGATATGTGTGATTTTTTTCTCTTTCATGCTCTTTATTATACATTTTTTAAATGATATTTTACTACTTGAAATGGTATGCTTATAAACCCCCCCTCCTCCTTTCTATGCAACTTCCTTAGACTTAACAATTCGTTAAGTAAGAATAGTATATTTTTAAAAAAAAATAAGCTTCACTGATGAGAAAACCCATGTGACTGAGTAAAAACTGTACATAAATAGCAAGTTTCCTTCAATCAGTGCTTACCAAAAATTTTTAAAGCTAGTGACAACTATTACCGGTGAGAAAATATGGATTTTGCAGTGTATATATGCATATAACAAAAACAGTATTTTTTTGTTGTTAATGATGTACAAGCTTGTAAATAAGACTTGGTTTTAATATTGTTACGTTACATATCTTGAAAGTTTTAATAATTTTTAAATAAATAAACCAGTAAAAAATATAATAAACTGGTAAAAAAAATATGTTAATGTTCAAAATTAATGAAAAAGCTCAGTTTACAACTCCTATGTTTTGTTTTGACTTAAACACTTTTAATGAAGGTCAATTTTAAATTGTTTTACACACATTTCACTGTGACTGATATTGAATACTTGTTGTTTTTTTACTTTAATGATACAAATGTTTTTAAGTATCATTGAAAGATAATATTTTATTTCTGAAATAGTTTTAAGAAAAAATGGTTTAATACTCAACCATCTCAAACATCTGGATTAATATTCTGCCATTTAAAATATTTCTAAAATAATATACTCAAGAATGCATTGTAGTTTCTTGTGGCATTGATGTTCATGTTTTTATGTTACAGTCGAACCGGGTTATGTCAACAGCCTTGGAGTTTGCCAAAAAGAGTTGAGATAACCGATGATCGATATAACCGAAAACCAATATGGCGGCAATATATTAACATGTGCTTGAAATTTCTTCATGTACATGTTGTGCGTTTATAAATGAAAATGTACATGCACGTGTTTATGGAGTTTTTTTGTGTGCACAATAGGGTTATCACTAATTGTTTGATGAAGCAATCGGCATGCTATAAAAATGTACATACATGTTTGCTAACCACACAAGGATTATGGGGGGTGCCACTTTTCTGGATTGTTCCGGATTCGTGAGGCTAAATATTTTTCGGCTTCGGTTTGGCAAGTTTTTTGTTTTCTCTCTGGATTCGCCAGTTTAGTTTATTCAAATACAGATTCTGGATTTTAAAAAAATCAATGTGTAAGAACGCATGAAAGCCTATTAAGTGACAAGAGGGTTCACTATAAATAGAACAGGTACTATGACCTCGCCTCTCTTGCTTGTTTGCAAGCCTCTCACTCCTTGCTGTGTCAAGTTAATTGCGCGGACGATATTGTTACTTCATTTCACTTATTACAGTTTGAGATAGGCAGGTTTCTGTTCTATATAAATTTAAAAAGCTGGCCATTGGTCATGGGGAGCGAGATAACTGAGGTTAAGTGGCAAATTTGGCTGCCTTTTGTGCTCGAGATATCATGGTTTTGCGACATAAACAAATCAACATAACCGAGGACAAAATGCTAAGAGAAAGAGAGAATTTGGCGGTTCCACTTCAAAAACGTTGACATAACCGGGTTGGCTTGTTAACCGAGGTCGAGATAAGTGGGTTCGACTGTATTGACATTTATCTACTGGCAGCTTTTTCACTTGTATAATTCTCTATCATGTTGTTTTGAGGAAAGCAATCTTTCAAATTCTTAAAAGAAATTAATCCAAAGAGTAGGGGATACGTTTTTGACAATAAATTCATATTTAGCTGTGTTATAATTTATCGAAGTGGCTATTCGGACCCGGGTCCAACAAGTTAAGAGGTTGGGATTAAAATTTAAAAAAAATATATTATTGTTAGGTTGTAAGGCAAAATTTGGTATCAAAGATAATTGAATGGACTAAATGTTTTTAAACTTAATTCTTCAGTTAACTAAAATAGACTGCCACAAATGACATCCGAATAGCATTGAGTCTAAAGGGACCCAGGTCCAAATAGTGAGGATGCGTTTACTGTTCCATTTTGACTAAATGCTATTTGGATGTCATTTGTGGTAGTTTATTTTAGTTAAACTTAAGAAGTAAGTTTACAAACATATAGTCTATTCAATTATCTTTCATTTGATACCAAATTTTGTCTTACAAACCCTACGATAATTTTAAAATATTTTTTAATAAACACAAACTCTCACTTCTCGGACCCGAATAGCCGCAGCCATAATTTATTTAATAGATTATTAATTGCGTTTAAAAAAATTATCTTTTTTGTGACTTACCGTTTTGACAAAGTTTTTTATAGATTTATAAATTGATATATTTTTTACATGATATTCCATATAAAAGCTGATAATGCTTATCCATTGTTCCATCTATATTTTATGTTCTGGTGTCTCTAAGGTAACTTCTTAAATTTTTTTTGGTTAACTTTTTGTTTTGTTAGTGTAGATGCTTATATATTTTTATGCTACATTAATTGCACTTGCTTTTTTGTGTTGAATTTTTAAAATTCCATTCCATGCCTGTCTTTGCTTACTGTATACAGAAAAAAATTTAAATGGTTATAAAATAACTCATGCCATTTGTTACCATCCCTAAATGAGATAATCTGTTCCACATATGGATTTCCAACCCTTTGAAAAATCTGTTGCTCTAAAGCAGCGGTTCTCAACCTGGGGGTCGCACGACCCTTTCCCAGGGGTCGCCTAAGACCATCTGAAAACACATATACTCTGCAGTTATAAAGTATCAACGAAAATAAATTTGTGGTTGGGGGTCGCAACAACATGAGGAACTGTAATAAAGAAAAGGTTCAGAAAGGTTGAGAACCACTGCTCTAAAGGGTTTCTAACCCTTGGAGAAAAAAATGCAATAAATTTCAATATTGAAAGTGTTCAAGCTAGTTCCCTTTTTTAATAGATTTCACCCATGATTTCTTAGTAAGATATGTAAGTATTTGTAAATGATGGTAATTTTTATTGAGTTGAAAAAAAAAAGTAATAGCAAAAAAAAAGTTTAAAACGGTGACATCAAACTATGAATATTGTTTTATAGTTTGTATTTAAATAAATGTTACAATTTTTTTCATATTAAGTGGAGCATATCTGTGCTTATATCACGGGATTAGGGAATTTTATCAGTAAATAGCTCCCGGTATTAAAATATACAAAAAGAAATTAAAACTTTGACTCCAAGTCCTAAAGATTAATTCAACTGATTGGGATGCCTTATCAAAAATTTGTTAGTCCAATGATGAATATGTGAAACATTCTCTTTTGAAATTAAAGGAAAAACTATGAAACAATTCATACAAATAATGAGCTTTATTTCTGAGTATGTAATTCTAATTACTAAAGAATGTGACAAAAACCAGAAAACTTTAACAATAATTAGTCTAACATTACATTAATGCAGGGCTCTGCAACAATATTTTTAGAAAAGAGACATATTATTTATTATACCTGCTAAGAAAATATTTAGGTTGTCACAGGTAGGGCGGTTTTAATCGTGAAAGCAGACAAGTTAATTCATTTTTAGAGCCACATGCCCTTCCCGAACTGCAGGATTAAAGCAACATCTGGCCAATTCATAAGTTTTAATTTTGGACACTGTAATTTGTACATTTGTAAGACCTTTGAGAAGTTTAAATTCTTTGTTATGAGTCATAAACAATGTTAAAATACCGTAATAACAAATGTAAGTACTATCGTCACCGATAGAAGGATGTTGCATTTGTTTTTTAACCTTTAATGAGCACCTCTTATCCTGATATGGCAGCTCAATAATTTTATTCCAACTTCAACAGAGCAAAAGTGTCAGATAACTTGTGGCTTTTATTTTATATCCAATAAGAGAATCTAACAAATAAATAAAAAGTTGATAAATAAAAAATTGTTCTATTTACAAATTTACATAGTTTTGTGGTTCATTTATCCCCCTCCCAGTTTATGTACATACAGCTGTCCCTTCTGTTACCTGATGAAAGTGATAATTAACATTCATACCTCGTGTGCTAAATTACGACAGAACGCAATATTTACAGATTTTGAGATACAACATTTTCACTTTTGCAGGCGCAAGTAAAGAGCAAAATCCAAACTTTTTTTCAACATACACAAAGCTTTTGAAGCATGATTCAAGATATGCTTCATTATATGAATTTAAGAGTAGACTGGTAACTGTTTAGAGGCACTGACATCTGTCATCATAAGACAGTCATTCTGACGATGAAATTTGACAGTGATAGAAGCATCATCACTTTCATAATGCAACTGTGAAAAAGGTGCATCCTCGCCAGGGCCTGAAAGTTTAGTTTTAACAAGTATTATTACAGTTCATTCATAAAAGTAAAAAGAGTTCAGTGAATCGATGTTTGTTCAAGATGTACAAGAATACATAATTTCTTGACAGATTAACAGTAGATGGGTAGAGAGATAAATATACTTTAAGAATATTATGGTTAAAATAAACAACATGGAGGGACCATTTTAAAAATATGGTTTATGATGCTGCATATCCTAATCTGCTATACAAATTCAAACCTTTCTTCTGTGTTTCCAGGTGTGAGGTTTAATGTATGTAGCATGCTGGAGTGAAGAATATCTATTTTTAAAAACTTAAACCTGAAGTAAACAAAAAGCGAACAATATGTTCACAGAAAACTATTTGTTTTACTTCACTCAACAGTTCAAGTAAAAATGTGATGCAAACAGAAGCCAATGAAAATGAAACATTACCTAAAAATAAAATGCTGTGCAACTATTTGATAACAACAGCTGTTGGAGTGTTTGGGAAATCATTTTTTTATATAAACAACTGCAATGCTTAGCAATAATATGTTCTTATTAAACACCTACATATGTCAAAGCAAGCCTAATAAAATTTGAATGATGCAATTTAAAGTTGCAGAATACCAAGTTGCAGTGAGGTTCTATCCTATGTAACAGGGGAGATAATTGGAAGGTCTTAAATAATGCTCAAATTAGTTGCCAAACCAAATAAAAAAGCTATTTAAGGAAGTGTTGAAGGAACGAAGATGTAAATACAAACCCTTTGCACACAATTTCAAGTTTAATTTTGAGGCTCCCTCTTAAAAATTCCCTCACCTGTGTTTCCAGGTGTGAGGTTTAATGTATGTAGCATGCTGGAGTGAAGAATATCTATTTTTAAAAACTTAAACCTGAAGTAAACAAAAAGCGAACAATATGTTCACAGAAAACTATTTGTTTTACTTCACTCAACAGTTCAAGTAAAAATGTGATGCAAACAGAAGCCAATGAAAATGAAACATTACCTAAAAATAAAATGCTGTGCAACTATTTGATAACAACAGCTGTTGGAGTGTTTGGGAAATCATTTTTTTATATAAACAACTGCAATGCTTAGCAATAATATGTTCTTATTAAACACCTACATATGTCAAAGCAAGCCTAATAAAATTTGAATGATGCAATTTAAAGTTGCAGAATACCAAGTTGCAGTGAGGTTCTATCCTATGTAACAGGGGAGATAATTGGAAGGTCTTAAATAATGCTCAAATTAGTTGCCAAACCAAATAAAAAAGCTATTTAAGGAAGTGTTGAAGGAACGAAGATGTAAATACAAACCCTTTGCACACAATTTCAAGTTTAATTTTGAGGCTCCCTCTTAAAAATTCCCTCACCCAACAAAAAAAATAAATAATTAAAACATTTAGTATTCTCTCTTGCATCCTATTTACAACTGTTCGCTCTCATCAAGCTAAAGAGCAAGAAAAGTAATTTAAAGACATATCCCTGATTACTAACAGTGAATGAAATATTAGAAATGAAAACAAAAATCTCAAAATGCAAAAATATTAACACAAGAGATATAATTTTTAAAATGGATACAAAACATTCAGATGGGAAGAAATGAGAAATGATCATGTGAGGGAGATGAAAAGCATGTATTTTCTATTGGCTTATACAAACCTTGATAAGAGGCGGTCCTATAATGAAATTTGGATAAGATGGGGTAAAGGGACGTGATTCTTGTTGGTGCTGTCATAAGCACCTGACACCTTTTGACTTCACTGTGGACAGAAAGAATTTTATGGCATTAGGTACTTTGGCAATTAAGGTACTAGATATAAGAGAAATATAGGGAGAAAAATGAGTGCAGGTTGAAACAATCAGAAGTAGCTGGTTGTACATTTATGTGGTTGACAGGAAAGAGTGTCTCTGTGTTTCTTTCCTGTCAAAGGCTTTTTTACCGAAACATCTGATTTTTTGTGTTGTCCTTTGTTAGGGTTTCCTCTACCCTTGGTATATCTGTTTTTACTGGATATTAGGAATTTAGCATACGTTGAGAACTTGTGGTTAAACAAGAAGATGAACATTTCATACTTACTTGAGACCATAAGTTACTTTAATTCTTCTATTCAAGAAGTATATGTATCTCAAAATGCCCTAAAAATACTAAAATACATTTAATCATACAAAGCGTATTTTATGGCATTGTAAGTTAATATGCATTGTTTTATTGATTTTTTTCTCTTTGGTGTATTTTTTGTATTGGTATACGTTGTTATGAAGGAATAGGAATATTCCTTCATAACAATTGCATTGATTAAAAAGAAGATATACATTAAAAAAAAAGCTACAGTTCTGAAGGCAATAAGATGTATTTGAAAATGGAGACAAAGTCGTTACTTGTGAGATGAAATCCAAGCCACAGCATCAGCGATAGTTGCACAAATCTTTGCTAAGCTCTTTTCAACATTTGTGTCCTGAAATATATCATGAAGCTTTTGAAAAGTCCTTAAAATATTTCACGATTTTAGGTAAGAAAAGATAAAAAATTGGACTTTAGGTGTATGAGTAGGCTAATGATATACATTATTACTTACATTCATCTGAGTGGCATATGTAAGCAGGTCTTCAATTACAATGTAACTTGGTAAATTTGACTTAGTGTGGATAGAGGCAAACCAAGCTAAAAGTTCCCTTGTTTCCTCCAGATATCTGAGGATGAGTTTAATTAATTGTGAAGATACTAAAAATATTCTTACGTTGAGTCATAGTACCATAATAAATGAGCATGTGTAATCAATTTTTTTAGAACGTCCACCTTGTGTCACTATAACAATATTTCTAGTAAAATAATGGACATCTTACAAGAAATCCACATTATTCATAATTGCTGACTCTGGCACTCTCATTCCATGAATTTGTGCTGGCAACCTCTTGAATGGATGAGTACATATGTATGCAACTTTAGCTCCTGCTGCTGCAGCACTGACAGCTGCTTGAAAGGCCAGTGAGGTTTTATCCCTGTTTCAAAAAAAATGTATATAGGATTTAATGTACACATATGCGCAATAAAATACGGACTTAAGTCATTCCATTTCAACTATAAGTTTTGCCATTGCAAATCCACTCTTCCAAAATGTTTATAAGGATCTTTAAGAATAATGTTTTGTAATTGCTATGAATAAAAAAATGGATGTTTTAAAATGATATGAATGAAAGATATAATAAAAAAGAAATTGTGGAGATAAAAACTGGTATAGTGATGTTGTGAGACTTTCTTCTGCTGTCTCCTTATTTATTCTATGTTTTCTCAACCCCACTCCCATCTACTTACATCCTCTCTGGTCCAACAATGACTGTCTTGTTGGTTTGCTCGGATGCAAGAGTTTGAAGTATGTTGGTTAATGTTACATTCACAGCTGCAGTGGATACCTCACATGTATATGGTGAGGTCAAGGGGAAAATATCAGCTAGGAAAGCCATCTGTAAAAGAATTACATTAAAAGATCTTCCTGAAAAATTAGAAGAAAACAACTAATTTAAACATTATCAAAATAATACAAAACATCAAATGTTTTTGGAAAAGGTGTATGCAACAATGCTACCTTAAATTATTATAAAGTTAGAAACTGTGAAATCTTAGACTTACTCCATCTTAATTTGTATAATTTATAATATAATATAGTATATAGTTACTATCAATTTTCAATAATCATTTATAATTTATACTATCACTATCAGACACATCACTATCATAGATTTAGATGATAGTCTCTGAGTCATAATCAATTACATTTATATCAAACAAAGGCCAATATAATTATTATAATATTAATAAATAAAATATGACTCATGACGACATGAAACTGATTCAGACTCATGAAATTGAAATTCTGAGTAGAATATTGGTATTAGTTATTACAATATAAATATTAATAATGTTTTAGTCGTTTTTTCTCTTGTTGTAGACATTGTAGTCAATGTTGTAGTAGCAGTAGAGTTAGAGTAGTAGTAGCAGTAGTACTAGTTAGTAGGCCTACGGCCTAAGCAGTAGTAGTAGTAATGAAAGTAATAAGTAATAATAAGTGGGCCTAGTTAGCCTAGTTTATGAGATGACCATGCGTCCATGGCCAAATAACATACTATGATACGGGCTAGGAAGGAATGGCATGGGGGTATTATTTAGTCTTATAAAGTTAATCATAAAGTTAATAATAGTAATAGTAATAGTTTGCTTGGACACTGGTTCTCAAGGCAGTATATATAGGGACTACAACTATTATTTACTTTCGCTTTTCAAAATTATCCTTACAGGCAGAAGAGCTACAATAGCGTTTTGATTCGTCCCTGGTGATTTCATGGGGTAAAAAATAGAGTTGATGATCTCATCGTTGCAGGAAGTGTTCGCATTTAAAAAAAGTGAAGGGAAAAAACGTCAATAGGTAGGTTAGGTTAGGACTAAAATGCCCGTTGCATTACGCAAAGATCGTGACTTTTGATACCATTGGATTAGGGATCTTTATTTCATATATTTCAGTGTTGAATATATTTCAGCAACAAGTGTTTTAAAAACAATATGGGAGGATGTAGTTAAGCTACCTTAAGAAACGGTAATGTACCTATTACTATTATTTTTTTATCATGATGCGCTACGACACACACCACCACCCCCACTTGTATGACTGACCTCTAGTTTTTGTGTGTGTTATTTTTTATGACACCTGTTGCCATCGATGGCTTTTAATACTAATACCTTGAAAACTTGTCATCTCTGCAATATTTGCAATTATTCATCTAATTAGTCTAGTGCATTTATCATTTAGCGTTTTGGGTTAGGCCTCCATACCTAGGCCGGGGCCATAGGCCTAATAATAATTTATAATTAATCAGTAATTAAATCAGTCTATAATTGAAAACTTGAGCTTATAATAATAAATACATATAATTATAATCAAAATACTAATTTCTAATTAATTTGATCTAGACTTTTAGTTTAGGATTCGGATAATAATATATAATATATATAAAAATATGGTTAAAATACTAGATTAGTGAAGTATTTTAAAGTATTTAAGTATAGTAATAGTCTAATAGTATAGTCAGTGGACCTTTGCCTTTCCCCTTTAGTCTTTAGTTTTAGATTTTATCTGTGTGTGGTGTAGGTAGAACTTAATTATTATTAATATTAAATAGATGTGAATGTGGAGGCAATGTAGACCTTTTTTATTCTAACTTTGGCCCTGCCCTATGCCTATACTATTTTACTGCCTATACAGTACTATTATTATATTCTAAATCTTGTTGTAATAGTAATACTAATATTAATATTCATAAGTAACATATAGTAGCCTATGCCATGCTGGATAGTATATTTTGATGAAGATGATTGGACAGAGCACAGTAATTAATAATATTCATAAGTTATTATTATGTGTAGTTGTTTAAATTATTTAAAATGTTAATGAAATAATTCAAATAAATTATTAATACTTATAGTAATAGGCCTAACTTACTAATCTCATGTGTCAAATCACACAGTGACCTAATATTGTTGGACTATATTATTGTATTTTAGGCCTAGGCTAAAAGTGCAAAGGCCACTTATTAATTACTTTTACCTAGTCATAGTCCTAATTAGATAAGTCTAATATTAATATTTAATATGTAATGAAAGTATTGAAAGCCCTAGTAGTTTAGCCTAATTTACTTTACTAATAATATAATATTTAATTTCATAAGCACTAGTAAAGTAAAGTCAGTAAAGTTAGGTCACTTAGGGACCATTCATCCATGATGTCACACTATTATGGGACACCCCCCCCCCCCCCCCCCCCCAATCCAAATCACACAAATTAGACACCAACTCATCACAGATCATGAGCTTATGATAAGCTCACCTGCCCCAAACCAACCCACCTGCATCATCATTTATGGATGGCCCCGTAAGTTAGAGTATGTAGTATTTTGTAGTAATCACTAATTACTAATATATATTTTTGGTGAAAGTTGACTTTAGTAAGTATAATAGTTAGTAAATAAAAGGTCATTTAACTAGGCTATAGGTGAAGAAAATAACATGTTGAAGTTGGCCTTGAAATTAGTCTCTATTCCAGGATTTTTAAAATTTAATCTTAAGATTGTAATGTGTAGTCATTCTTGCTATCTGTGCAATGTCAATGTTGTTTAAGTATATAAAAAACAACAACTTATTTTGGAAAGTTCATCAATTCGATTTAAAGAATAATTTATTATTTTCAACTACATAAAGTCAGAGGCGTAGCGAGTGTGTTTGGCGCCTGGGGACAAGATTCGCGCCCGGGGACAAGATCCATTTTAAAGCGCCCCTTTTTCTTTTTTTCAACTCTCAAGCCCATTATTTTCATCAATAAAATAATATCAAAGCACATTTTGGCGCCCCTAACTAGCTGGCGCCCGCTCTGTCCCCCCCCCCCCCCCCCCCCCCCCCCCCGCTACGCCTCTGCATGAAGTGAAATTTCTAAGGTGTCTTTTAGATCAAATATAAAGAAAACTTCCATCTTGAGAAACTCAAATACATGACAGAGTTAGTCATGCCATGGTATTTAGATGGCTTATCAGACAACTAAGCTTTGTTTCAACATGTTCTGATAGGCTATAATTACTCTCAGGTGTAAGGCAGGAATGTACTCAAAACTCAGATATAATCCTGGTGAATTATGGCAACTCGATAGATTATATTTGAAAGCTTTTTGAGAGTTTAGTTTAAAGTCCTTTGTATACACTTCATAAGGCTTGCAGTGGGTATTTGAACAGAAATATATTTAGGACCATTCTATATCATTCACTTGCCCAAAAATTGATGAAAGATGGATTCTATCTTTGTGACCAAATCTAGGCCCCAGTATTTTGTCCATTGTCATTGTTAAAACAGACCAAATTAAAAAAAAATTATTAACCAAATTAATCGATTACCTACCAACACTATGAAGTACTAAAAATTCTTACCATAATTTGCACATTTAGCTGTGAGAGGACTATATTAAATAAATAGTCTTTGTACTGACAATGAGTGTTGTGTTGAACAAGAACCAATTTTCAATCCAGCAATAAATTTTCTGATATTATTCAAATCCTAATTTTGATTTAATATTTAAATAAAATTATTGTTCATGCAAGCAAATTCTTTAAGGTTATGAATGTCTTGTAATTCCATAAAGTTTTTATTTTCACTCTAGTCTTAAGGCAGTGGTCAGATAATTGTGAGCAGCATGCAGCTCTTTAGGGACCTGAGTGCGGCTCGGCCAGCCGGCCACAAATCGGTTTGACTGAGAAAAACATGGTTCTTGACAGGTTCTTGAAAATAAATTTGGCTCTCAAAAAATTTTTAATCGTCTTGCTGCTGATTTTTGGCTCTTTTGACTAATGAGTTTGCCAACCACTGGTCTAGGGTATGCACAGTTTTGGAAAGAACACATCTCTTTCACAACCCCCCCCTTTTTTTTTTATATTTTAAAAATTTTAAAAACCCGGGGAAAGTTGAGGTTTATAATTGACTTTCTTCTAATGAATAGTGACTTTGATCATTCCAGATTACAACCATTAATCTTGATGGTTTAAAACTATTTTTCTCTATTTGTATCAATGTATTTTTTTTCTTTTCTTCTTTTATATTTCTCCTATGTAAATGGCTGCCCTGAATCCTGATTAATCCCTTACCCTATAATTTGAAAAAGATAAGGGTTGTATATATATGAAGCTCAGAAAGATTAAAAAAACTAGCTATCTCAAACCATAAGTTATAAGTGTAAAGAAGTAAGAAGATTGAAAAAGGTTGATTAAATTTTGCTGTGCCACATCAGTCCTAATACCATCTGATCTTGCAATGTGGAGGGCAGCATATCTGAATTCTATAGATCCTGAATGGTGACAAAAGTTTGTTGACCATACCTTCATCAAGTTTATGATTATGGTTTTATTTAAAAAAAAAAAGAGACTATTCATTTCCTCATGGTTGTTGATAGGAACTGTGATCATTTATCTGTGATAGCAAAAGGACATCACTGATTAGAGACCGTGCAATGTCATTGCTGAGTCTGACATGAAGATGAACTATGCAAATATTGCTACAACCTGGTGACCTGTATTACCCAAATGGTTATCAGTGGTTGGGGGGTGATGACTCATGCAAGTCTGGGCTAGCTGTTGACTTACATGTGGCATCTAGTTGATGTTTGCTCTGGGTAGGGACCACACATACACAACCTGTGTTCAAAAACATGCTCTACATTTATTTAAGGAGATATGGCAAGTGGGAATTGTCCTTGTTTAAAAAAAATAATATAACCGATGGTCTTGTTTTTATATAGCACTATCACCATTGGCCCAGCCCATCACATTCAGCAGGCATTCACATCTGTGTTATTTGGTTAGTGATGGGTCTAGACATCATGTCAGGACA